TCAACACATTTTGTCACAGGGTTCATTGGCTGGTTAGTGTGCACCAATGAGAAATCTTTCAATCAGCAAAAGTAAGATTACTAAGAGGAAACTAAAATATGCAACAAGCAAGAGACAAGGAGCTATAAGCACTCCAATTGCTGGCTCCAAAAATTTCTAATTGGCCAGAACCAAATATAAACATTTATTCTGCCCTGACAGTTGTCCTTATATTGGATTCTGCCAAAAAAAACCATCATTTTATTGCATTGATTTGCTATACTAAATGCAAGAAGATACACCATCTATCCATCCCTTCATCAAAATACAGGTACTCATGTCCCAATACCTGCTCAAGACGAAATTTCCAAAACTATCATTCAATGTCAGCCATTTCTTTGTAAAAGGGAGTACTGTAAAGTAGGATAACTGATGGACCTGCTGATGAGCTGACTTACCAATATCAGGTGTGTAGTCTGTAGCTCCAAATATGAGTTCTGGTGCACGATAATATCTTGAACATATGTAAGAAACATTGGGCTCTCCTTTCACTAAAACCTTGGCACTAAGAAAAAGACCAAGATTAATTGGTTATGACTTCAGTTGAGTGGGCCACATTGAAGTTTTGCCAGTAATTCTGCAACAAGCTCATTAACAATTTTTTGAAAGCCTTTCATACAAGTACACATCACTTCCTACCAAACACAGGAAATAGGAGATTTCATGCATCAGAGACACCCCTTTATTAGCTCTTACCTGCCAAAGTCACACAACTTCAACACAGCAGTTTCAGGGTCAAGAAGTAAATTCTGTGGTTTGATATCACGGTGGCATATACCAACAGAGTGGATATAGGCCAGAGATCGAAACATCTGATACATGTAGAGCTACAAAAAAATATATCGTGTTAGAACAATTTTGAATTGTGCATATTGTCTCTTGGTCACCAGGCAAAAATTTGACCTTCACTGTAAAAAAAAGCTTTTCTTGTTTTTGGAGTTTTAGTGACATCAGCTGTGACACTTAGCTGCTGATGATTTTTTCTAGCTATCTACAGTTACAGACACAAATGATCATTAAAATAACGCAAACATCACAAAAACAACCATAATAACAAGGAAAACTAAGAGAACAGGAAGGAATTGAAGGAGAGGGATTTCTAGATGCTTAAATAACACAGGTCATTTCTAAGTTCACTGTTTTTGTTGCTGAGTTTAGGTTACCTTTATGTACAGTATGGGGATTGTTTGCTTTGCTTTACTGTAATGTCTTGCGACTCTGTAAACTGTCTCCGGAACAAAATCAAGAACCAAATTTAAATAGATTTCTTCCTTCTGTTGAGGAAAAGAAAAGAAAAAATTAAACACCACTACATCTGATATGACTGTACTCTTTTCAAAGCAGATCAAAACACTTGCCTTTTACTAAGGACAATGGAGCATATTCATTGATGTTTAACCTTACTCAACACAACTTAGTAAACTCAAGCCATAAAAATTAATTGTTTATGGACCAAAATTTGTTGCCAAATCTCTGCATCCAAATGTTCAAGTAATAAGGTGTTTCCAGGTGTAAAACTTTAAAATGTACCAGCTGCTATGAAGAACAATGGTTAACCACAGCAAATTGTTTTTCTAAAGATAACATATCATCAGAAAAGCTTCTCACAAAATCAAAAGATCTTCCTTTTTAATGACAATCGTTTCTTTGCTCCAGAGTTACCCAAAGTAGACAAGTGATGATGTGAACCTTTAAATCCAACAAATGCAAATTATAACATTATGAGGAAGCAGTATTGTGGTGAATTTTGAACAACCACAAAATATATCAGTTAATTTATACCAATTACCAGAAGAAATGTTCCACAAAACCTCATTGGTTTGATAAAATGCAAACAAAATTATCTATGAGAATATTAATTATGACTTAAAATCAAAAGTTGGTAAATTCCTTACATGGCCTACTGTGCATGAATTAGGAGCAAAATACTTTTAAGATACTGTTGCTCTTCTTTGGATGGGATTAGTTTTGGTACAATGTCACATCTTGAAAGAATTAAAACTTTGTGAATTGACCATCCTAAGCTCCAGAATGTTTGGCCAAAAAAGCTTTTGATAGCTGAGGTATAACCAGTTGAAAAAGGGAAAGTTGCATGCTGTGGCATGCTCACTTTCATTTCTTGCACAACAGTCCAGATTCTCTGGAGGTTCAAACTATATCAAGGCTACAACTTGACCAAACTCAGCATGTGAATTTAAAAAAGGGAGTGTCTTTAAGTTCAGGGTACGACTTCATCTGTTCAGGGTGAAAAACAGAAGTATCATGTGACAAAAAATTACAAGAAAATGAAATTATTTTGTTTTCCTTGTAAAAACATCTTTTGAGTTGGTCCACAACAATTTTTTTAATAGCACCTGGGAAGACTAAATATTGTTTATTGATGTAAGGACTGTCAAGGTTTGTGATTTCCCCATTACCAATGCAAGTTAAGTGTTTGTAAATGACTGGGTGAGTATTTTTCTACAAAGTTAAAAAAGAATAAGAATATGCTGTGTCCAAGAGCTGAAAAAGTATAGATGATGTTTTTCTTTTCTAGATCACTAATCTTTTTTAAGAGCTGAGGCAAAACAGAGTAAGCATGTCATCACATGAAATATAGTTATTTGCATCTGAATGACAAACTGTTTATATTTCAGTTTCATATAAAAACAAGTCTATTCTTGACCATGTATCTGTTACAATGTTTGCATATACAGGAAGTAAAGAACATTTTTTCTCTTTTTTCACAATGTCTTTTTTTCCCTTGTGGATTGAACTGGGTTTAATTTCAAGGTTGATTAGGTCCACAAAATGATTCTGATGACCTTAACAAAGTTCAATTCAAATTGAAAATAAAACAGTATTTTTCAAATCAGAGAAAATTAATTTTGTTTGAAATACATTGTACCTTTCCCCTAAGATTCTCAAATAATTTTTGGCTGCCAAAATGAAATTATAACAAAATTATTTTCAAAGGATAAGGTAAAACACTGGAAAAATTATCGAATTTTCATTTAAATAAAAAATGCCACTTCAAATCTAAGACACAACTTCCTTGATATCCTTTTAGAGTAAATTGAAGTGTGATGTGAAAATTTGAAATCAACTAGAACGAAAACTACAAAGCACCGAGTGTAAGAACTCTTTCAGAGCCCTATAAATTAATATACAATCTGTTTTCCTCCTTCTTGTTGGGAAAAAAATATAGCTGAAAAGCCATCAGTGAATGTAATATAAACAGGCTGCCTGTAGCCGATATACAGCTGTGGCGACAAGTTTTTTTTCCTGCAATTGCCATCAAGATCCACATTCTCTAAACAATATTCTTGTTAGAGAAACGTTACTCGAATCTGAAAAGAAGCCACTGTGATACAAATGCTAATAGTTATTCGATAGAGTAAATGAAAAAATCTTCTACACGGACTTAGGACCCACAGTCAAACATGCTGTAAACTTGCTTCTTCGTGTCTTTGCGGTAAAATTCGTTTGGCTAAACTTGTTTTCACTTCGAGGGAGTGTACGTTTCGAAAAGGATAAACCAAATGACGCTTGTTCAATCTTGCCTTTGTTTCTCGTCTTCGTGTCGCCGACACAATAATACTGACCAATGGATTAAATATAAACCATAGTGAATAGAATGCTAGTTTTAGTGAATTACGGCAATCAGTGCACATACACCCACGTACGCGGCTAAATTCAAGTCTTACATACTTAAGGCAAACAGCACGATATAACCGGCCACGACTCGGCTCGATTCACTCAAATATTGAAAGCAAGGATGTTGTGCGTACATAAAAAACGTTATGCCTTGTTTAATACCACGAACAAGTTACCAACCTTTTCACCACTGGAATAAAAGAACCAGCGCAATCGGACGATATTACAGTGGTCTAATTTTCTCATGATTTGTAACTCTCGATTCTGAAAGGGAAAAAAATCTGTTACCACCACCGAGGCGAGTAAAATTTCGGCATCTTAGCAAGGAAATAAGCGACACATATTTTCTGCTATATATTCTACTATAGGAGTAACATACAAGAACCATAACCACCTTAAATCGTTTGTCTTGCAATACTTTCTTTATTGCTACAAGTTCAGAGGAATCACACATCCTTGCTTGGTACACAACTCCGAAAGATCCATTCCCAATAACTTTCGTGTCAGTGTAACTGATCTCTTGAGTCCGATCAGGCAGTGAACCTGTAGTTGCTACAACTGTTGTCACTTTACTTCCATCTTTATCTCCTAAAAGAAGAACAGAACAAGATACTATTGCAATACAACTTAATACATTTTCCAGGCTGGAATGCTAGCGGTTTTCGGTCCCAAACACCTTGAATATTAGGTTATGTAAAGTCTATATACTTACGACTAATTTTTACTCCTCCAAAATTTGGTGTATGTGATTTATTTGTTTCGGCAAAAGACGTTGTTCTAGGTCTGTGGCCACTCATAGTTATGAAATCTCCGACGTAGATGAACCCGAAGGATCACCGGACCATTACATATCCGTCGTCAGCTTATATTCAACATGGAGAGTTGCTTTCAAGCCACCTTACGCCGAAAAGTGATTCGCGGGAATGGTGCTGAAACTGCACGCTTCTCTTGTCATTTATGGCCAAATAACCTATAGTTAGTATCAGGAGTTCCTTAAGAGGATGCCAGAATAACGATCAAATGGTTCTTGGTACGACCACAGCCGTTTTAGCGAAAAGAGCTAAAGGCAAGTGACACTCAAAATTCACAATGGCGCTTGCTACTGCAGGCATGTGCCGTTTAGGGGGCCCCCAACGAAGTTTGTTCAATTAGTTAGCCAATGGCAACGATGACGACATAATCCGAAGTTATCGCGATTTTTTCCGACTTCCGAGCGGAATGACTGCATCTGCAAAGAAATTACTAAATGATGCGACAATTTATTGGTATGTTTGTATCCTTATGGAAGTACTTATTAAAATATATATTGTGTATTCTGTGACCATTTTAGATCATTTTTGGGAGTTCAAAGAGAGTCAAAGCTGATAACGCTCGAACAAGCGGAGGTGAACGAAAAACCGCCAAAACACTAGTCAGCGGATTTCTTCTAAATCGCGGGAAATCAAAATGGCGGATGAGTACGTTTCCGTAAATTTTGAGTTCAATGTAGTGTATTGACCAAAATTGTTTACTAGTGCTTTGTTTTTTTTCACCAGAAGAGGAGATGAAGATCCTGAAAATACGATGTATATCCTCATTGGTATGTTGTACAATCAATTTTTACCGATAGGTTCGAAGGGATCGTTTGTCAAATTTTTAGATTATTTTTCTGAGTTCCATATATCTTAGCTCATATTACCAGTTGTCTGTGGTGTCATATTTTTCCATATATTTTAAGCGTCAGATTGCCATCTCGGGTACATGGAAAAAGACCAGGTCCGAGGAAATGACTCGCTGGTTACATTCGAGGAAATACTTCAGATAGCAAAGGAGAAGAATGTAAGCAAAGGCTGTGCTACAATATATCGCTGACAAGCAAGATTTTAAAGTCTAACAATAATTACTACCATTTGATTTTTAAGCTGAATTGTCACTGTTTGGTGTTACTTTTATCATCAAGAGAAGATTTAATACTGGTCAAGGCACTCACTGTCATTTAATTCCTAATTTGTACTTTTCTTTGTGCCATGAAGGTAGATTTTATTCTCCTTGGAGGAGATCTATTTCATGAGAATAAACCTTCCCGGAAGACTCTACATGGTGCAATGGCGCTCTTTAGGAAGTATTGCATGGGGGATAAAGCTTGTCAGATGGAATTTCTCAGTGATCAATCCGTGAACTTTTCTCAGTCCAGGTTAGATACAGAAACTGTTTAAAATTACATATTTGATGGCATTTGGAGAAGCTCTCTCTGTGGTATGGGAAATGTTCCATAAAACTTTTCCTGATAGGTGTAATGATGAGTTTAGGTGGGAAAAGCTAAGTGACAACCCAGAATGTGCATATTATGTTTAGATCATTTTAGTAACATTCTCATTCAGTTTAGTTCATGTGCACAAGGGTATGTCCACTGCTTCTATATATATATATAGCCCAGTAATTTATGCCTGCACAGGGGTAAACTCTAGATTGATAAATTAATTTAGTCTAGAGTACCTAGTGACTTGGGATGAAATTTGCAGTAGTACTCTTTTGATGATCAAATTGCTTCAAAAAATATGAATATGTTAAGTTCTGACTCAAACCAACTACAACAATGTAAGTTCCATCTTCTACGTGAGTCATATAGAAAAACTTATATTATTTTCTTGTGGTTGTGATCCAAGACATTTTACCCTTATTCCAAGAAATGTGCCCAAAATCTATTTTCAGATTTCCCTGGGTAAATTATGAGGATCCAAATTACAACATATCCATTCCAGTGTTTTCCATTCATGGAAACCATGATGATCCTGCTGGGGTAAGGAAGCTTTATACTGACAGGAGACACAGCTAAAGTCTATCAATTGTGCTAAGGATTAAGTACTCTGTAGCAAAAGGTCAACAATTGGAAGTAACTTATAATTAATTAATGAACCCTGTTTAAATAGAGGAGAGGTTTTATCATAGGTTAGCTGGAGAATATCCGAATTATGAGCAGAGAATTGTCCCATCTCGAGAGCTTGATAAACACCCTGGGACTGGTATCTCTAGGATTCAGGAGGAGTGGCATCATCCTTGGCTACTTCATACAACAGATTATGCAATAAAAATGCATAATAATATTTTGCACCTCCTGAAAAGTCCTACACCTCCACTACACCCCAACATCAGAAAGCATATTATTTGCACTCTATACATTTCCAACAATGCGCACCACAGTAATTTTTCTGACAAAAAAGAGCTTAATCTTAAGTTAGCGACCATTTCTTCTATGCTCATGATCATCCTGTTGGATTCAGCAAGGATACTGTAAGGAGAAATTAGATGCTAGTAACACCAAGATGTTCATGGGTTAAACAGACTCAGCATGAAAAGGAAGGCTACTGCTTTTCCTCTTTGTGCAAGTCACTTTGTGCTAGTTAATTGGCAATTATTTATTTATGTATTTATTGAAATGTATTTTTTCATTACTTCCTTGGGTAGGATGGGAACCTTTGTGCTTTGGATTTGCTCAGTGTCTGTGGATTTGTTAATTACTTTGGTAGAGCTCCATCAATTGATGACATCACTGTGTCACCTATCTTGATGCAGAAGGGTAGTGTTAAGATTGCACTTTATGGCTTGGGATCCATCAGAGATGAGCGTCTACATCGCACTTTTCTTAATCACAAGGTCAAGATGCTGAGACCTAAGCAGGATCCTGAATCATGGTTCAATCTATTTGTTTTACATCAGAATAGGTATAATGGTACTGAGTGTAAACTTACCTGTGAGGGGCTGGTCCCTAATCCATTGTGCAACTGATTGTGACATGCACTATAATTAAACTAAACGAACTCATGAAAAATATTTTAAATCTCTTCATTGTCTCCAGGGCAAAGCATGGCTCAACCAATTACATTCCAGAGAAGTTCCTTGCTGATTTTCTTGATCTTATAATGTGGGGCCATGAACATGAGTGTATTATAGCACCAAAGAATGCAGAGGACCCAAACCTTTCATTCTACATTACTCAGCCTGGGTCAAGTGTTGCAACCTCTCTCAGTGAAGGAGAATCAAGACCTAAGTGGGTGTGGTTGCTTGCCTTTTTATGGATGATTCACATCATTTTTGCTGTCATTATGTCATTGTTCACATTCTCTGTGAGAATCTTCTTCACCCTTGTCCTACTTCTCCTCCACCTCTTCTCCTTTCATTGTCATTATTGTCATGCTGGTTGTTGTTGTCATCATCATTCTTGTGGTCATCATCTTCATTGTCAGTATGATCAATGTCATTTTTATTATTTTTGTCATCATTGACATTATCAGTGTCATCATCATTATGATCATTACATTTCATTTTATGAATTATGATTTCTAGATAGTCATATATATTCATTGCCCCAGTTATTTCTTTGTCATTCTTTTTATTTTGTAGGCATGTTGGAATCCTTAAAATAACAAAGGACAAAATATTCAAAATAGACAAGATTATACTGAAGACTGTGCGCCCTTTTTACATTGAAGATGTGATTTTGAAGGAAACAGAAATTGATCCCACCCAAGAAGACATGGTCATGGCTTACCTAGTTAATAAAGTGGGTTCCATTCAAATTATTTTAAAAAATCAATATTATGGATGTGAGGACTTGCATTCTTTTATTTTCTTCTATGACACTCAAATCAAATGAATTTTTCATTTTTATGATGGTCAAGGTGGAACAGTTGATTGAAAAGGCAAGAAGGGAACACACAGGTAGTTCTCGTCAACCTGACAAACCTCTTATTAGGTTACGGGTAGGTTTTGCCTTTATGTGGGTGAAGTTTTCAACTGACAAAACACATTTTTTGATTCTTTTTTTAAAATTTTCTTGTTCAAGCTTGTTGGAAAATTTTTTCTGGTTGTTGATAGGTTGATTACAGTGATGGGTTTACAGCTTTTAACATTCGAAGATTTGGACAACAGTTTGTTGAAAGAGTGGCAAACCCAAAGGACATTCTACTGTTCTTCAGGAAAAAAGAACCATTTAAAACTTCAACAGGTACATAGTACAGAGACATGGTCTTTTGTGACATCGCTGCAGAGTGTAACCTGCATACAGCTAATATTCATCATGTTATTAAAAGATGAGTGGGTTTAAATGTTTTAAGGAGTGAAAAAATGTTAAAGTGTTGGCTAGGGTCAGTGAATTTTCATTGTTCTCTTTGTTAGAATTTATTTTTTTCTTGAACAGAGTAAAGGAATTATTGCTCTTTTTTTTATCATAGACAAGATAGAGAGAGAGAGAGTTAGAGTTCCACACCTGCGTCCAGAACCACTAGACTCAATAAGGATGGAAGACTTGATCAAGGATTATTTAACATCAAAGGATAATGTATGTACTTCTCTTTTAAGAGTTGGACAGATTATATTTTAATCATAAAATTTAAAATTTCCTCAATTTTGATTGGTTTGAAAAACTCTTTTTTTTCCACTAAGGCATTGGCCAAGGTGTTATCAAAGTGTTTCTTATCGGACAGTTCAATAATCACATTTTAAGTTGTAGTTTAATTCAATCACAACAATTTCAGAGAAACATCAAACAATTTATGCCTCCTTTGTCAGTCTTTTAATGCAAATTTTCCCTTTCTTTCATAACTTGGCTATTCTTCTTTTGTCAGAAATTATAATTTTTATGATTGATTGGTAAGACTTTGTGTCATCCAATCCAGTCTGTAATCATACTGGTGATAAACAACTTGGACTCCTGCTGCATGGTTGTCTGATTTTGTTATCACTCCTATAATTAGAGACTGAATTTTACTCTACTCAGTCTGCTTACCATTACTAGTTATAATCCATGATTTAAAAATGCTAGACATGAATAAAATTTCTTAGGTCATAAACTTAAATTTCAGGCATTAGAGTTACGTATTCTAACTGAGGGAAGAATGGCACAGGCACTTCGTGAATTTGTTGAAAAAGATGAAAAAGATGCAATATCTACTTTAGTTAAGTGGCAACTGGATCAAGCACAGAGCCACTTGAAGAAAAAACAGAATATCCCTGAAGAAAGCATTGAGGTTGAAGTTTTCAAACACACAGAGGAAATACGACAAAAAGAGGATGAAGATAAAGAGCATGATGCAGAAAATATCAGAAAGGTACTTGTCCATTTTTCATCTATGAGCTTTTAACACTTTACACCTGAACATCAGTATGCATATTCTCCATACTGTTCTCTATACATTTCCCAATGTGCTGGCAAGGAGAATTTGTTTAACAATCAAGAGGTTCTTCAGTTGATGATCATTTCCTTTATTCTCATGATCTTAATGTTTGATTCAGGGGTGATTATTAGATGCTAGTCACTCTCAGGGACTGAAGGGTCAATGCTCTTCCTAGATGTATGGTTTTCCAACTTCTATTATAATCAGTGACAAGTGTTATTTCTAAAAATAATAATTAGGTGCTTGAAGAATCTCGTGTCAGTGAAATAAACACTGAAAATGATGTTGACTTGAGTGGAAGTGATGATGAGGACAGAAAATCCACCCCAAGCACCAGTGGAGGTACAAAATTTCCAACAACTTGTTTTTAATAATGGCTTCATATTCATAATAAACAATATGCAAATGTGTCTATTCAAACAAAAAAGGAACATTTGTATGAGAAAGGTCTTCCAACAGGATATACTTCTAAAACAGTCAGGAAGCTTAGAGCAAGGTACAATGATCTTCTTTTAAAAGTCACAGGCAGCTTCCTTCTTCTTTATCAAGCAGGGAAAAAAGGCCACAGTGATGATGTTAACACTTCCACAAGAGGCACGGCTGGAGGGCGTGGCAGGGGAAGAGGAAGAGGAAGAGGTAGAGGTGTGCGTGGAAGAGGAAGGGGTGCAACACAAGCAGCTGTCAGCACTTCTCAAACAATAATGGATTGTAAGTATTCTGGGTGGCAAGGGTCCAATATGTTGCTGGGAAGCTTTCATTGAAAGAATAATTAAATTTGAAGTTACATTACAGTGAATTTGTGCCTGTTTTTACAAGGAAACCTTCATTTTCTAGCATTTACTTCAGCATCCAAGAGAAAGAAACAACAAAGCAATGTCAAGGTATGTTAAGCTTTTTCTTGTTTGCAATCATTTGCAAATTTCTCTCACATATAATCTGATCTTCTTCATTTATTTGAAGTCGACCTATGACATTTTAAATAATAAGTAGCTTTTTTCTTGTACAAATTTTGCAAGTGAGCTTGGTCTCTTATCTAATAGGGAGTAAGTTCCAAAGATGATGATGATGACGACGATGATGAATTCAACACTCCATTATCATCTTCTTTGAAGAAGACAAAAACTGCACAGTAAGTGCACTTTACTGTCAAATATTTTGTATCATCAAGAGTCATTTTCCTTGTTGACAGAATAAAGAAATCATGTCACTGTAGTTTGTGAAATTTTATTTTTCTGGTAAATTATTAAATGTTAGATTGCCAGATTAAAAAAATATACCAAAGAGGTTACAATAAGAAGATGCGAAATCAAAATGGCTTTTAATGGAGATGGTTTAGAATTAATATTGCAAGTGATGAACTTGAAATATAAAAGATAAATTTTTAAGACATGCAACCTGTAAAGAATCAGTAGCTTCTTTTGCTATTAACTGACCTTATGGAAACAATCAAAGGGTAGAAATTGTAATCTCTCCCTGCCACTCACCCTTTAACTAATGAGAATACTGTTACATCCATCAAAGCACATTTACCACACATTTATGCTGATTTGCTTTTGATTAGATCAACATCACAAAGATCCAGTGGAGCTAAAAACAGAACAGCCATGATCAGTGCTGTTGAAAATGAAGTATGGCCCAAACTTATGTTTGTCTGCAGGGTACTATATAATGGTTGTGTCAATAAGACAACAAGAAATAACTATTGGCTCTAATGTTATTTTTGTCAAGCCAATTTGTGACCTTAGAAAATTATAACATTCCTCATCTCTTTAGCTTGTGCAAAGACTCTCACTGCTATAGCAGCTACAATAATTAAGCTTATTCAGTGTGGTAAACTACAAATCAACAGATCTCAACTTTTTAGTATAAAAGCATGTACTTTAATATTGCTTACAAAAATATTTGATTGATGAGTTAAAAGTTTTTCACTGTAAAAATTCAAAAACCAAAAAGCCCAGTAAAGTTGATTTTTTTAGAAGACAATGCAGTATATGCTTCAGTCCTTAACACTTCTACAAGGTTAGATGAACTTATTATGATCATTGTTAAATTTCTAGGAGGAAAGTGAGGATTCAGATGATCCTTTTTCTATGGAGCCAAGCAGTAAAAGAAGCAGAAGATAGCAAAAGATGAGGCTCATGGAATTTTTTTACAAAATCCTATGGTTTAGTAAGTTGTTTTAGGGCAAGAGCATTTGAATGATGCCAAACAAGCTGCCAAGAGATTGGTATTTAATTGCATACACAGATGTGGTTGTGTTTTTAGCCACAGGGAAATGTTTGATGTTCATGTAGCTGCTGCTGGAGAAGGGAAAGCAAAGCTTTACCACAGTAATTCAAGTATTTTGCCAGAACTTGAGCAAACTGCCAGTAAGCAGAATGTTTGTTACTCAGGTGGCTGGTGGTATTTTTGTGCTCAAGGATTCTTATTTGCCTTGAGTTCAATGTTAGTAGCCTCAGATAATTGATGGATATCTAGATATCATTCAAGTGACAATTTTGGCTCTTAAAAAAGCATGTAAGGAATATTTATTAGATGGGAGAAATTAGCAGATGCAAAATAACACAAGGATATTTTAATTACAAATGATCAGAACTCATGATCAAGGATTCATCAGAGACCAGTTGTTCAAAAGGCAGTTTGAACTAATTCAGAATTCTATGTAATCCTTGGTCTGATTTTCCTTGGTTAAGAGTGTATCTTAGGACTAGCAGTCAATGGGGTTTTCTATCCATTATTTAACAAATAGATTCCAAGTTGTCAAAATATGGTAAGAACACCCTGGGTTAGCTTGGTTGTCCTTTCAACCACCCAGCCTTGAAACGTAGGGTATTGCACAGATGGCAAACAAGGTGGATTGGTTAAAGTTTGTGAGTGTGACGTTTTAATGGGTTTTACATTATCTAGAGGAACTTAACCTTATGCAGTTTGTTGTTTTCTTGTGTCTGGTATATGTGTCTGAACTCACAATTTTGTTTCAATCATTCACCAAATAGTTTTGGCAAGTTGGATTTTATATATTATAAAAAGGAAGAAGGAAATATAAACCTTGTTGATGTTTGAAGCATGAGAATTTAGTATTTTAAATCTTTGGTTACAAAATTTGTAAAAGAAAGACTACACAATAAAATGAAAGAATAAACAAGTTGCAAAAGAAGTTTCTGTTAAAGTCTTTCATGGGAGTGACAGTAGTTTTATTATTCAGTCATCTTTTTAAACTGGTTTCATAATGATTACAAAGTTATCATTGTTGTTATTGTTTTGTTGTTTTTTTTTTAAGGTATGCCTTTATTTGTTGCTTAGTGACACCAAAGCTTAAAGAATGATTGAATCAAAACATACACTGATCAAAAAGCATTTTGCAATGTGATTTAATTTATGTTAGTTGTTTTCTGTGATGCTAAGATATTATTTTTGAGGTCAAATATAAATGCAGGGGGCTATTTTACTAATTAAGTAATAAAAGTACAATACAGATGTTCAAAAAATTATAGGTAATATTTTTCCATTCCTAACACATAAATCTCAGAGTTATTCTAAACATTTGTATAATGAAACTCCACAAATTTCCACTGCAAACACAATCCACATTACTGTTAGGAACTTCCACCTTCATAATTTCTCTCCCAAGGGTGATGAAGAAGTAATTTCTCCCTACAGTATCAATACACTATTAAGCAGAAAGCTGGGGAGAATAAAGAGGAATTTTAACTGATTTGCATTAACACCAAATTCTCAAAACTGTAATAAAAATATTGTCTAGGAGAAAGTGATTGAAAGGAGAATTTCCTCTAAGATCTTAGCATTGAAATGGTTATTCATATTGGCACTTGAGGCCTTTGTCTTTTGCAGCTCATTTACAAATTGATGAAGAAAATAAGCATTATATAGAAGCTAAAAAAAGTGTTGTTTATAACTTGTTAATTAAGAAAGCAATTCATCTTTATTTCCCTAGCAGAATGGTGATTTTATAATTCTGAAAAGCATTTTGCTGTGTGAGGTCACTTCTCTCATTTGACCACAATAACCTTTGTTTTTTTTTAAAAAGTTACTCATGATCAGGCTCCTTTGAGCTGTTCTCATATGAGCTGTGTTTGTGATGTTTCTTGTGCCTCCCAGGATGCTGTGGTTTATGAAGTGGAAGGATTTTCTTTTTGTGGACCTGAATTCTTTCTTTGTGATCATGTTTCATCTTCTCTCTTGTCAGTTGTTCCTCAGCTTCTTGTCCATTGACAATGTACTTGTGCTTCTCTGTGTTTCCATTACCAATCTCAGAGCGTGGCTGATTTGATTCTTTCTCTGAGCAGAATAAGATGCATAGTCAATTAAATATTAATACTTTTATTATGTGATAATAAAATACTGCTACTCCATTAAAACTCTGCCTTAGGCTAAGAGCAAACAATCACAAGTCAAACTGGAATCTTATTAAACCTTTGGCTCCTAGGAGTAACTAACACCTAATTTCGCCTTACAGGATCATCCCCAAATCTCACATAAAGGTCATGAGAATAAAGGAAATGATCATTAACTAGGGAAGCTCACAATTATTTAACAAACTCTACTTGTCAGCACCTTAGGAATTGAATGGTGAACAGTATGGAGAATGAGCATACTGGTGTTAAGGGTTAAGCTCCTAAACTCTTCTGCAAACCATTTTGACAGTTTTTGGAAAGAAATGCCTTTCAGAATCTTAATTTCCTTTGGAAAGATAAGGAGGTGATGTGCCTCAAAAGAAAAAAGAAGATTTAGAGTCTTGAAAACCTCCCAACTAACAACCACCTTTTTAAGTACCAAGACCAGCTTCAACATTATTACATAGATAACATCTTGTCACAAATTATACAGATTGTACAAATTGACTTTTAGCATCAGGCAGTCATTTGCTTACCATCACACTTTAATGCAGTACAGACCCAGTGGCCACAGGCACAAACACTAAAATGCAAAGAAAGAACATAAGTTGGATATATTCTGGTAATGTCTACAGGTGTAGCTTTACAATCATTGTCCCCCTTCCCACTTTTTTTCCATCTGAGAGAGAAAAAAGAAAATAATAACAAATGCCTTGTTAAAGGAGAATGAATGTAACTGACTGAACACTTCTTACCAACTATTGCAGTCTATGGGAATTTCTGTGCCGTCACTGTAAATCTCACTATCCAACTCACAACCTGCACCACAATAGGACAATTCATCATTTAGCTTTTTTTTCCAGACTATGAGTGGGTGACCAAAGTCAATGAAGGAGAAATAAGAGAAGGCTGAAAAACAGGTTCCTGTATCCACCCACTTGTTCACATTTTTCTGCACTTCCACTGACCACAACTTACATTCAGATTTAGTGGAACTTATTTTACCTCAAACCAATATACAATTATGGTATTTCTTGGTTATGAGGCAAGCTCTCCAAGTTTAAGTTAGCAAAACTTTATGAAAAAAAGTTTACCTTTCTTTGGTGGCTTGAATTCTGTTGAAGAAAATTAATAGAAAAAGTTGAGATGTTTATTGTTAGTGAACCATTTTCAATCTATTAATTTCTCTCTTGATTACTTTGCAAATCTACCGCTGTAGGAAATAGTCTTGTTATCAGTATCACTTCAATCCCAGCATTCTTAGCATTTCAGTGGAACATGCTTAATGCTGTACAAGTCAAAAGCTGATGATCATTGCCAAATTTTGTGTGGTGGACACATGCTGTAAACATAACAGAATTACACAGCATTCCCTCTGAAACATAATTATATATTAATATTTTCCAACTCACCAGGATCAAGGCATCTCATAAACTCTGTAATGTTAAGTTCCCAGTCAGAATCATCATCACTGATGGAAATCAGAGCATCAGCACAAAGACTTTGCAAAACAGGGTTGACATACTCATCAGAACTAGCTGTCTGAAGTAAAACACAATCACAGGTGCATTAATCTCAGATGAGTTACCTTGCAAAAGTATCAGAAGGGACTGACTCAACTCTGGTGATGACTTCTGTTTACTAACAGCAGTCCTTAACAGGACAACCATCACCCAGACATTCCCACTACATGATAAACTGTTGTTATATAAGTGACCACAAAGAGAAGTGTCATACCTCAGCTTGTGATTGATTTGCCAGGACGAAGTCTCTGAACTCTGCTACATCAAGTTTTCCATCTTTGTTTTCATCAACTTTGTCAAAGTATGATTGCAGAAGATGTCTGTAGCCATCTAATCCTTCTGACAACTTGTCTTGGTTCTGCAGCCATCCAATCAAATGACTGCGTACATCATTGCGATCATTCTCATAGCACACAACTAAATAGTGAAAGGGTATACTTTAGCAACTCTTTGCTCAAATAAAAATCAAACTGGTTTGGAGAGAAGAAAAAGTGGCAACCTCTGATAACTGTGAATACTAAGAAAGTTTTGGAATGTATGCAATTGACATGTCAGAATCAAATCAAAATCAAGCTCACAGTTTACTGAGTTTCACAGTTAACCAGGAGAAAATTTTAACCATGAAAAGGATGTAGAACTACACAGGTCTTAAATGTTAGGGCACAAACTGAACAACCTACCAGGTTTTGAATAATTAACCTCTACAGAAGATGGAGCTTGGGTGGGCTGTCCTCTACATGCCCCCATATACTTGATAGAAAGTTTCTTTTCCTCCAAGCAGGCAGTTTTGTGCAGTTCACAGTGGTTTGGATAGGTCATACCGTTTGACCCACATACTGGTTTCTCATGGTTAGGGCATGACTTCTTACACATACAGGCAGCATTATTATCGATAACAATGCACTCCTCACCAGCATGGCATAGTACATTGATACACAGATCTAAAACACAACAGTTTGAACATACTGCTCTTTAATTATGTTCAAGATTTCAGTTGTTGCTTGAGAGCTCACTGCCAGTCTAATAAAAGATGCACCCTTAATTTGAGGAATTGTGCTCAGAAAACAGTAAGCAAGAAATGGATGAAATTTGTTTTAATATATGGATGTTCAGGGTAATCCATTTATAAAGCTTGATTGTTGCACCAAGGCCAGTTGGTTTCTAGTCACCCCTGCCTCCACCCTCTGTGAGCATTTAGTGGGGAGGGGCCCAGAAAAAATTGCAGGAGACAGGTTTTCATGGGGGTAATGTTTGCATTCCAACGAACGGGGGGGGGGAGGGGGGGTGTGGGAGATGCAGTTGTCCAACCCTGCTCAATGGAACTTTTCAAGTTGGTCCTGTGCTCAACTGCTAAAGAATATGTTGTCCCCTCGATCCCTTCCTACAACCTACTGTTTTCTAGGTAAGACAGTAATATATGCAACATGTGTACCTTCGTTGTCTCTATCAAACGCTTCTTTGCTTTCAGAAAGGTTCTAAGAGGACATAAGAAAAAGGGGGAAAATGAGTGCGACTATTGCTATTAAAGTTGGAAACAGATGATTTTCAGTAAATTAGGACGATTCACTACTATCACAACTCCTAAAGTGAACTAAACCTCTCACAACGTCGACCCTCCTTTAGTGACACAGATATACTTGCATAGGTTCAAATGCAAGCTGTAAACACAGATTAATGATTTTGGAATGTGATTAGCATCTGGGGGTCATGCAAAATGTTTTTCATTTGCCCGTTTCGAAATTTCCATATGTATCTGGCAGATAACAATACTGATCTACGACAACAGAGATACTTTGTGACAACTGTAACATGAATTGTTTATTTTTAACGTATTTTCTGTTCATTTTGTCATCGTCTGAACTTCCCCTCTTCAGTGGTGAAAAAAATTATTGAACGTGAGAAGTAAATCGCTAAATCGGAAGGAAGAAACCGTTTTGATGCGAAAGGATCCCATCTTTCGTTCAGCCATACTCACCAATTCCTCTGAGAGTGCAACATAAACCAAATTCCACAACACAAAACTGCAAACATGAAACGATCGCATCTCTCTATCGATCCGCACGGTAACTGACGAGTTCACCAATGAGTACTACAGTAAAAGCTGTCTTCAGACGATGTGCTAGACAATTCTTAACTCGCCAGAATCCACCCAAGAACAAAGAAATGGTGGTTTTAGTGAATGAAAAGCACAGCAGTGGAACAGACCCCGAGCTAAGGCTTAGACTAGTGAGAAAATTTCAATTTCCTGACAAGGTCGACAAGGGGTACATTGTCTCGCATTCCTCGACATCAATTAGATGTAACCGAAGCCCTCAATTTCCGGTCAGTTGGTTAATTGATAAATTTGTAGTGAGTACATGGAGCTCTTTGCGCATATAATAAATCCATGAGCTCTGACGTAAAATATTTTTGCAATCTTTTGTACGTTTGGAGAAAAAGAGAGATCGGGCAAAACTTGGGGTTTAAAGCTTATTTACCACTGTCGGGTAGACACTGATGTTCTCTTGGTCTTGGCTGCAGCTCAGGGTGCCTACCCCACCCATCTATTCTTGTTCCCAGAGCCCTCGTTCCTTTGAAAACGAGTGGCCCTAAGGCCAATAAGGTTCTTAATCAATATATGACGGGACATTAACATCAGACTAACCTAATAATATTAATGGAAGTTCACATGAAAATTGAAGTTCACATCTTAGTCGAGTCGTAACCTCCCTCCTACTCTACTCGTTTAAGGAGAATGCGAAATTATCAACCAGAAGATAAAAAGGATAGATTCCCTAACAGGAAGACATCTTAGTCCGTGGTAAAGCTGCTCCATCAATCATACAGAGCTGAAACGTGAAAAGATGAACCAGATAGGTTCGCACTACGTTCACGATTGATCTCAAAACTCGGAAAAAAGTGTAATAAGGTTTACTTGTAAACTTAGCCACGACATGTAAAACGAGCCGAAGCAATGCAAATATAAATTTCAAAAAATGCGAGAACGAGAGGAGTAAAGCTTTGTTCTTTCTCCGCGATGTGCACTTTGTGAGGCATGTTTGTCTAAATGTAAGATCAATAATAGCAATTTCTGGAAACAAAGGAGAGAGCAAACGTAATTCACTATCTCGCATGTGAACTTTAATGTAGTTACTTTCCATATGTATATATTATTTTCAAATACTAATAAATAAGTAAATTATTGACGCATCCAGGCACCCTAAACACGTTGAAATTATACATCGAATGCTGTTTTCTTAAATCGTAGATCATTCTTTTCTTAAATAAAACATTCCACGTTATGATACATATCATACAAAGCTTAGTTCTGAATGTTTCCTCAAGAAAATATTGATAAAGTTTAATGATAAGATCGCGTCTGGTAAAGGAATGACCACAGACTGTGTTGAAAGTAACGAGGCCACCGGCCCCTCGACGGAATTTTTCGATTATCACTATTCAAAGGTTAGCCTAAGTATGGAAAAGTGGAAAAAAATAATTCCGAAGAAGAAATCCAGAAACCGTATTTAATTTTTTTTTAACGAAATGCAACTGTAATTTTCAACAAAAAAAGCTTACAGTGGGTGCGAAGAAGAAACAGAGTAGCGTGCAGACAGGCTTTTATCAGCGCTGAAGCACGATCGTCTCTGTGACCTCAAGAAAGTTTGTGGCCTTGGACAAAGCGAAACTGCGAGGGGTCTGGCACTAACAGTGGGGCTTCATCCCTCGCAGATCTCTCGCCGAATCGCTTTGCCCCAAGCTTTTGACTTTCTCACGCGCGAAGGAAAAGTTTGTGCCGCAACGTTAGTGATGACAGCTGCCTGCTGAATAAACACTGGGTCTCCTGAATGTAACCCCTTTACATTATACGCGCTGGCCGATGTCTCCAACCTCCATCAACTATAATCAACAGGGAAGCAATGGATCTTTCTTTTCATTCACAAGATTCGTGTCAATACTTAAAAGCACCATACTTGCCGGCTTTCTTAATAAATTCTTTGACAGTTCCCTCATCAAGATGATTAAAGGCTTTAGTCTGGGTGACAGCTGTCAAGTGATTGATACAAAACTTGAAGCAAAATTCCTCAAGATCCTAAAAACAAAAAACAAAAATATTACATTTGGTTAATTTGTGATTATGGTTTGTTGGTTATCACGGTAAAAGAAGCATTCTTCGCCACAATGTTAATTTTTCTCCATTCTGAATCATCATGGAAAGACCAAAGAAAATTTCTCCTAGAATATCGATACGTTTTTAAGCAGAAGGGTGATGAGATGAGAGAATTACATCAATGAGAGGATGTATTTTGATCTAATACAAAAATCCTAGAGCCAAAATTATAAAAACGCATTGGGAATAGTGCGGAGAATTGACACCAGATCTCGAGAGTGAAAGGGCAAAGATCACTTTAACATTTCTCTAATCAAAAGAACAAGTCAAATTATTTGCGGCGCAGTTCTTTGAGTTATTGGACGTCAATTCTATCTTCTCACGCAGCGCAAGAACGTGCGACCAGACCAGACCACGGCTACGCAGGAGAAATAACCAACTGCTTATCAGAAAATCTCGTAACGGAGGCTATGCTCGACCCAATTCCTTATGGGCGGAAAAGGAGGAGGTTGTCCTCGTTTCACGTCTGAAAGGAATTATCGGAGCGTAACCACTGAATACTAGACTGATTATCCAATCAAATTCTTACCGAGGCCTCGTATTTAATGGCTGCTGCAAGTAACATGGCAGCATTTTCAACGGTAATTCCTTGTTTGATAATCCGTTCGCACTGATGTTTTAACTGTGTCTCGCAATATGAATTCGCCAAGTCCAAGAGACCTGAAAAAATAAGTTAACAAAGAAGCATGGGAGGGTAAACGCTGGTCCAAGAACACACATTCGAGCCATCTTTAATTAGGGGCCAACAGCAATCCGGGAGATTGTATTGGTTTTGCCTTACTTCACTCTATAATTGGTCAAAAAACTCACGCCAATCTCTCAACCAATCAGATTCAAAACTAAAACCAATCACGACTTAGTCACCCGCGTTTTCCCGCGCTTTGGCCAGTTCGATTGAATTTATTTTGAGTCCTCGTTGGTTCCTGGAGGTATTTTCCTTTTCTTCTGATTGGCCGTTGGACAAATTTGGTTTTGGATTTACGACACTAAATCGAAATGCACTCTAATAGGTTTGCAAGAACAATTCTATCGGGTTTCAAAAGTATTACGGTGAAGCATTGGTTTTCAAGGCTCCACTTCATTATGTAGAAAGTCTGGAAAACTCGCAGCACCCTGCCAGCCAATCAGATGCAAAATTAAAACAATCACCGCTCAATCCTGCGCTTCTGATTTCTCTTTGGCTCCTTTGTAATGTTTCCTCTTCGTTCCAGTTGTCTATTGTGATTTATTCGGATTTGGTTCTTCAACAAAACCGAAAAACGCTCATAGCTGCTTGAACCTTAGTTTGACACTCTTTAGATATCGAAAATCTGACATCTGACTCACCGATGGCATCTTCAGGCAGCAGATGAACCTGATCAGTGTAGAGATACTCCAAGAAAGCGTAATACACAGGATAGCTGAATTGTGTGATTTCTATCACGCTACAAACACAACAAAAACACTTCTAAGCCACATAAATCGCTTTTCTATGGCCAATCAGCAAATTTGATTCATTTAAAAACATTTCAACCGCATTTAGGAAAAATAAAAACTGCTTTTAACCTTTTTTCATCTTCATCCCAGTGCGCCTGGAACATGCTCCGAAAGTGTTCACACCTGTTAGGAAAAAGGTTTGTTTTGATTTAACAAAGGAACTCAGTTTTAGCTCTGATTTTCCTAATATGTACCTCTGTTTTGACTTCATTATTTATGAAATTCTAAAAATAAGTGATAAATAAATGTGTACGACTTTTCAATATATGTTTTTGGTCAGTTTTGCTCACCAAATGATGTTATTTTGAGAAGTCATGACAAGACCAACACCCTTGATAATCATTTCATGTAGGGGTAACTTCTCTCTCTCTCTCGCGCGCGCGCGCACTCGTTTGACTTCTTGCCTGTGTATGCCGGTCTACATCACTCGAGGCTCCTCGAAGCTCGCACATAGTTAACCAATGCAAAGAAATGAAGATAACGTTACCTTATTTTGAGCAGGGACTTGTGCACATAAACCGGTTTGCCGTCAATCATAAACGTTAGATCGCTTGTTTCCTGTTACAAATAGACGACACAGTAAAACGGACATGTCTGATGATTAATTAAACGACTATTTTATTTATTTATTTATTTATTTATGTGTTTATTTACTTATTTATTTATTTACCATATTACGAGCATTCCCACTCTACAAGGCTTATATGCTCGGATTCGGTCAGATTCGTAGGTTCGATTTAAAGAATTTTAAACGTAAAAGTTCCAAAACAATGAACAAAATAAAAGTAATACAAGCTACTGTTTGATACATTGGTGGAGTACGCACCCATGATATGAAGACGATACCTGATCATTAAATGCATCTCTAACACTCTGTTCAACTCTCTTTTCCTGAACCTGGTCTGAAGATAATGGGGCAAAGACAATAAAGTTGCCAGATTATTCACTAAACATCCCAAGGTTATTGAATTATGGCATTGTGACTTGCCATTGTTCAAACAAACTCTGACTTACAGTTACCGTTATTAGTAATAATTTGTACAACTGACTTGTTACTAACCAACAATAAGAGGTCTTGCCATCGACTGTGGGGAGGCAAAACATGCAAAGGTGGTGTCAACTCTGGTAAACTTTGTTTCCATAGGACTTGTGACAGCCTGCCCTCGACACTGACCCCACATAAAGACCTATAAGGCAGTGGAAATTAGTTTTTAAAAGATTATTCAAATATTAACAATTTGAAAATTATAGCTGAATGGAAAACTTTTTTGATAGCAGCTTCCCATTTTCAAAGGACCCTATGTTCTTGTGCAGTCACGTAAAAGGTTCTACCTCTCTGAGGATCCATTAGACAATGAGCAATCCCTAATGCCAGGTTCTTACCAAGCAATTCCAAAATCCTATCAGGAAGGGCTTCAAGCTGCAGCTATTCTGGTGGTCTAAACAATTTCTGACACTACCATATCATGCAGGATGCTGTCATCTGAAATTTATCACAATCATTCATTCTCAGACTCATCTGTCTGCTTCAGAGCACTACCTTCCAATTTTGAATACTTTCCTGTCCAATTTTGGATGCCACTGTCTATTTTCAGAAATTTCCATGCTATTTCGGACACCAACATTTGATTTCAGACAATATTTTAAATCTTTCAGACATTTCTGTCTGAGTTTAGATGTTATAATCTGTGTTTGGACACCTTTGTCTCATTTTGTACCCTTCTTTCAGTTTTTGGGCTCTTTTGTCTGCTTTTTGACCCTAAAGTTTGCTTGGTTTTTTTTTTCAGCCACTTTTGCCTAATTTCAGTGTTCAAAGGACTTAAGAAATATCTGTCAGAAAATAATGTTTTCCTGGGAGTAAAATAACATTTCTGGCTGCTACCATTCAATCAATTTAGGAAAACAATTGGTGACAATGGAAAAAGTTGAGCTTAGAGCCCTGCTGGGATATACAGATTCATGAGTAGAAAAACCTTGTAAACTATTAACTAAAGGTGATTGTACAAAGGGTGTACTAACATAAACAGTGCATACCTTTCCTGTGGCTGTCATAGCAGCTGATAAGTGACTGTAATGACAAGCAGCAACTTCAACAAACCTAGCAAGTGTCAATGATTAAAAAGAAAAGCATTCAAATCCTCAATCTGAGGTCCAGCACATTAACCACTGGGTCAACACATTTCTTAAATGACCTGTCATAGAAAAAATACTTCAAACAACATGATTACATACCTTCCTTTATCCAACCCTATCTTGGTTGGTGTGACTAAGTGTGCCTTGTTCCCTGTTCCAAGCTGTCCATAGGAGTTAGCCCCCCAGGCATACAGACATCCAGCATCTGATAGAGCCAGTGAGTGGGCATAACCACATACAATCTAAAACATCATTTCGTTAAATAGTTAGTAGGTGTAATTCTTGAAAGGATTAAGTTTTTGATCTAATTCATCATGATTTATTGTTCAGTTTATGTTCATTCATACTTGTGTTGTGATTGTTCCAACAAGTCCAATAACTTTGCATGGTGTCAACTGATTAGCATTGTTACCAACTCCTAACTGACCATTGCCATTGTAACCCCAAGCAAACAGCTGCAACAAAAAAGAACAAACTTGCAATATAATAAAGGGCTAATGCCCAAAACTTCAGCTTTAAAAACTCTTCAGGGTAATCAACTTACGTCATCAACTCAGTTGATAAAACCACATTATTTTTACAAAATTTGATGTGTACTCTGTCTATTTTCTAAACAATTTTAGTGAAAGTAAGAACATATGTACTCTTACCTCTCCAGCATCTGACAAAGCCATAGAAGATGTCTGACCACAAGCAATTACAATTATCTTTTTTGTCCCTATATAAAAATGAAAATGTGAAACATTTTAAGAATTTGTTTACCTAGCTTTGATTACAGACCATAGAAACTACAATACATAATTTTAATACTTGCTGACAATGACTGACAATCACAAGTCACCATATTGGCACCTCACACCGCAAATTTGGCTACTGAATTTATTTTAGCAGCTATAGCAACCAAAACATTTACAGCCTGGAACACTGTAGAGATCATTTACTAACCTATCATTGCTGAATTTATTTTTCTGGGTACAGTCTGATTGTTTGTGTTTCCAGTACCTATCTGTCCACAGTTATTGTATCCCCAGGCAAACACCTGTCATACAATTTAAGACAGAAATACTTATCAGTGCAATCCAAAAACATGAGCTACTGACTGGCAAGTAAAAAAGACAATTTTCCATTCTGACTCTACCTCTCCTTCTACAGTAAGTGCAAGAGAGTGATGACTACCACAGGCCACTTGAAAAACTTTTTTCGTATGTAGTCCAGAAGTGACAGGTGATGGGATTAAACCTTGGTTTGTGTTTCCATTTCCAAGTTGACTGTAGCCATTATGACCCCAGGTAAATACTTCACCTGCTTCTAAAAAAAGACAAAAACACATAGAAAACGCATTTCAGCAAATGTTTAAAACCTACCAGTAACATTTGATCTTGTAATCTGATAGACCGTGTGGGACTAGTCATGAGAAGGACTATTTTTCCATGGTAGTCACATACATTTTGACACCCTTAGCAGAAGTCATCATCAGAGGTCATCATTAGAATCTGACAGTCACTTCCCTTCACAATGTCAAAACATCTGTCACTACTGCTGACAACAGTTCTTTTCATGAACTACTCTCTCCTGAAAGATTATAATACAGGATAAAATCCTATTTAGAAGATAAAAGAGTCTCCAAATCTCCAGACCATCATGAGGGTCATTCAGTGCTTTCAATAAGATTTGAGGAAGGTGGCTACCTTGGTAAAGCACCTGCCAGAGAATATTCCCCTTATTATCCCATTACTTCCATTCAGAACAAACTAAGCTAAACAGAGTTTTCAGTGTAAAAATTCCATAGATGATTATTAAATTTTCGTCTCCTTTATAACAATTGTTTCATTAATTGTTTTATTTCTGATCAAAATCTTCCACTTGCAGACACACAAGCCTGCTCCCTGAGTTTCACACAAAAAGTCCTCTGAAATCTGAGTTAGTATGTTGCTGGAAACTCAAAATCTTTTTTCACTGGAAATGTATGAAATGTATGCTGGAATTCAGGATAAGACAATAACAATCATTTTTATCAAAACTCATTTAAAAAGTTAAAAGTCGACTAAAAGAACTCTAGAAGATCTCATGGTGTTTTAGGTCTCACTTTGTGAGTCTGCTTGAAAGCTTCCAAAGTATACCCAGCGATTCAAAGCAGAATACCTGCCAGAGCTCCAGTGGGTGCCAGGTCTTATTGAAAGCACTGTCATTTAACTTTGTATGAAAGTGAGGCATAGCAATTGTAATGATCAAAGCTTCTCCCAGTTTAAAGGGTGGGGTAGGTTTAGTTGGTAACAAATTCATGGCTTTGGAATGTTTATGGTGACAAACTCTGACCAAGCATTTTCCAACTTAATCAGTTCACCATCAGGTGTTTTGAGGATATGACCATTGCAAATAATTCTTAACATGAGTAAACACAAGTCAATAAATGTAGCATTTTTCCAAGAGAGATTCACCTTGATTTGAATTATTACAGTAATGTTGCTTATTTTAATATTCAGCATGGGATATTTATGGTTTAAACATTAGTCTTTTTGGGATTTCCTTGAGAATTCTCAAATTTCATTTACGATCTAGAAAGTATTATAAATAGCAAAGAAAGAAAAATTCCTTTTTTAAGCATAATCTACCCAAACGAGTTTGGAAATTTAAGAAATTGATTTTAGATCAGAGGCACATAATATATAAAAAAGTAACCTGTCACTGCAAGGACGTGAGGACCACTGCCATATGCCAGGGACATCACATTCTTTTTACACAAGGCTTCTACTTTCCTGGGATGAAGACAACTCTGAGCATCTCCAACTCCAAGACAACTGCTTCCATTTGATCCTAGCGCGAACACATCATCGTCTTTCGTGACAACAATCGCTTCATTTCCTGAGTTTCCAAAAACACACGCTATTCTTACAGCTACCAAAAACTCTTCATTCAGGAGACTGAAAATAGGCCACCTCTCTAGTTCTTGCATTGTGATCTGTATTATTTGATCGAAATTTCTATATTTGTATCATTAAAAAGGAAACATGCTGAATTAAAACCGGCAGAAATCCTCCTGGTGAAACAGTGAGATTAAAATTTCTGTGTAATATTCATCGTAAACCTCCCCACACGGCAAAGCTAAGAATCCGAGCCTTGTTTTCCTTAGCTGCCAAGCCTGTCTTCGCGCAAGCGCAAGAGAAGTGCATGACGTCAGTTCTAAATGCATTATGGGTTATATTTATGGCCAGTTCTCTGGTTCAGATTATGGAGGTTGTTCTTGGAGCGATTTGGGAATAATGAAATTGCAAGGGAAAATGATATGTTAAAGCTGTACGTTTCGATTTTAAAATAGTAAATTGTCTAAATCAGCGAGAAACGTCGAGATTTTGGGTAATTTCGTCCAAGAAAGAGAAGGTTTCGTGCGATAGGGAGTCGCTAGTTTCCGTCATGAGTCTACGAGCTGGGAAGAAAGATACAAAGATGAGGATTCGGGCTTTTCCGGTAAGTGTGAGCTTCCCCAGAAATAAAAATGCCGCAGTTTAGTCTTACAGCATTGCTTCAATCGGCAGTGATGCCTTGAATGTTTATCCATACTTATCAGAATTTATAGAACCAAGATGATTGAGCTATGCTGAGCAGGCCGAATATTAATTTGATGATTTGTAACACGATTTGCTCCCAAGTTAAACTAAAGTTCTTGACGAGTCAAGCCATAATGTTTGGTCCCGAATAAGTCACTTGCCCAGCTTTGAGGAACTGTTTAGTTTTATGAAGGAAAGGGGCTTGATTTGCAATTTGGTGACACGTACATCGCCTCAAATTGAAGCTTGCGGAAGTACAACTTGTACGAATGTAGCATTTTTTGAGGTCGTAGTTCTAATGATTCTCTTTTGCCATCCTTTTTTTATGTTATCGATCCAACTTATGATACCTTAGGTTATGCAGTCTTGAAATAAAAAATTTCTACGTGTGTTGTATTTTTTAATGTTATTGTTTGCTGCCACAAACCTAACGTTAACTTTTGATGCCCAATTATGCGTTTGGATTTTTTTTGTACTTAACTTGAATTGTGACCTTATAGTACATATTTAGATCATATACTGTATAAACTGCAAACTGCATATGCATGCAATCTCTCATGTCATTAAGTCTTGCAGCACCATACATGCTTTCTTAGTTTTAGCTCTCTTATTTTTGTCAAGTAAGGGAACAAGTACAGGAAAATACAATGCCTGAACAGCAAAATTAAATTTACAGATTTTTAAATCAACCTTTAGTTGATTCTTTTACCAGGAAAACCTGAGTGTTTGGATTTCAATCCAAACCAGTCTTTATTATAGATACAGGGAACTTTACCAATATCTCTGCATTATCTATGTTCAGTGTGTGTGATAATGAGTTTGTGCAAACAGTTTGCAATCAAATTGAGACACCAGGCAGATTTATGTTGTAAATGTACAGCAAAGAAAAAAAATGATGATGCGAATAACCATTATTTTTCACTATGAGGCCAATCAAGTAGGAGGAATTTAATGTTAATTTGAGGAAATTATTAACCTGTCCAAAACAGAAATTTTAATCATTTTTCTTATAATGCCATTACTTCAGATGTGGATCATGATATTTCAGCTGCATATGACTAGTCTTCTTCAGGTATTGAGACTGGTAGTATGCAGTCAAAACATCACAATCCATATTGGAAGTGACTACATTATGAGAGAAATGAATATATTTCTTTTTTGAAAGTGTTATTTGCCATGATGACAAACTGCAAGTTATTTTGGGATTACTTATCTTGTTGTAATTCTGTAGCGTATTTTCAAGTGCTTAGTTAAATCGCCTAACGGAAGATTAACCTTCTATGCCTCACCTTACCTTTTTGAGTTGAACAAGTGATATTTACACTGGTGGTACCTTTAAAATCAAATTTGGACTCAAGCTGATGTTTTAACTGGCAATCTAGTGATATCAAATTTTTTTCTGTTTTTATTGTCATTTATGATTAGTTATTTTGAGAAGCAGAATCTTAATTTTAGATTTCTATTTTTGGTTAATTGAGTTTTTGTGTATTTATGTGGGTATTTTTGGAATACTGATTAATTGATTTCTCTCTTGCTAATTTGAATTCCTAAGATCTCACACTGTTTTGCACATTTTTCTTATAATTTTAGTGTTGAAATTTTAGTGTTCTCCCATACAACACTTCCTTTTTATTTTTTTAATTATTGAAATTGGGGGGGAGGAACTACTCATTGGTCACTTCTGGAAGTAGGAGTAATGTTTACAGTAGATCCTTCTTGATATTGCCTGATTTTTTACCCTCCGACTCACAATGTGTAAAATGATCTCTTAATACAATGATTTCTTATTTAAAGTGTATACATGTAGGTTTTTTCCCTGAATTTTAGTTTTTTTCTTTCAATTAGTAATTCTTGTATTGGTGTAAGAAAGTATGCATTTTCTTTGAAGCAAATACTTTTTCTAGAACATGACATGAGAGATAGGTGATGTTTTTGTCATTTTTCTTACCACACTTATCACCTTTTTTTGTTATACAAGCTTTTACCAAAGGGGATTGCAGTAATCATGTGATCATTTGCATGTGGTGGTAAAATGATAAGACTATTCAATTTGAAAGAGAATTTCATGGTAATCACCTCGACTTGTATGTCAACTTTCGGTAGCTTTCTTGTTGGGAACAAGATTAATGAAAAAATAACTTGTCTTTTTGATTAAAAGAAACGTCTCAAATTAGTGAGACGTTTCTTTTAATCATATTTCAAGCCCACCTTTGTCTTGACACAGATATGAGTTCAATTTCTACCCTAGCTTTGGGATTGAAACTCAAACGTTTTTCCTCTTTCTTTCTTTGCACAGATGACTATGGATGACAAGTATGTTGAAGACATCTGGAACTTGCTGAAGAATGCTATCCAGGAAATTCAGAAGAAAAACAATAGTGGCCTTAGTTTTGAGGAACTTTATAGGTGATATTTTCAAATTCAATAATGAATTGTTAACTTGTTTCTTCTCTAGGTCTCTCGTATTTTGCCCTATATCCTATGTGAAAACTCAATGTAACAACAAATTTTCTTGGTATTACCTTTAATTCTCATGAAGCGGTCAGTGAGAACAAATATAGTAGTATCTTTATATATTGATTACCTTATCTATCTACTTCTTGTTGATTTTGCACAGCCATGGATGCAATGAAAAAATTTATCTTTTTCTTGTTTTCTTATTTCAAACTTATTGACTTCTGTTCCAGTTAATAATTAAGGTACCATAAACATTCTTTGGAATCTCATTTTTTATTTGAAAATCAAATCGATAAACTAGTAAATACTATGTTTTGAGATGTTTGGGAGTGGAAAGAGATAAGCATTTCTTTTTATACATGGGAAATGTTTTAAAGGATAGCAAGTTAAAAGTTAGTGTTGATTTGAATTAAATAGGAATGCTTATACTATGGTCTTACACAAGCATGGAGAGAGGTTATACTCTGGACTCAAACAAGTTGTGACAGAGCATCTGGTAGAAAAGGTATTAAACATGCACTTCCTTTATGTTGGGGACTTATTTAGTATTTTACTAGAGTATTGACAAATACATCAGTCAGTACCTCACTTAGGTTTACAAATGGGTTTTGCCAAACTGTTGAGGGGACTTGATGGAAAACTGACACTAGTCTACATTAAAGAAGAGTATCTTATAGGGGGGTTAGAGAGACTCTTGGGACGGGTTTTTTGCACAAGGTCTAACCCAAACTGAGTTGTTACTCAAGCAGTAGGCCTCTGGAATTCTCTATTAGAGGGTTGAGTTAATTAATTGATTGTCCTTTCACTATCAGCTATTGACCCTCTTGACACTGTTCACAAAACTGAATGTTCAAAAATAAAAGGTTCAGCTAAATTGAAGGTGGTTAGAAGGTGGTTTTGTTAAACAATGCCTAAACTTTATTTAACTAACTGGGCATGGTTGTTTCATGATGTTGCTGGATAGATAGTATTTGGCAATATTAGCTACCTGGCTATTGTTCTTAACTTAAGCAAGTTTAAAAACACTCCCAGTCAATTTTTACATATAACTCATGTTTCTTGTACCACCATACTCTATTTTATCTTATTACTTAAAGATACGCAAAGATGTGGTGGTTTCACTCAACAACAATTTCCTGGACACATTGAATGCTGCTTGGAATGATCATCAGACTTCAATGGTGATGATAAGAGATATTCTCATGTACATGGTATGTCAACCCAAATGACGTCCTAGTATTTTATGACAACAGCATGTTAGTATGTGTTCCTTAAAACAGTAACAAGTCTCTCTGTAAGGCTTTCTTGGGTAAATGTAAACAAACAGTGCACCAAATCTTTTCAGTAAACACAGCTTGGTTAGGGTGAAAGGGAGCAGAGTAGTTGGTTGTTCACAGGGCACATTTAAGGAGATGAACTCTGGGCAGTGGAGCACAAATCCAGTGAGTGGTAAGGTGAAGGACTTCACCCAAGGGATTACAACTGCAGTGCACCAGCCTCTGAGTCTTCACACTTGGCCATCCTGCCTTTGTTATTGCTGGCTTCATGTCATAGATAACTGATTAGTAAATAAACCCTTTAACTCCCAAGATCTCACAAGTAATTCTCCTTACTGTCTGCCATACAGTTCTTGTGATGTAAGTCATAAAGGAGAAATTGGTATTGGATCAACTAATAATCCCATGATTGATATTTCTCTCTATTCTCATCACCTGTCTGCTTGATATTGTATTGATATTGTAAGAAGAAATTCTGTCTTGGTCACTCATGGGAGTTAAAGGGTTAACACTGATAGCCAGTGTGTAAAGGTTAAAGCCTTATAATTTGCTCTTTATAAATTTGCTTCCTTAATGTTCAACCTTCAACAAATTTTCACATTTTTTTAGTGCACAACAACATCTGGCTGGAAATTTTAGAGCTTTCTGAAAAATTTTTTTCTTTTAACTCTATGATTACTTCCACAGGATAGAGTCTATGTTCAACAAAACAGTGTTGATAATGTCTACAACTTGGGATTGATCCTTTTCCGTGACTTGGTGAGTTTCTGTGTTGGGTTATTAAATTTGGTAGTAGACAAAGCCAAGCTAGTTATGACATCCTACTAAAATTCTTCATATGAGGTTGTTGATGAAAACAACATGTTTTGTTTTTTAATACTGCTAGTCAATTGCTAGATCATTTGGTCATTTAAGTAGTTTTTCATCAACATTTAATTTCCAGAATTTGCCTCTGTGGCAAATTTATCAGTATCCATGTCACATTGAAAACAAACCAATAGTTTGTTCCTCACAGTTTCTTGTAACTAATACCCATCACTAGATTACACTTTTTTCCCTTTTTTCAAGGTGGTGAGGTATGGTAATATCAGAGATCATTTGTGTCAAACATTACTCACACTTGTCAGAAGAGAGCGGAAAGGAGAAGTTGTTGACAGGTAGCTGGATAATTTATAATCATAATACTTGTAACTGTCAAAAGATATTAAATATAGTTATGCATTAGATGCCTTTGGAAGTCATGGACTATCCCTTCTCTCACCAAACTGTTAATTAAAAAGTTGTATGTTGTCATTGTTTTACCACACTGAAGTAACCTTTTATATTTCTTTTTCCTGAAATTATGGCTCATCTTGTTTCCCCCTGTCTTCATTGGTTAGGATGGCTATTAGAAATGCTTGTCAGATGTTGATGATCCTAGGAATTGACACAAGAAGTGTGTATGAGGAGGATTTTGAGAAACCATTCCTTGAAGAGTCTGCAGAATTCTACAAGGTATAAACTTTCTGGCAGGTCCTGCATTTGTTAGCATTCATGCACAAGAGGAAACTTAATGGCTTTGCCTCAGTTCACTTGTCAACAAAGAAAGTGATTTAAGGAATATTTTGAAATTGGGCTGTAACTTGTCAATTTTTTTTTCAAAATTTACATCAAAAACAACTTTAGAGTCCATAATATATGTTATTGCTTGAACATTTATTGCATTTTGCTTGATCTTTCCCCAACAGTTGGAAGGTCAAAAGTTCCTAGCAGAAAACAGTGCATCTGTTTATATTCAGAAGGTGTGTCCCTCTTTGATGGATCCATTCTCAACAGTTTTTGAATTGGATCATGTCTTTTTGCAATGAATTTGTTGTGTAGTTACTGACTTCAAGGCTCCTCCATCAGGTTGAAGCCAGAATTAATGAAGAATCGGAACGGGCCAAGCATTACTTGGACCCTACTACAGAAGAACCTATTGTTAAGGTAATGACATGTGGCTTTTGATTATGGAGATTAAATGAAGAGATGCATGGGAGAAAGCCTTAGTGACTTTTGGTGAAGTGTTTGATTCTACTTGTAAATTGTCTTCTCTTGAGAAACAACAGTAGAAGTAGATATTATCTCAAAAGTCACTTGGGGCCTTTTTCAGTGCAACCCCTTAAAAATTCATTGGAGAAAAAAGCAATAAGCATTTACTCCTTGGGAATATAGGGATTGGTGTCTTTCCTTTTTAGGATGTAATTTGATGTAATTGTTTTTGGTTGGAAAATGATTATTTTCTCAACAGGTTGTGGAGGAGGAGTTAATACGTAAACACATGAAAACAGTGGTGGAAATGGAGAACTCTGGTGTTATCCATATGCTAAAACACAACAAAATAGAAGGTTTGTGTTCTGTCTTCTATTGCAATTTTCTCACCATATCAGCATGGACAGTTTCCTATAAGCAAAAGAGAACCTTTGAAAAATAATTTGCTGTCATACTGAAACACAACAAGAATTATCCCAAATAGAAAATGGATTGATGAAGATGGGGAAGATGAGCACTGATTGAAGTTGACAAACTTGAAAACTTGAATTTTAAGATCTAGCTCATGTAATTTTCTATGTAGTATTTGTCATAATTGCTCCTCTGATGATGTGCTGCTGGTGAGGTATTTTTATACCTTTTTGAGATGGAAAGGTTAACTAAGGACCTTACATAAAAAGTATTAGAATGGAAAATTTTCTTGTTTTGTTTACAATTTAGACCTGGCAAGGATGTACCGTCTTTTTGTGAGAGTCAAAGATGGGTTGAAAACTGTGTGTGATTGCATGAGGGGATATTTGCGTGAACAAGGCAAAGCTCTTGTCATTGAAGAAGAAGGGGAAAGTGGTAAAAATCCCATCACATACATTCAGGTACAAATTTCTTCTCATCAAGATTCATTGATTGTTGAGTTTATGAACATATTAGTGCCAGCTATGTGATACTGTGGAGGATGGGTTTTCTTTAACATCCCAGCAAGTTTGAATTACTGTATGCTCATTATCTATCTCCTTGAGATTTTGATGCTGATCTTAGCAGTATGTAGGATGCTTGCAGCTTGAACCTAGTATATGACCTAGCTCAGTGATGAGATCTCTGTAGCTCAGTTGGTAGAGCATCTGACCACAAAATGAGAAGGTCTGAGGCTTGAGTCCTTTGTACCTTGAGTCCTCCTGGTAGATCAGATTTTCACTTGTGATTATCTAACGTTTATGGAGAAAATGCACAATGTTCACAACTATCACCAGCACACAAAATGTGAGTAGAAAAAGAGAAAAAGTATCTGACCTTGTAGGGAGCAATTTAAAGAATTCCTCTTCCCTCAGCCATCATGTTGTTACTTGTTATTGACAGAATAAATGTAGTACCATCTTGTTATTGACTCCACTCACATCTTTTTCTTTGTTTTACCTTTTTTTTGTTTTTTGTTTTTTTCATTTTTCAGAGCCTACTAGACTTAAAAGACAGATTTGACCATTTCCTGAACAATTCGTTCAATATTGACAGGTTATTCAAGCAAGCCATATCCTCTGTAAGTTCAGGAGTTATTGGGTTATTTGTGACATTTGCTTGGAGTGTGAATGCTGCAACATAATACTTGCTACAACAAAAAAGTACAAATACTACAACATCACCTTCTTTCCCATTTCTAGGAATTTGAACATTTCCTTAATCTCAATGGAAAATCCCCTGAGTTTTTGTCGCTCTTCATTGATGACAAGCTGAAGAAAGGAGTAAAGGGGGTAAGTTGTATTAATTTTACTACTTTGTTTTCACCTTCAAATGCCTTTTATGTTTTTGTCTGGTACAAAGCAGTTATGTTCTGTACTACATGTAGATGTAGGTTGTCTATTAGAGATCCGAGTTATAAAGTAAACTTCCAAATCTATTCAACCAGTGCTTTTTTAACTTGTTATTTCAGCTTTCTGAACAAGAAGTGGAAACAGTTTTGGACAAATGTATGGTACTGTTCAGATTTCTTCAAGAAAAGGTGATAGAACTTAGCCTTCAATAACTGCAATCTTGCTTTCTTTCAGTGTTGAAATTTTGGTGAGTATCTTTAAACTCAACTCCATTCCAGACCCTTCTTGATAAACTCAGTCTAAACATTAGAACAAATTTAACTTGACAACCTGAAGGCCTATTTTATTTAGCCCGTTTTTTGTTAAATGATGCTAAGGATCACAGTGCAAAGGCTATCACATAACAAGGAATTGTTTTTTTAGGATGTTTTTGAACGGTACTACAAGCAACACCTGGCCAAAAGACTTCTTCTGGGAAAGAGCATTTCAGATGACTCAGAGAAAAACATGATTTCTAAGCTGAAGGTTAGTCAATGGTTAAAAAGTGCATTATAAACACGACACTAACAGTGATGTATCAACAATTATTATTCTAATGTCTGTAAACATTTCAATGACACTGCATGTATTTTTCTTTTCAGACCGAGTGTGGTTGTCAATTTACATCCAAGCTGGAAGGCATGTTTAAAGACATGACACTGTCACAGTCAACCAATGATGAATTTAGAAGTCATATTTCCAACAATCAGGTAAATAGGAAAGTACTTTCCTTTTTGAGAAAACAAGTCATGACAATAATTATGATTATAATGGTAGGAATGATAATGGTGATGTTAATAATAGAAGCCTTGATGATGTTGATGACAATGACAAGATGTTTTATTGATTCCTAAAACTGAAATCATGTTTTTAATTACAAGTTTGATGTTCTGTGGCTATCTTTAGATCAATCTGATGGGTGTGGACCTTGTGGTGCGTGTCCTAACAACAGGTTTCTGGCCAACTCAGTCCTCCTCACCAAAATGCACAATTCCTCCCCAGGCCCAGCATGCCTTTGACTGCTTCAAAAGGTGACATAAGTGACCGAATGAAGTCCGAGTTGTACTGAAATTGAAAACTATGGACATGGAATGATAAATTATTTACTTTTTTGTGTGTTGTACTCTACAGGTTCTATTTAGGTTGTCACAGTGGAAGACAGCTGACTCTACAACCACAGCTGGTAAGATCTGTTTTACCATATATTTTTACTGAGTTTGTCTTTTTTATTTAACAAGCAGATCCCAAGTTTCCGTACGTCTGTTCAGTAATAGGTCACAGATGACGTCAAAACGTGGTAAGAACAAAAAAGTGACACACGAGGCGCAGCCGAGTGTGTCATTGATGTTCTTACCACATTTTGACGTCCTCTGTGATCTATTACTGAACAGACGCGTGGCAACTTGGAATCTATTAGTTTTATATAATTAAGAATTTAAAAAAGGTTTAATGATGACGTCATCTATATATCTGTCCTTCAATAGATCATAAGTGAGAACCAATCAGAATGCGTGCATAACTGAGCTTATTATATAAAGATCAATAGATCATTGTTGCTTAGCCAATAGAGTAACCTCATGATTCTTTTATAGTCAAATAATCTAAACCTCGGTTCGAAAGGAATAATCCACCAAGTTTTCAGTCGTTTCTAAGTGCGAAATTACTTTCAGAGTGAGGGAAGTAACATAATATTGGTTTGGTAAGACGAAGAAACACTACTACATTAAGAATAAACTGAAAAAAGGAACTGAGACGGTTAAGGATGGAGAAGATTCACATGGATTGGAAATGGCCACACTGTAATATTGAAGGCCAGAGTATTACTTATAAACAATCGATGACCTAGCTCTTCTAAGCTTTTTCTTCGGCTTGCAATTTTTTCCTGAAGTAATGACTAAAACAACAACAAGAATTGATTAGTTCCCCTTCAGCATGAACGAAGATTGTACCTTTTTATCAACGTTAACATGACTTGTGGTAGTTGTGATGAGATGCGAGATCTGTTTCTTGTTAACAGGGAACAGCTGAGCTAAATGCTACATTTCCACCTTCCAAGAAAGTGAGTACCACGTTTTGACAACTATTGATTTTGAAAAAATCGACTGATCTTTTAACTTTGATGACAGGTGATTATTTCTGTAGTTCAAAATGTTTTCAATACAGTTACTTTGTGTTATCATTGTGTTGTACTTAAATTTTTGGTTCAATTGCGGTTTGTAACTTTGCATGTTTCCACCGCACTTCCAGTTATCTGTGTCTTTACATGTTTATTACACAATTGATCTGGCTTTCCAACATTTTAGCAACATTTTCGAAAGATTCTCTGAGTAACAAGTGTTATTTTATCTTTAGGAGGGTGGTCCGACAGAGACACGTCGACATATATTCCAGGTCTCCTCGTATCAGATGTGTCTGCTAATGCTTTTCAACACACAAGAACGATGGACGTATGAGGTAGGTATACATGACTCAATAGACAGCTGATGAAGGAGGGCGCATTGGGCGACTAAGAAGTGCAAAAGGCCCCTCAAGTTCTCTTGTGTCGTCCCTACATGTGTATATTATCACATGTGCTCAAGTTGTGTATTTTTTCGTTGCAGGAAATAAGTCAGCATACAGAAATTCCCGAAAGAGATTTAAACCGAGCGCTGCAGTCATTAGCATGTGGGAAAGCGACACAGAGGGTTCTTACTAAAGATCCTAAAGGAAGGGACATATGTGAGTTGAAAACCTGTGGAAACTCTTCACGCTTCTACTCATAGATACTGGATAGGTGATGCCACCAAGGTCTCAATGGGGTGAACCATAAGCCGTAAATTGGCAAAAAAAAATCCTAGCTGTCAAGCGTAAATATTGACCAGCAAATGTTAACCGTTTAGTTAACCTTTAAAATTTTTCATTTAACCGAAACGAAAAGAAATCATCCGTTAGCCGTAAAATGGCCACGATTTTAACCATTAGCCGTAAAAGCCATCACCCCACTGATACCCTCTACCACTAACTGAGCTAGGGAGCTAAATGTTGGGTTTTTTGATTGTTTGTTTATCTCTCTGTCTGTTTATTTACTTATTTATTTTATTTTTTATTTTCGTGACCTTATTGTTTATGATTAATACAGCTGCAATTTACCTTTGAGCATCAACTTTGATGTCATGATAATGATGATTGATGAGTGGTCATGTTGTTCTTTCCAGCACCAACGGATGTGTTCTCAGTGAATGAACAATTTACGTCCAAATTACACAGAGTAAAGATACAAACAGGTACAGTTCAGTCTCTTCTCCTTAATCCTCTTCTTTCCTTTTGAAGAAACCGTTGTCAAACTTTTCTCTCTCTTCTCTGTGCAGTTCTCGCCAAAGGTGAAATGGAACCCGAGAGGAGGGAAACCAGAAATAAAGTGGACGAAGACAGAAAACATGAGTATCCTTTGAAGCCTCTAACTGTTAAGAGTGACTTGAATCTTTTAAGATTAAAATCACTGCTGAATCAAACATCAAGGTCATGAGAATAAAGGATATGATCACCAACTGAAGAAGATATTGATTCTCAAACAAATTCTCCGTGTCAGTACTCTAGAAAATGTCTGGAAAACAGTGTGGAGAATATGCATAATGATCGTTGGGTGTAAAGGGTTAAGACAAACTCTGTATTCTGAGAGAAACGGTGGCCTAATGGTTAGCGCCGTAGAATCACGATCCTAAGATGCAGGGTCAAGCCCGGGCTGAGTCCTCGTGTCGTGAATATTTACGGAGCTACTCTTGACTGGAACGCGTGCATGCTTCTTTGCGTTTTCTTATGATTTCGTGCTTGACTATGACCACAAAGCTGTGACATCTTTTAGCAATCTGAGCTATAGTACAGAGTATTCATTTCCTTAATAAACTACAGAATTGAAGCCGCCATTGTTCGAATAATGAAGGCACGGAAAAAGACACCACATAATCTCCTAGTAGCAGAGGTTTGTATTAAGAGGCTTGAATTGTAGTAATGAATTAGATTTTCCTCTCTCTTTGAAGCATCCCTGTGAACTCGTGTTTGTGTTTGTCGTGAGCAGGTAACTGAACAGCTTAAAGCTCGATTCATGCCCAGTCCACAAGTTATTAAGAAGAGAATTGAAGGCTTGATTGAAAGAGAATACTTAGCCAGGACTCCCGAGGACAGGTCAGTGACATCAACATGTAGTATACGTCATAATACTCCTTAGTTAGACGGCAAGTTAGCAAAACAGTCAAATGCAAAACGAGATCGTACAGTAGGACTGTTAAGCTATTTACGGCATTCATTCTCCGGCAGAAGAAGGCATAATGTCCTAATGCGTGTTCTATGGATGTAACTCAGTTTCTCCTTTGAATACTTTGGGTTGTGCTTGTAATTAGAAAACAGTGTTGCGTTTGTGGCCTTAAGCTGCCAACAATCTTGGGGGAGGGGTGCATTTTAGAGTTCTATGCCTTACTCCTTTAAAACTGAAAGGCCTTTCTGAGGCTGCTTAAGTATATTAAATGTGATCTTTTGCGGCGGTAAAACCTCAAAATAATTCTTCCCTCCTTGTTTTTTTTTCTTGCAGGAAAGTCTACGTTTACGTTGCGTAAGAAGGATTATCGTCAATCAAACTCAGACCTAAGAATCAGACGCTACTCTGAACGCAAATTGGCTGCTATTGTAACTCAATGGTTTAACTTACCGCCTATAATTCCTTGGACATGAACAAGCTTACGTTAAATATGGATTTGTCTGACTGTGGACAGTTTCCATTCTCATGCACGTTTTTTCCAGTAAAGGTTTTAAGTTCTCCGAAAATTTTGAGGACAATCTTTAAAGCAGAAGGAATCGTATTATTAGTGACGTAATAAAACGGTTATATTCTGTTCTGTGTGGAAAAAAAGGAAAATAGCAGAGGCACGTGTACTGGCGTCACGCCATCTGGACGAAGTGTCACGAAACAGATCTCATGACTTGATTAGGACACGGAAAAGTGACGTAGGCATGGCAACTGAGGAGAAATCGTGCATTTTTGACCTGCTCAAGAAGTAAGAGGTGAATTTGGTGAAATTCTTCGAAAAAAGTCTTACCAGAAGGTGATGTTTGACTTTTGCACTGGGGCATTCAGTTAGAACGAGTCAGCCCAGCGAAACAGTAGCGGTTCTGTGTCATGGATTACTTTTACTGAAGTTTAGAACATTTTAAATGACGTTGCACGGGCATTGTGTGAAGAAGAGGCTTAGGTTCTCTTCTAGCAGGCAAATTTCTGAGGAACAATACATTTTGGGGAAATTGGACGACAGAAGCCGTTCCATTATACAAATAAATTTGCTTTTGTTGAACTTTACTTTTGTAAAAATTGCGCGCGGAGTCATTTTTCCAGTGCTGTTGTAGACAATGATTATGTATAAGTCCTGTAAAATTCTTAGGTAAAGTTTAAACTATTCAGTTTATGAATAAAATCGCAAGGAATCCTTGTCTTGCTTTTTGGTTTATTTACTTACCCTCAAATTGACACATGTAAAGAGAGGCTTTTTAATGGTAGTTTTAACTGGCGAAGCCCAAAGACAGCTAGCAATGCAGGCAAAACGTAGAGACTTGCCCATAAGGGCAGCTTGGAGTGATTTACCGGTTATTACAGAGGACCACAAAACGTCAAAATTGACGCCAGATATCTATATGACTGATCGAATGCTATTGACATGAGATTCTCATCGATTCGTCCGTCCACAGGCGGCTTAAGCTTCAGCTGTGAGATGATCATCTTGCGAAATGAGTCACAGGAGTTGTATGGGAATATTTACTACCGCACTTAGGAATAACAAATTAAAGTCAAATTTTCAATAGAAATACCTCACCTTACTATCACATAGCATTGCTTGTTATCTGACCGCCTACCAGGTTAGATAGAACCCATTTCCGGGAGTAATTAATTTTTAGTTTTATTATATAGCAAGGCATAGTGAAAGTAAGGCGAGGTATTTTTCCATGAAAATTTGACTTTAACTTTTCATTCCAAAGAGCAGTCGTAAATATTCCCAAACAAACTCTTATAGTTTCGTCTTGACTCTTATTTCGCAAGATGGTCATCTCAAGGCTGGAGCTTGGGCTGCCTGTGGTCCGTCAAGAACTACACTGTAGCTGAACGCCTTTCTCTCTCCCTCCCCTTATTTTCCAATTCTCTCTCTTTCTCTCCCTTTGCCCCGTTTTTTTCCTCATTCTCTCTCCCTGTCTTGAGAAGAAAATATAAGGTCTACAATGCTTTTCAACGACAGGGACAAAATTATATGTTTTCTGGAGTTTACTTCATAAATGCTTCCACTGTACAGAATAACATCATTTGAAGGGACATGTCCGTCTCAACCTCCACAGAATTCGTAAACCCAAAGAGAAACCCAGAAGTGACAAACGTATTTTCCCGCCTTCCAAGGCAAATTAAGAAAATTGAATACCAACAGCAGCATAAGAGTGAAGACACAATAAGAAGCACAAAGACAAACCCTTGCAACCCATCCAATTCCATTTAAAGCCAACTTGGCTGGTGAAATCAAGCCTTTCCCCTTAATCAAAGTAAGCTTAGTGCTTTACTCTTAGATCTGGTTCCTGACAGAGCTGGAAATAAAACAGTGGAGTTTATGGTTCATGGGAGAAATTACGCACACACAACTGTCAACTGAATACATTGGGTAAACCAATCACACATAGATTTGATCAGACTTTATTGATGCCATAACATTACAGGTTGTTTGAAAATGGTCCACATAAAACACAAACTAAATTTAATCCTGTAGAAATACTTTAATTCCTAGCATAACTCCAAAACGTTTAGATTTACATACAATGTCATCCAATTAAGATTACTTTAGCACTGACTTATCTAATGGACATCATAAAGTCGTCATACATTTTAACCACCAGGTTCCTTCAGAGAAGGAACAGAGCTAAAGAATAGTCAAAAGAGACTTTCAGGAAGTTAAAAACTCAGCCTGAACTGTCTGTCTCCTTTAAGGAACCAGTACAGGTGATGTTTCTTTCAAATCTGATGTTAAGTTAATCACCCAAAGCCAGTTACACACACGGTTACAATACAAAAAACCGTTTTACTAACTGCACCTGAAGTCTGCAATAAGACTAAACAAACTAGACACAGTAGTGATTTGGGTAAAGGATTACTTGTCATAAGCATTAAAACACTGAACACTGAAAGAATTAAAACTTAAGGATGAAAGGCAGAGAAATAACCTTAAAACAAGAGTTCATTTCAAACTAAATAGTTACATAATTTGGACTTTAATACACAATTAACCTCGAGATAAACTGTTTGAGAATCTTAACATTTCTCTTTGAGAAAACAGTCCCTTGGGTAAAAACATCAGCATTAACCAAAAAAAAAATAATAAGCATAACTAACAAACACAACAACACTAATACAGAAGCTTATAGTTACAACAAGGCAAGACACAGTGAACAAGAACAACCTGGAAATAAGCAGTCAGAGGTTAGTCTATACATGATAAGTTAAAAGCACTAGACAACTTTGGAAACATGACAGCAGAGGACATAAAACTGTATTACATTAATTATCAGTAATGAAACAAACAGGAGCTAACTACAGTGTAACTTTAAAAGCCATGCTTGTCCAGGGCCTGAAAAGACACCAAGGCATTCAAGTAATACTGAGTCATATTAAACTTTTCTTTCAGGGTACTGCAGCATTACACCCTGTGTTTATGCCACGAAAACTAACCACACCTTGAGCTAATGCTCAACCTGCCCCTGCCATATCTTTGCTTCAATTCTAAATGAAAGTTCAATGTCTAGGAAAAAATCATATTTTGAAAAACATGAAAAGCTCTGCATGGAACAGTAAAAAAAGCATAGTAGGAGGCTAAAGAAGAAAACACTGATGCAGAGCTTATTCAAGATTTCTTAAAACTTACATGCTGCTCCACCAAACATTTTCCTATAGTCACTTGAACATAAGGTTATTACATGCAGTTATGTTTAACTTTCAGGAGCAAAAAAGTACCTTGGAATTCCCAAAAACATGTGAAGAAAATCAAGATTTTAGCCTAGCAAAAACACATGCTTACGGAAAATATCCATTAACACAAAACAGAAAAAACTAAGCAAATAATCAAAAGCCAAAGGAAGGCATAAAGATAGAAAAATAATTATAAAAATTATCCAAGAAGTGTGCTGGATACTTCCTGTCAATACAAAACATTTGTATCAACTTATACCTTATGACCAATGAACTGAAGATGTAATACATATTTGACTGCTAAGGGTTGAAAACAGCTTAAATATGTAACATTATCAGGCAACAGTTTCAGTCTAGATAATAATAATAATAATAATAATAATAATAATAATAATAACAACAACTACTACAATAATAATAATAATAATAATAATAATAATAATAATACAATGCTGTAATTTGACACTGATAACAAAAAGGTGTTATCACTATAGCCTCAACTATGGCACCAGAAAAATTTAACTACTTTATTATCCAACTTCATGAGGAACTCAGTAAATTAATAAGTCAGAAATAATAACAAAAATAGGCTAAAAATGTCTCTTGCCATTAAAAAAAAGAAAAAAACCAGCAGTTTTAATATTTGGCACAACACAACTGCTTTTTTGTTTCTTTGTTTTTGTTTAGCAAAGAAGTTGGATAATAAACCTTCTCATCTCAGATATTTGAAATTAGAGTATCACTGTAAATTTCTACCAGCCATGTCATTAATCCACTACACCAGGTTCCAATAAGATGACTTGTACAAATATACATTAATACTAATGAACATTGTTATCTTTATACTTAAGTACACATTGCAAGGCAATGCTCATAACCCTTGTTGTGTACTGCACAGTTCTACTTCTTGGGTTTGTTAATGGCCATTTAAGCCTGATGGATAACTTCTCCCACTTTGCAAGACAACTTCTGTAGAACAGCTTTTAATTTTCCTTATTTCCATTATGCTACCTCTTCCCATATTTATTAGTTATGCCTCAGTAATTATTCTACTAGATAGGTGTCACAATGTCTTGTTAAAATGGCCAGTCCTCTTTCATTAAACAGGTAACTAATCCTGCTGCTATAATTGAGCCAAGAGTCTCTTCTAACTCTTCTTCTTTAGCTGTAATGAAATTACTGTTTTTATGAAAGGAGTAAAGGGTGTGCACAGATATTGTTCCTTCACAATTCATCACATTATGACCCTGGCTGTATATATAATCTTATTCTACACACTGTCCAGCTGTCAATACAAACACAAAGTTAGCCATTCCTACCTACTCAATTAACTTCAATTCTACGAAGTTTTCATGGGGAAAGAGTAGGCTGTCTTAAGGAAAAAAATTTTTCAGAATTGCAGTTTTACTGCATTAATAAGAATAACAGACAGTGCCTCGATTCCACAGAAACTTTAGAGCACAGTTTTTGGAACTTCAGTTTCAACTGTCCCCCATGTATTCATTAACAAAAATCTTAATCATAATGGAAATCTTGTTAACTCTGTAAAGTGGGCATGAAATAGCAAACTACACCACTGCACATTAACAAACTAATCACTTATTAGGGATACTTGTTACCAAGAGTCATAAAACTAACCTAACAGAATAACAACAGCCAAACAAAGCAAATGGTACATTGACTTTCAATACCACAAGAAACAAACTGACCTTAACACTGGAAAATGTAATGGACCCATGAAGTGTAATATGTGATTAGCTAAGATGGTAGTGCAATTTCTCACCCAAATCACAGAGCACAGTGGAGACAAACTAAAAGAGTACCAACAATTTAACAAGGGAAACTCTTGTACTCAAAATATTTGTGAACTTGGGTTGACTTTTCTCAAGGTTCTTATCTCTCCATTACAAGTTCCAAACTTTTCCATCAAACTCTGTCCTGAAAATAAATCTTCCTACATAATTAGAATTTGCACTATATACATATGTACACATTAATTACAAATAAATAATTTCCCACTTAACTAAGACACTTAATCAAAAGCTCCAACTAATTCAGACCAAAGAACAATATCTTCATCATCAGCCATGCCCATTCAACTCCTCTTTTCTACACATTATCTCTACTCTACCCTTGGCAGAATTCCATGGCACCCTAATCCAATGGAAAGAGCCACTAAAAGAGGCTCACCAAATGCAATTTGATCATTTAATCCCTTGAATAGTGTACCACAACTCCTTGCTACCAGCACTTAGCTGCACAGTTAAGCTTACTTCATTCTAACTACACAAGGTAATGTCTTAAGGCCTCTATACTTAAAGGATGGGCAGCAAAAAAACTTTACCATCTAATTTCTAACCCAAAGACTACAATTTCAAATAAGCATCTCTATCAAACATTGTTTCATTCACATACTTGGAGCACTTCAGTTGGAGTTAGGAATTTTTACTACACAAACTGCACAAAAACATTTTTAGTCATTCACTTCCATCCCAACAGCAGCTAAGAAACAAGTCCCCTTTAAACTTAATCCAGAAATGTTTTCATACTCTCCCATGGGTTAAGTTGTGTCAAACAACAAAAATGCTAATTTAACTTGCTGTTAAATGGACCTTAACAGTCAGATGAGAAGTGACAGAATTTGTTCATTTCTTCCTTAACCCTGAGCTCTTCCTAATAGATTTTTTTTTAACTTGTAAAACAATACCTGTTTTTGCAACACAGTAATACAGTTCAAGAATAAAAAGGAAGAATTTATTTACTGCCTCTCAAACAAGTTTTCACCTTTTTAGCTAGTGTAGTGGGATGGAAGTGAATGAACCTAAAGTGACACACAACATAAATACAATTAACATAAGATATCAACTCTTGTCCTTCTGAATATCAGAAAGGCATAAATACTCAATGTTTTAGTTAAGGGGAACTTAAAGATTCACCAGGACAATTTGCTTGTGGAAGACTTTTAACTCTCTTCCAGGTCTGCTGGGAAAACTTGCCACAACATTTTTACAAATTAGTTGAATGTAGTCAGCTACTACCATCAAGGGAAAGGGAAGGGAAGGGCAAAAAAATACATATAAAAAATTTAACTGTCCTCTTCCAAAACAGCATTATTTCCTTTACTGAGGACAAAAACAAAATCTAGTTTAGAGAAAGTTCTCACATGTACCCTTGTTCATAATGCTGTCATGATAATAAATTTTATGCGCTCTAAATCTCTCTTGGATTATTTTAATATCATCAAAATTTGAGTAGGGCTGATTCTAACTGTTCCAAAAAAAGATTGAAAATTTGCTGATTTCTTAGTAGCTCATTGTGTTTTGTCTTACACAGTACTAATCATGACTGTTTCCAAAATGCCAGGCAACAAACTGATTTATAACCATGAAAACATTCTACAAAAATTGTGAAGTGTTTGAAACAAAGTGTAGGGGCAAAAATCACAATTAGTTTCCTCTAGACATGTACTCTTTATGTTCAGAGGAAATACTATTGCTAGAGGAATGCATGGAAACTTTGTTTCAATTACTTTATTTGTAAATGTTTGTTTAAGGTACTTAAATATAGAAGTTTTGCTTGCATGGAGTGGTAAACAATTAAACTAGAGGTTGTTTTGAAATTCTCTTAAAGATAGCTCCCAACTTTTAAGATGTGTAAAGCTGTTGCATGTTTTCCTACCAGGAGTTTTGGTGTAACTAGTCATCTTCTTCTTCTTGTTGCTGAAATTCAGCCACATAAAGTTTCTTGTCAACTTTTTTGGGAAATGGTATTATGTTAGTCCCAAGCTCCTGTTCAGTCTTGAACAAATCAAACCTATCCTCGTAAGTGACAAGGTTTATGGCAAGACCAAGGTGCCCAAAACGACCTGAACGGCCAATGCGATGCAGATAGGTCTCGGAGTTTTTGGGAAAGTCGAAGTTGATGACCACATTGACAGACTGAACATCAATCCCACGTGTGAACAAATCTACATAGGGAGATGAACATCATTTAACAGAATGATCTCTACCTAATATTAGTATTCTGTAGATGGATCCGGTAACTGGTCAAGTCACCCAAGAGTCATCTCACCCAAAGTCATGTTGCCCGAAATTTTAGTTATGTCACCCCCCCCCCAAAAAAAAGTCAAGTTGCCTGAAGAAACAAATACTAAAAAGATCTAAATTTCAAACTCTTAATAGGCAATAACATTGAGAAATTTTTAAACATGACTAATGACTCAGGTTTTGAGCAACATGACTCTCGGTATAGTCGCAAACGCTAATCACACGTATTTCAAACTTTACTAGAACAAACTTGACACATTGTTGAATACGGTAACTGAAAATGACAAAATTACAAACACGCGAATGAGCATAAAATAACTTACATCGTATGAGTGAAAGTACTGGAAAATGACAAAGCGAGATAAACAAGGATACTTACAAGACGAATGTGACCAACCCAAAGACGAAAACATGAAACCCAGAGCTAGATATGTAACGGTAATTTTCACAAACTAGACAACTAACCAAATAAATTACGCGCAACCAATATATATACGATATGCAAATAAATATAACAAGTACAAAACTGATAACTGACAAAGGACACTAATGGAAGACGAGAAAATAAACACCTAACACGAAACTATGAAACACCAACACTAACAAAAAATGATAGTACAAATTCTTGCGCCTACATTCCGGCCCCTTAAATACGAAGATCTAAATCCAAGTATTTACCAGCAAAACACTAAAAGGCGCAAACTTTACAGAGCTAATTGAACTTAGACGATTTTTACTTAATGTTCAGACGCCTAACAGAGTCAACAAAGTACTATAAAGTGTCAATTTAAATCTTTCTCCTCAAAGAAAAGTCACACAATCTTGGTAATCATACGATTAAGGAAAGTCAATGAATTTTTCCTTCCACTTGTTCAATTGATTCCAGAAGACATAGTTTACTGATAGGGCGCTCCAAAGTCGATGTCTTGGTTTTAACCTTGACACGGCGGACAAATCCATATTTGTCAGGAAAAACCTCTGTAATCCGACCAATTGCCCACGCATTCCTTGGCAAAGTTTCGTCAACCACGATAACAGTGTCCCCCACGGCAAAGTTTTTCTTTGGTCGAAACCATTTCTGACGTGACTGTAGCAGAGGGAGATATTCTCTCTTCCAGCGACCCCAGAAAACATCAGCCAAATATTGTACTTGCCGCCATCTTCTCCTGGAGTATGTGTCGCTCTTTAAGAACAAGCCTGGAGGAAGAGGTGTCTCGCTGCGAAGCAGGAGAAGGTGGTTCGGTGATAGTGGTTCCAAATCCTTTGGATCGTCAGAAATTGTGGTCAGAGGTCTTCCATTGATAAAGCTCTCACATTCACACAACAAGGTCTGAAGACTCTCATCATCGAGACTTTGTTCTTTAACCAGGGCACCCAGAACCTTGCGTGTAAATCTAATTAGCCTCTCCCAGACACCACCATGATGCGAGGCTCCGGGTGGGTTAAAAACCCATTTGATGCTTTTCTGCAGAAGGGCGTCATGAATTTTAGCTTGATTCCAGCTGTCAATCATGACACGAAGCTCCCTTTCACCTCCTACGAAATTTGAACCATTGTCAGAGCGAATTTCTTTAACTTGACCTCTACGAGCGATAAAACGTCTGAGTGCGTGAATAAAAGAATCAGTGTCCAGTGAGTGACACACCTCCAGATGAACAGCTCGAAGTGCCAAACAAGTGAAGATTGCACCATAACGTTTGACCATGCTCCTCTTTTGACGAACAAGAAAGGGACCAAAATAATCTATCCCCACGCACGTGAAGGGGGGTTGATCTGGTGTAACTCGAGGCCGAGGCAGATTTGCCATCTTTTGTTCTCCAACGGGACCTTGTCGTCGTTTGCAATCAAAGCAGGATGAAAGCACACTTCTGCAGGAAGCACGTCGTTATCAAGATCCAGATCTTTAACACCCTTCGCTCTAGCTTCTACAGGAATGGATTCCAAGACTTCGCGGTCATTGCTGATCCATTTAGTCAAATTGAAACCTCCCCTCAGCATTAGCCGACGAAGTTCTTCCACATGCTTTATTGCAACAGTCGCTGAAGGTAAGGACTTCAGGCAGTCGTCAACGTAGAAATTCTTCAAGACAGTACTAACCACGTCAGGGAAAACTCGTGCCTATGATCTTCGGCATTCCGTCGCATGGCAAAGTTAGCACAACTGGGAGACGAAACCGCACCGAACAGATGTACGGTCATCCGATACTCTTCTAATTCCTTGGAGAAGTCACCACGGGGCCACCAAAGGAACCGTAGGAGGTCTCTATCTTCTTCTGGGACACGCACCTGATGGAACATAGATTGAACGTCACCCATGACTGCGACTGGCTCCTGCCGGAAACGGATCAGCACGCCAACCAGATTATTGGTTAAGTCAGGACCTTGAAACAGCTCATCATTCAGGGAAGTTCCTTGAGAATGGGCTGAGCAATCGAAAACGACACGTATTTTATCCGGTTTCTTATGATGATAAACGCCGTGGTGCGGGATAAACCACACCTTACCATCTGATCTCTCCAGGACATCCAGGGGAACCTTTTCTGCAAAACCGTCACCGATCACCTTCTCAAGACAAGCAACATAGTCCTCACGAAACTTCACATCTTTAGAGAATTTACGTTTAAGATAGAGGGCACGGCGTTCTGCTTGACTCCGGTTTGCTGGCATCTGCAAGTTGAGGTCCCTTAACGGTAGAGAAACCTGATAATGACCATCTTCACGCTGCATAACTGAATCCTCTACAATGTTCATGAACTTTAAGTCATCCCTTGACATGCTTAAACCATCGGAAAGAGTGGCATCTGCAAAATCAGCACATGCTATACACATAGGATGAGTCTCCTTACAGTTAACGAAGAAACTAGAAGATGGGACAAACTTTTGCTTTCTTCCAGTTGGACCATTGATAACCCAGCCAAGATCAACTCTAGTTGCATATGGACCCCCATCAGAGGCAGGGACAACTTCTCTCGGTTGTAGGGCTTCAGGTACGTTTGCACCAATCAATAGATCCACCTCGGAATTCAATTCTGCTAGGTATACATAGCCTTGAAGGTGCGGCCATCGATCCACATCCTCTTGTTTCGGGATCTCATCTTTCACTACAGGCATAGAAGGTCGGGAAAGAACTTCTGGCAAGGAAATGACAACGTTCTCGTCTAGATCAGTCACTTCCAGGTTCGTAACAACGAGACTGTCCACATCGTTGCAGCTATCCATGGTGGTTAGCTTGATTCTCATTTCCTTGCCGCTGACACTCAGACGTTTCATCAGGCTAGCCGAGCAAAAGGTGGTGTTAGATCCATTATCCAGCAACGCATAAGTCTCCACGGACCGAGGACTTCCTTTGACTTTGACCTTCACAGCAACAATGGGCAATGCAGTCACGGAACCCTCCATTGTGGTTAGGCCACAAAAGTGATCAGCTCTGTTCTTCTCAGTACTGGACTGGTTGTTCTCGCTCTGAGGTCCATCCTTACCACGGTCGGACGCAACAATAGCTTCTGGTGCACCTACATGCATTACAGTAGCGTGTCTCTTATTACAGTGAATACAGGGCTTCCTTTTGTGACAACTTCTAGACTGATGGCCTCCACCTAAGCACGAAAAGCATAGCCTCTGCTTCATGACAAACTCCTGACGATCTGTTGGAGGTACTTTGGCGAAACTGGAACATTCGGTGAGATTGTGATCTGCATTACAAAACAGACAGTTCTTCTTAGAAGAATGAACTGCACTCAACACATCAGCAGATGAATTGAGAGCAGATTTCGTCTCGGAAATCGTGACGAGGCTTAGCTGTTTTCCACCGGGTCTCTCAGACTTCGATCTCGAACCCCTATCCTTGCTGTTCTTCTTCTCCTTTTCCAAACAAGGAAGCTTGCCAAAAACTGGATTGGACAAGGTGCGAGCTTTCTGTTCAACGAAGAGTGAAATATCATCAATGCAGACATCTCTCGCTTCCGAGTTGAGGATCCGATCAGCGTTGTCCCGCCAACTGGCTTGCAACTTCGGGGGAAGCCTCTCAATAATCTTCCGCATGCTATCCGGACTTTCGAACTTGCTGGAATAGCCGATAGCCTTAAGAGTGTTTGTACAGCTAGAGAGCAAAACGGCAAAGCCTTCTAGGGCGTCTGCATCTTCAGCTTTGATGACTGGACCATTAGTGACTTTATCCACATATGCCATAGCGATTTTGTGCTTCTGTCCAAATTTGCTCTCTAAGAGTTTCTTTGCCTTTACGTACCCATCTTCGGCTTTCATGTAGAGGCAACTTTGTACCAACTCTTGAGCTCTGCCAGCTGTGTGCTGTTCGAGGTAATAGAGTCTCCCAGCGTAATCTAGTTCTCTAGTTTCGATTACGGTCTCGAACGCGCGAATGAAAGCACAGTAATGTAAAGGGTCTCCACTGAACACAGGTACACGTCTCCTGGGCAACAAGTTCCTTTGCTGCTGTTTCACGAACTCTTCCATTACTCGGTTCTGCTGGACGAGAATGCCATAGGCCTGGTCGCTCAGACCTGAGTTGCCAGAGCTTGAACTTGAATCACTCACAGCACCCTTATGATGTTTAACCGGGTTACTTGACTTCACAGACAATTTCTCTTTCTTATCGGCAGGTACAAATGACTCACGTTTTGAACCACCAGTCCTTGACTTTTCAGTGATGGAGGATACGACTGAAACGGGACAACGAGGATTCCTAGAGGCCACGTTGCTAGGCGCGAAATTACCCGCTTCAGCTTGAGCGTAAGCTTCTTCTCTAGCCATCGCTTTAGCGTACTCAGTTTTGAGGTTTAATTCATCTTTCTTCAACTGCAGGTCGTACTCTTGCCTCTTGAGGCGTAGCTCCGATTCTTGAAGCGAATGGCGGTGTTTCAAAGCGTGTGCCTCCGCTCGAAGTTCCGCGATGCGAGCTGCCTCTTTGGCTCTTGCAGCAGATATGGAGCTCGTTTTAGAAAAGTGACTCGTTCTCGATCCACACATGGATGGTCTAGACTTGCTACGAACCTTGGACCCAATTTGAGAAGCGCTGTCGTCAGGCGTTATCAGGTTATCTTGAAGCCTGGCTTCCGTGACACGTAACCAATCATTGACCGTACGGCAGAAAAAATCTAAACTGCTTTCAATGTCGGCGAAATAGAGGTCTGATTCTTGTCTCTGACTTTCCTCAACCAGAGCTACATTATACGCGTCATGAGCCTCGGTAAATCTTCGAAATAGCAACGTGATTTCCGACAACTTTACTTTCACCGTCTCCAAATTATTTTCATCCGTTAAAAGACTATCGATCTCTCGACGCTTGGACGTTAACGAAGACAACACTCCTCCTCTCCGCTTTCTGAGTTCACGGATGCGTTCAAGAGAGATTCCTTCTTGATCCAAAGAGGTATTCGGTTTACGAGTACGTGGACCGTTTTCGGCAGGTTGGCCGTTCTTCCCGGCCAAATAAGACAGGTAGACATCAGAACCGTTGCGAGACATCGACATAAACTTCCAATAAACCAGATTCGTCTTTTACAAAATATAGTCGCAAACGCTAATCACACGTATTTCAAACTTTACTAGAACAAACTTGACACATTGTTGAATACGGTAACTGAAAATGACAAAATTACAAACACGCGAATGAGCATAAAATAACTTACATCGTATGAGTGAAAGTACTGGAAAACGACAAAGCGAGATAAACAAGGATACTTACAAGACGAATGTGACCAACCCAAAGACGAAAACATGAAACCCAGAGCTAGATATGTAACGGTAATTTTCACAAACTAGACAACTAACCAAATAAATTACGCGCAACCAATATATATACGATATGCAAATAAATATAACAAGTACAAAACTGATAACTGACAAAGGACACTAATGGAAGACGAGAAAATAAACACCTAACACGAAACTATGAAACACCAACACTAACAAAAAATGATAGTACAAATTCTTGCGCCTACACTCGGGTGACTTGACTGTAAAACATAGATCCACATCACCTCACATAAGTGAGAAAACAGATTTACATACAACATAATGTAACAAATTGAAATATGTTGGACTGTTGTTATCTCTCTTACCCAGAAATCATTCATCTATTAGAACAACTTGTCAAAAAAATTATCGGTCACCCCTAATGACACCTATTCATCTATATAACAGTTCTCAACCCTTTAACTCCCAAGATCTGATTGTTAATTCTCCCCTGTAGCTGCTACACATTTCCTTGTAAATTAGTTATGAGAACTTGGTGCTAGATCAAGATAGCAGCTTCAACCTGATAAGTTTGAATATTCTCATTACCTGTTTGCTGAAGAATGTATGGATATTGTAGGGAGAAGTTTTATATTAATCACTTCTGGGAATTAAAGGGTTCAAAAGATCCCCTTCTAACCATAGCATATGACAATGAGTTTATTTGTTTGTGAGGCTCCAGGCCTGTGGTCAAACCACTTACCTGAAGACACTAGAGTCCTTGTCTCTCCTTGGCGGAAGTCATGGAACACCTTGTTGCGGTGACTCTGCTCCATTTTTGCATGAATATAGTAACAGGAATACTTGAGCTCTGTTATCTTTTTGGCCAACAATTCAACGCGGTTGACTGAGTTGCAAAAGATAATTGACTGGTTCACTTGAAGCTGGGAAGAACAAAATTGAAATTTTAAAACTGAAATAACTTTAAGTTCCTGTCCATTAGCTGGTGTTTCAGAAACCAGTAGCTTGCAAAAATGCCAAATACCACTGCTCCATCTGGAGAACACAGCACACCATATAATTTTACACTCTGGTTGATTGAATTTCTATTTAAGCTCTATTTGATTGAAGTGACTTTCCTTAGAATTCATTGTCTGAATCCTGTAATTTAATGGTTGTTTTGGCACATGCTTCTCCACTTCTTTAGTTGCACAACTGCTATCAAAGTAAAATTGAAAGTTTTTTTTTTTTCCAAGACCAACATGTAAATACTTTTTTTTTTAATTTTTTGTTTCATGGAAAATGAAACTTCTGCAAATTAAACATGTGACACTTCAGCAGATTAAGAAAGGAAATGTACCTTTGAAAACAAAGTATTCAGGCAATGTACTTTCTGTTTCTCCTCCAGGAAAACATAATACTGAAACAAAAAAAAACAGCCATAATAATTTTTCTTGGGGACTGACTTCAAACAAAGAAGCCCTGTTCCTTGACACACTAACAGCACACACAGTGTTACATATGATTGAGAGTGGTGACGTGTCAGGCTAAAAAACCAATGAAGATATTAAAAATGATTTTAAAAATGGTATATAGGGAGGGAAAAGGGATAAAAACTGACACACATCTGCACATAATGATTACCTGTGTGATGCCTTTCAAGGTCAGCTCGTCCATAAGGTTTATTTCATAGGGTTTATCCAAATGTTTATCCTGCCAATTTGAATCACAACAAAATACATGGTAAGTACAAAAAAGCCCCCGTTATCGTTAACAGCAAGCCCACTTAGTCAATAAGCGCATGCTCTTTGGGCCTGTCACACACCACTTCCACAAGACCATCAGCTCAACCAAACAAATACAAACATTAAATGAACTTACTAGAAAATAAAAGCAACAGTTTCTATTAGCCAGCACACATAATAGAAGGAAATAAGACAAGATTCAAACCAAAGATACCATCAACATACAAGCTGAAAATTTTTTCCAGTCAAGTTGGTAATTTACTGCTGTTTGATTTCTCATCTAAGGAAGTTCTTTAGTCTCAAGGAATCCTCTCATTAAATATGCCAGTCTAATAATAATAACACTTATTAAATGAGAAATTAACAAGTTAACACTGTCCAAGGCTGCTGTACAACACAAAGAGTCCTGAATACATATTATGTTATTTACCACACAAAGAAGTATTGTCTCTTAAAAAAGAAAAAAAGCCATACAAATTCAAATAGAGGATAGCAGTGAAAAAAATCTAAATTAGAGAAGTAATTATTCTTGAAGACATACTGCCACTGACCTTGAATTCCTTTACTGACAATGGAAAAGTGGCTGAATAAAGAAGAATCTGCCTGCTGGGTGGAAGGAAAGCAATTATGTCTTCTAACATCCCTTTGAAGTCCATGGATAGAAGCTTGTCAGCCTAGGAAGAGAGGACAAACAAAATAAAAAAGTATGATTTATGGTGCAACACTCCTATGTAACAAAATTATCTTCCAAGCACTTACCTCATCCATGATAAGCATTTGGCAATTGTCCATCTTAGCCACCCCTTTTTTCATCAAGTCCAGTATCCGACCTGGTGTGGCAACAATGAGATGAACTGTGGGAAAAAAACCAATATACCATTATGAAGTTGAACACTGTTGCTATTAAACTGCATTGCATACTGCTTTGCTGGTGATGATTCCAAGGGTAAAAATTTCAGCAGTCCTTCATTTTTACCTATCATCTACATCTTTGTGCAAGTTTGCATTATACACAATGGTCAGTGATATTTTCAAAATTCAATTACCTATAGTTGAGTTTTTTGTACATTTAAAGATATTAAATGGTTATAAAATGGTTAGAGTGGAAAATTAAGTGACTTTTGGAGCATAATTCTCTTTAAATTTCAATACTACACTGCTGTTCAGGCAGAATCTAGTACCAAAGATAAGAATAAACAACTCCTTGTTGAGGACCATCCTAGAGCAGAACATTAGACAAGAAATATTCCTTCACATTACCTTGAGCATTTTACTATAAACATACCATCATTATATAGTCTCATTATGTCATCTTTAAGACTTGTGCCGCCTGTAGTAGCCATGACTTGTACTCCAAGGTGTTTGCCAAGCTCTTTACAGATCTGAGATGTTTGTAGGGCCAGTTCACGGGTTGGCACCAACACAAGCCCTAAATAAGAGAAGAAAACAAAGTAAAGAAATGGATGGGTCAGTAGGTGGAATGAGCTGTATGTCCAGACTACTAGGCTCTCTTTGCTACCTTCATTTTGTTTCCTGGCCCCAACAGTTTTCCCATATACACTAGGTTGCCGATTTTCATTTGTAAAAAAGCCTTCTACAGGCTGCAGAAGTCTTTATATGAACTTTTATCCTTTAGGAATAACAACACAGTGTATGAAAGACTAACCTTGAATATGTGATTTATCCACGTCACACTTTTCTAGAAGAGGTATCAGGTAGGCAGCAGTTTTTCCAGTACCATTTTTAGCCCTGGCCAATATGTGTTTTCCTGTGAGAGCCATTGGGATACTCTCTTCTTGAATAGGTGAAGGCTTTTCAAAACCTTTCTCAAAGATTCCCATGAGTAATTCTCTTTTAAGCAGGTAGTCTTCAAAATCATTTCCTTTAGTTGCTGTTACATCCTATTTTATTCAGATCATAACATGTTAGAACTGCAGTTGTCTGTATAACTTTCAAGACAGTATAGAGGTTAACACTGCTGTACTATCTGGGCATGTGGCAACCCAACATATTTATGCACTTGCTACTTAATATTTTTAACACTGATGTCAGTAATACAAGTGAACTGGGTGTGTTCAAGCTACCACATGATAGACAGGGTTAATGCCGATCAATTCCAGACATATTACCATCCACCATCCACCATCCCCCTTCTGGGCAAAACATTCTTGAACCCAAGTAACACTCATGGACTGAGATACAGCAGCTATTATGGGGGAGGATGCTTTTGTCAACTTTTACTACCACTAACTATGGTGCAGATATAACATTTGAAGAGTTTAGCTAGTCAAATAAGATGAAACAGGTGGTAAGAACACTCTGGAAGTTTGAATTATAAGCAAGGAACTCAAATCAGTGTGGTTAGACAAAAGGGATTTCTTTTACAAGTAATGAAACTGGCAGACCTGACATTGATGTCTGTTTTGAGCTCAGTTGAGTTAAAAATGGTTTCTCTTCCACGAAACTATAAAACATAGGGTGGTGATTATGAGGAGACCCGTACCATAACTTAACTGAATGACTATATGACTGAATCATCCAGCACAGTGGTGATCGTTAACGATGACTTCCTTATTCGCGAGGAATGGTTGACGATGTACGGAAATTTACGGCTGAAAAGTGAAAGCTATAAAAGAACGCTTTCTGAATAAGTTCCTTGAGTCCACCAATTCAGTCACGAAGAAAGAAATCAGAAACAAGTTAGTTCGAATAATATACAAGCAGGTAAAACTTACTGTGGTCTGTATGCGCCTATCCTTTGCTGGCGTTTTCAATTTAGACTTCCATGACTCAAGTCCTTCCCTTGAAACAGAAAAAACAAACAAACAGAGCAAATAGAATTAGACGGCGGGTCACAGTTTCTAAAAATTAAGAACCGTAGTTTGTTATTGTGTTACTTACGTGCTTGCATTTCGCATAGCGGATGGCACTGCTTCCGTTTTAGTTGCTGCCATTGCTGACGGTACGATAAAGTTGAACAAAACTGTCTTCCTTGGGCCGATTTAGTAAAAAATAGTCGGCTTTCGGTGTAAATGTATCTGTATTTTATAATTCTGTGTATGTAATATAAGAAAACTGGAAACAATGGATGAGATGGACGAAGATTCCTTTTGCAGGTCCAACAACCGCGACTTTACGGATCCTTTCGCTTTTCAAAATTATCGATTTGATGCTGTACCAGTCTCTCAGACCTCGGTTGGTGTGTGACTCTCCCTACCCGTGTAGGTTCCCCTCCGGAGGACCCTGTGGGGAACACTAGATTGAGTTCTGCTCTAAGATATATAAACAAAACAGAAGGAAATCCAGTCAGTATTTTATTTCCAGACCTCAATTCTTCTTGCAACAGCAACTACGACAGTACTTCCCGATCTGAATCAAACTTGAAAAGATATAAGACTTTTAGGTGGCTAATGATCTTGCCGCAAATAAACAGCTTGAAAAGCATCAGTCTGACTCACTGGCTTGCACCATGCGGTGCCACACAATAAGGCAGATGCTATTTTATGTTTCGGTTAAATCGACAGCTGAAAAAGAAAGAACATGTCAAAGTCCGTTTTCTAGTTTTCGGCTCAGCTGCGACACTATCCGTCGTGATCACCCGACAGCTTTCTACGATAGTCACGTGACTTGGACGACGACAAGTTGACGATCGGTCATTCGTGTCTGTTTTCACTTTTTTGTGAAAGGTGAGTGCAGTCGAATCTTTTGGCTTTACTGGAAATAACTGTCCATTTCTGCCCCAGTCTTTTTACAAAAGGTAAGCAGCTTTATTTTTATGCTATTGAAGACGCTAAATGAGAGGATGTTATGATGTTCAACTCTCAAAATACGACAAGACACTAGCTGCAAAACATGTGTCGACAAATTAAATGTAGTGTACATCCATCTTTGATATCCTATTTTTCAATTAACTTTAACCTTTTTCTTTGCTGCGTTAAACTAAATGTATACAGGCGTTGTGTTGTCGTGGCAAGTTGTGGATATTCAAATTTAATAGCTCCATTTTGGTCTGTAGTTCAATAATTCCTAATTTACCAGGCGGGAACATGTTCGCGTGAATATCACCACTGCTGACATAAATAAGCTTAATATGCAGTTTCTTCCTTCCCAATTTCCTTCATAACAAAGATTGCTTGCGAGCCTGAAAACATGCCTTTTAAATATGGAGTTGTATAGAGCTGTAGATCGGAAGTGTTCGAAAGACCTCTACCTCATCACTTACCAAATCAAATTAGGACTGTGCGTGAGTCATTTCTTTCACAACTACTCGCGTGTTTTTTAGACCTCAGAGAAAGTCAGGTTATTTCTCGATCTCAGATTGAAGATGATTATCTTCTCGAAAACGGAGCTTGTATTTCACCTTCACGAAATCTAGATATTCTGATTTTGTGCTAAAACCTTGTGCGTATTTTTGTCACTATTGTTACATATATACTTTTTTTAATTTACACGTCTAAACGAATTCACATCGGGTACGTTATAATAGATTAATTTCAATATCACTCGTTAAGTGTGTGCTCTCATCATTGCTGGGGTCTGTTTCGCGCACAGCGCTCGCTTATAATTCCGATGTTTGTGTTTTTCTCTCAATCAGTATCGGAAGGAAGTGTTTAATGATTGTTATGGTCGTGAATCTTGGTCAGGAGCAGTGCGTGACTAATTATTTTTATGCCTCGCTCAAACAATACTCAACTGGATTACTATTGATAAATAAGAAGTTTAAGAGCGTATCACGGCCACTTGCAAATTAACACAAGGACGGCCAAAGAGTGAAATACAACTCTGTTTTGGATATCTTCATGAAAATCATCAAGAGTCAGATTTCTTCATCATTCTATCGATCTGCTGCCGTCTCTTTGAATAGTTTTCCTCGACAGATCATTTTTTTAAATACTTTTTTCAAGATGATCTTCATATTATGTGAAATTTGTGACTGTGACATACTTGTTGATTTAAAGAAAAAACATCAATGACATTTATGTGATTACTGATGCACTTATGTATAGATGGTACATTTTTTACTTAAACTTGAATAAGAGGATTCATAAACAAGCATGTATTTTCTATAGTTATTATGGTGATATTTACAGTATTTATGGTGATAGCTAAATGATTAATTCATGAGCCATCATTTGTACTTATTTAGTCAAGAAATTTTTTGTGAGATTTAGCTTGTCTGAGAGCATGTCATTTTTATTTCAGACTTTGATCAGGAGTGAATTATACTTTTTAAGTACTGTACAATGCAGCAAGCATAAGGTTTTTCAAAGGCACCATTCAGTGACCAAAAATTAGAATTAGAAAATGGTCAGCAGAGAGTAAATTTTAGTCAACAGTGGAAAAAATACAAGAGAGAAAGAATTTAAAATGGATATTTTTATGTAATATTAGATGGGTAATGAAATGACTGAGCATCCATTTGTCTTTGAATTAAGCACTAAGGTTCATTCATGAGCTAAGAGCTGTTCTTTTTTCCTTTGTTTTCTCTTTGTTTTTTTCCTTTCTTTTTCCTTCTTTCACTATGTAGCTCATCATTTAGTCATTACAGTCATTATTGGTCATTCAGTGATTTACAAGACAATGAATTTTTAGATAACCATGATATGCAGTTCCTTGTGATTTTCACCCATGTTCATCCTTACTGCATCAGAGTTTGGGAATGGTGGACAAGGAAACTGCAGGTAGTTTCAACTTCCACCTGCCACGTAACTTTTCTAGTAATAAACATATTATTGAGAGAGAGCAGTTTTCAAGTTGTGTGTTTAATGCAGAGAGTTGGTATTGGATCAACTGATTATTGCCCAATAGATATTTCCTTTATTCCCATTGCTTGTTTTCTTGATATTGTATTGATATTTTATGGTGAAATTCTGTCTTGGTCACTCATTGGATTTAAAGGGTTAAGGTCATTAACAAAGTTTTCCAAGCAGCAATGATTCAGTAAAATGAACGTTACAAGGAATGCTGAAAATGACATTAGTATCATCATTAGAGGGATACAAGCCATGGACTAAGTTTATTGTTGGAATAGATCATGAAAGTATTTGACTGGTTCCAGACGCTGGAATCAGCAAGTTTTTTTTTTTTTAACCTTGTAGTCCTTAGTTCATCTTTTCTTTAACTGACTATGGAAACACATCAAGTGAATCAGACAGGATGTTTTTGTTAGTTTTTTGTCAGGAGATGCACTTAATGTGGTGTTTGACAATTATTGATCCTATGTAGATGGCAAGTTATTGCAATAAACTGGAAATTTTATTATTGGAAAGTATTTCACACATATTTTTTAAATTTAGTAAAAGTTGTTTATGTTTAACAGTGATCCAACTCAGTGAGACTGACTTAGATATATAACAGTTTAAGAACTTCAAAGCCAAATTGGTTTTTGTTGAAGTAAAGAAAGGAAAATAAAATCATCCTTTCATTAATGGAATCTGTTTGTTTCTGACCTAATGTGCATGACATGTACTTTGCATCTGAATTACTGTACTACTTGAATACATGTATGCATATTTAATTTAGTTAAATCATTCAAAAACCCTACAGTCCCTACAATTGAAATGCCGGTAATGGCCACAGAATTTCCACTGGTAAATGCAGTCAAAAAAAGAACATTTATTTCATTTTCTGTTTATTATTGAACAAAAAAGTATTTAAGAACTAACTCAACTCTTTGCTTTAAAAGTAATACAGTCGAGCCTTGATTATTCTGACCCATGGGGACTGGTCTGAATAGTACAGATAATCAATAGTCTGGATAATCGGAAATATTATCATTGATGAGCTTCACTTCTACAACGTGTGTGCGTGTCTAACTCCACCATTCTTTGAAGCTGCGTTAGTTGGATAGGGTTAATATTGTTTTGTCTTTCCATCATTCAGAAAGTGGAACAAATTCAGTGCCAAAAGGAGTCTCTTTACAGTTTCTCTGTTTGATGGAAAAGAAGTAATTATGGTTTGCAAATATGATTAATTTATATTCATAAAAAAGTGGGACTGGAGTGACTAGTCTGGATAATCAAGGTTTGACTGTGTTATTGAAAGTTACAGAGTTATGTTTCAAACAGAATAAGAACCAAACCTTTAAAATGCACATGCTATCATCTTTGATTGTTTTCAGGAGCATTTTTGAAAACAAGTTTGACGTTTTGGGCTTCAAATGAAATAAACACCTTAGGCTTGTAGTTGACTGTTTGAGACGCACTAGCAGCAAATAATGTATTCATTATACCAGATAACTTAGACACGCAGGTGTACACATATATTATGAAATACAACTGACACTGATTGATCAGATGGATGTAGGTAAATTTGCCACCATTAGCAACAATAAGGAAGACAGGAAATCCTTGGACCTCACCTGCAGTATTTAATAATATTCTCACATAGTATCTTATGGAGTAATTTTATTGAAGCATTACACTTTCCAGATCTTTGAACTTTCTTAGAAAGACATTGCTGATATTATTAGCCATCTGTTTCAAGTTTTGTCTCATACAGCTTGCATACTGAAGACCTCATACAAGTTTTGATCCATTCCTCTAAGGGCACAGCAACAAAAGATTGCATGATATTCAAAAATAACAGTATAAGTAATTTTCTCCCAGGGCTTTATTTGGTATTGTAAAATTTCCTTTTCATGTATGATTATGTTTTATGTATCAGCTTTTATTTCAGGCTAGCATCTTTAATTTGTCCAGTATGTAAAAGGGGGAATATAAACTTAAATGATTTTTTCCAAAAGTGTTTCTAAAGAGGCCATGTGTTTTTATCATGCCTTTGTGTGGAGTTCTTTTTTATTATGGATGCTAGAATTTTGCTTCCTGCTGAGCATTTGTTTTGAGGGTTAGATCAAAACAACATTTCTCCTTTTGAAATATATGAATTAGCCAATAGCATGTCATATTGCATTTGTTGTGGAATAACTTTCAATCCCATTGAAGCGGATAAGCACAGCAGGCTATTAAAGCACTTTACAACCACAGCTTTCTTTGAATCTTTAGCCTCAGTATGTTTAGGATAGTCTGGGCATGGATAAATAATGTATTACAAGCAGTGATAGACTGAATTTTAAACTTTTGCTTGGATTGAGAACAACGCTAAAGGGTATGACTACAGGTAAATGAGAAATAAATCCCAAAAGAAAATTAGAAGAAAGATGTATTTGCAGCAGTGGTAGGAATGTTGAGTTGATTTTCTTTGTTTCTTCTTAATCCATGAGAGTTAAAACAGTCTTTCTTGCCTCATATTTAAAATTGTGGTGGTAATCATGATTTGATTTTCCCCTCCTTTTTTAAAAAATATTAGTGTTTTCTAGTCAACACAAACAAATTTAAGCCAACCTCAGCACTGTTGAATTGGGAACATTGTTTTGTTTAAGTAAAATTTGGAAAGTGTGGGTTTTCCAATATGATTTTTTAGGTATTTTACTTTAAAAACATTTGAGTTGGGATGACAAACACGAGGGAAAATGTTACATTGATGTGACCATCGCTCTGTCTCATCAGTCACTTCAAAATATAATGTTAATACAATTCATTTATTAACTGAAGAAATAAATTTAAAAGCACTACAAGTACAACTGTATTATTTTTGTGAAAACCTTATGTATGCTATCATGCTACTGAAATATATATTGATTTAAATTATAGTAAGTGCTTTTTTGCATCATGCTATCTGCAGTAAGGATTAGTTTAATTAAACTTCTGTGGAAGGGCTACCAATAATTTTATTGAATTTTTTTGGCAGGTATCTCAGTTTTAATAAATCAATTCTAGATGATATGTGATAAGTAGAATTACCAAAGTAATTATTTCCACAAAACTCATATATCTATTGTGTTTATTGTGGACTGATTTACAAGTATCTTTTGGTGTATGGAGGGATTTTGAAAATTTTGAAAATCTTGACAAAATTAAGCTTTAAACATCCATTGCTCTACAGTGTGGTATCTTTGAAACAGTAATAGCAGAGCCCTATAATTATACAAAATAGTAGTAACCAATCAAGCTGAAAAAATTTGGATGTACAACCGCACGACCATACAACCATACAAGGTGCTACTTTTGACATGCATGGTCAACTGTACCACGGGCATGCCAACGCCTCAGCTTTGTCCAGTAGTCCAGTGGTCAGTGCACTGGGCTCCAAGTCAGATGACCCAGGTTCTAGTCCTGGCTGGGGCAAGGCATGCGGGAAAAAAAAATGTGAGCTCCACTTTAAGGCTTGGCTAAATCTAGATATGAACATCTTTGTTAGAACACACTTGATGCCATTTTACCTGCACTACGAATGTTACTACAATTCCTCCCTCAACTGAGCACTGAATCATCTTTAATCTCTAAATGTAAATGATGACTCTTAACAATCCAAAACCAAAGATTATTATTAGGGCAACATTTAAAGGAACTGTGCTTTTGATTTCTTAATCAGATCATATCACTAGCTCAGTAGTAGAAGTCTTAATTAGTAATATTGGTTCAATGGTACATCAAAATTTGTATGCAAAACAATCATGCATCGATCACAGGAATGGAAACTTAATCCTTTAACCCCTTAGACTAGCATCTAATTTTTCCGTAAAATATCACTCTGAATCAAACAAAGATCACCAACTAAAGAAGCTCTTGATTGTTAAACAAATTCTCCTTGTCAGCACCTTAGGAAATGTATAGAGAACAGTATAGAGAATGTGTATGCTTGTTAGGGTGTAATGGGTAAAAGAGACTGATGTGATTGGTTTTATTAGGTAGCATAACACCATAATTTGTTTCCAGAAAGTTTTTTATCCTTTTTTTGTTTCATTTGTTTGGTTAACCATTTATCTTTCTTTAGTTTTTTTCTTTCCCTCTCTTTTAATTTTTTTTAAATGACTGAAATTTCTGTGAAGTTATTTGCAAGCATTTGTTGAACCAAGAGATTGAATTGTATGTATGAGTGAACTTGTATGGAAAGGCCCTAAAATATTTGGACCAAAAGTTTAGGATGATTTTAGGATATCCTGAAAACAGATCATCACAAAAATCCTGGATCCAACAACCAAATGTAGCAAACAAAGTCAAATGATGCACCAATTTTTAAAATAGAGTAAATTCCTGCATGTAAAACCGAAGTTTTTACAAGACAGCCTAATATCACAATGTAGCTTTTTTGTTGAAATATCTCAACATAGCCATTTATGATTGACTTCTTTTTAAATTTTATTTTTTAATGAAGGTCGAAAGTGGCAGCTAAAAAAGCTGATGTGGAAATGCATTTACACTGATGAAATGTAAATATTTTTCACAAAGCTTACAGCCCCCTGCTTTCAGTGGCACAAGGCAACATGTTCTGAAAATGCACAGGGTTTTATCTGCAAATATAAGGCCTTAGAAGTTGTTATGAACTAGGTTCTTGCATGTATGGCGTTGCAATATTCATCATACTACAGTTTGTCTCAAGTGTTTTAATATGAGAGTAGTTAGAATGTCAGTAGAAGGAATGTGTGAATGTGGTATGACAGACTATACAATGAATATACTTCACTGCAGCTTATATTACTTCCGGTCGACTCAGAACCAGACTACTTTAAGCAGCGACCTATGTTCTGAGCTAGATGTAGCTTTTTATTTCATACACAAGTACAACAAATTCACACTCAGAATAGAAAAGGTTCCCTTTTTTCACCAAAAGAGATCTCTGCTGTCCTGCTGATGTTACAAAGAAAAAATATATCACAAATATTTCAGTTTCCTGCAAGTATCATTCCTGCAGGTGGCTGAAAAATTTGAAACAGTATTTCATTATATCAGACTAGGGTGATTTTTCTTTGTTTTCTAATTTTTAATTCTCTCAGATAATTTAATTACTTTGTGCACTCAGTCAGTCATTTGCAGTTGTGAAATTGTTTGATTATTTTGTCTGAAGAAACTCAAATTTTGAAAATATGCTAATGACTTAAATTTCCTCAAATTTTCTTTAATTACTTTAAATTTCTCTTCTCTTCTCTTCTTTTCATTCTCAGTGGTGATTAACACTCCTTGTTTGTCAAATTGAACCGTTTTCTTGAATTCGAGTAAAGAATTTTGCTATCCTTTGGTCATAATTGTTGGAAATAATATGTCCAATAAAAACATTTGAGTTAGGTGTGTTTACATGTATAATTGATCTCATTTCCAATAAGAGTTCTACACGCAACCAACCGAAGACGCTATTTTCTCTTTTTTTTTTTTCTTTTTTTTTTGCTATTATTTTTTCTTAGATTAATGGCGGGGCACACTGCGAGGTTCTGTGACCCAAGTTCGAGTGACTTGGCAGACGTTTTTATGGATTTTACCTTATCCAAACCTGAGCCACAAGAACAAGGAAACGATGCAGATTTCAACTCATGTAAATTTACGCAGAAATCTTCTAGTAGCTCCACCTCGACCGTGGCGACAGAGCCTTCAAAGCCTGGCGTGTCTGTCGACAATGAGGAAGGTGGCCACAGTGAAAGTCAGCCGGTGGCTGCGAACAGTGGAGCGACATCCGAATGTGTTGTATGTAACGATAAAGCCACAGGTTACCACTATGGAGTTTTTACGTGTGAGGGCTGTAAAGGGTTTTTTAAACGAACGGTACAAAAGCAGTTGGAATACACCTGTAAAGGAGATGGAAACTGTGAAGTAAACCAGTTGAACAGAAATCGGTGCCAATACTGTCGCTTTCAGAAGTGTATGGCTCAAGGAATGTTAAAGGAAGGTGAGATCTACTTCTTTTGTTTTAGTAAGTTGCAGCCGGAGAGCAAAGCGAGTTATTACCTGGAGCAACGTAACAAGCCTTGACATCCATTTAATTAGTTTTTTGTTGTTCGCTGCGTGTTTGTGTTACCGTAAGGCAGTTGTGTGGTAAAATGTAAACAGTATCAGAGCTGAGTGGCTTTTACTCGTAGCGCTGTTACTGAATACATTCATCAGAACTATTTAGTCTGTAGGCCATCAATATATGGCATGTATCACAAGTGTTTTACGGCTCCCGGCGCGGTGGCTGATTATTGCAGAGGTGAACTCCTTGTAAACGTATGGTTAACACTTTATATTTGCTATAAATTTACTTGGTTTAAGGTCTACAGAGAACCAATTCTCAATAACTCTTTTGTTCGGTCCTCGTTTACAGCATATTCCCGCACTGATTATTGCTGTAAAAATACTCGCTAGTAGCCCACAGCTGCCTGTCGCAGTATGTTAAACACCTCTCTCTGTTGATTATATCCCTTAGCTGTGAGAGAGGACCGAACTCCTGGTGGAAGACATCGACATCGTTCGTTGCAGGATCATCGCCCAAAAAAACAACGGGGTCGAGAAGATGCCGTAAATGGGTCGGCAGACGGAAATGATTGTGTGGAAGGCGCCTTGAAGCAACACAAAAAAGAGGAGTCGGCAGCCGGCAAAGGAGAGTACATGGCTTTTATAGAAAATATTCGAGATCAAGCGGTAACGATGCCTCATATTGAGGGACTCGTGGTTGAAAACGAAAGTACGAAGGAAAAAGATGTCAACACTTTCATGCAGCTGGCTTATCAGGAGCTTAACATGATCATTCAGTGGGCTAAAGATGTTCCCGGATTCAAGGACATTGACTTGGAGGATCAAGTGTGCCTCATCAAAGCTTCTTTTATGGAACTGAACGTATTTCGTTTGGCGTACAGATCGGTGCCTTGCGACCCTATGTCCCTACGGTTCAGCAAAGAATTGATTTTCGACAAGCACGAAGTGATTGCGTTCGGTTGGACGGAAGACCTGGTTGATACAACCCTGGAATTTACTGACAAGCTGCGCAGTCTGAATCTCGATCAAAACGAGTTTGCTCTTTTATCTGCTTTAGCTTTACTCAGCCCAGGTTTGTGGAAGTGGGATTTGATTTACTTCTTGTCTCTATTAGAAAGAAGAACAGATAAACCCTTGAAGAGAATATGTGTAAATCAAATATTTGAACTATAGAGTGAAAATAATTAACGAAAGAAAGATAATGAATGGATGATCAGCACTGAATGATCTTAGTTACACCAGCATTGCTGAGCGTACTCACATCTGAAACCTCCATTGTCATTGTCATTTTCATGCTTCAAATCTCTTCCTGTTATTTAGTTATTAGTTAATTTATTGATTTATCGGTAATTTTTAAGGTGGCGCAGGAAGCCTTCTCTCACGATATATTTAGAACCTAAAAGGGCGCATGGGCTCTCGTGATTGGTCTGTTTTGTTCCAATAGATACGCCTGATCTCAAAGATAAGGAGAAAATCACTCGCCTGCAAGAGAAAGTAAACATCTATTTGCGTGACTACTCCAAGGCTCTCTATCCACAGAAAGCAAATCGTCTCGGAAAACTGCTCCTCTGTCTTCCTACTCTTCGCATATATAGCGAGAAAGCAATGGAAAATTACGTCACCCTGGAGTTCTTTGGTAAACTGGATATGCCGCCTTTGGTGGCTGAGCTGTTGGAGTAAGACTGGTAACAAGTCTCAGAGTCTTATGAAGAGAAACTTTAATTAGCTTTGAGTCAAGCTTACCTGTAAGCTTGTAATTATTTCTTTAACTCGATGTAACTACTTATTGTCAGGTCCTTGTTTATCGGCGGAAAACGCAGAGGCGCACTATGTCAGTCGAAGGGTAATTACAACAATAATCCGATGTCTCAAGGTACAAGACACAAAATCTAAGATAGTGAACAACTTACCACATCAACCGTCGCGATCATGGAATTGAAACTTTAACTCTAACTATGTTACTTACAGAAAATTAAAAAGACGAGATGATTAAAAAACATATGATACAACAAATGGTGAAGAAATGGCGAGGGTTTTTTTTTTTTTTTTTTCGGAAACCCAAAATACTGGATGATGCGCCCATGTGATATTACCGTCATTTTAGCAGCGAATCACCTTCCCTATCATTGAAACTGTTTTAATTGGTTTTTATCAGATCATTTTTCTGTTTGTTTGAATGTTTTTAAGATAACATGTTAAAAATCTCGTATTTATTCCTTCAGAGAAAGTAAATTAGTCATCATTACTGCACGGTTAAATTCGTGCTTTCCGTAGAATTTAAAGTTACCTGAGAATAACAATAATAATAATATATTTTATTTTTGATTTGATTTTTCTCCCTCCTAAATCCGATAGTTTTACCTTTCTAGATCCCTTTAACAAATAGGAGCCGACGTTTGGAAGTCGTTTACAGAGATCATTAATGACATTCTTTTTTACAGTCAGGAACACGCAACTGTACTTTTAAACTTTAAATCAGTTTTGCAGTCTGAAACAATCGAAGGGCCCTCAGTTTTGCCTTTTGTTGGTTTTATTTTAGTTAATCGATAGTTGTGTAGTTGTTTTTCAGAGCTTAAACAAGTAAAATGAACTGGTATCTTACTACGCGAGTCCGTTACAGCGCTTCTCGGAATACTGAAATACAACATGGCTTCCATCATGTAACTTGGGTGCAGTCCGGTACGGCTGGTGGGAAAAAAGAGGCACAGTACCCTTTTAGTCAGGTGAAATAAGTGAGAAGTTCCTCAAGTGTTTTTAATAATATTAAAGTAAATTATAGAAAAAAAAGTCCATAGAACCTAAACACTAGAATTATAGCGCTGATGGAGATAACATTACAGTATTGAACGAACTAATGAAGTTTATTCTCGATCCAGGGCCTTTCGCTTTCGTCGTTGCAATTAGGGCTTGGGTGCGAGACTGTAAACAGAAGATGATGACTTGACGCCTTTTGTGCACGAATTGTCACGAAAATAGAGCCAAAGTGTTTATTCTTAAAGCTTACATGGTGGTTGCAGCTCATTTAGAACGCGATGATGTCTGTTTCTAGGTCCTCTCACCTTTTTATTACAAAGTTATCTGGGTCCGTTTTGACAAACTTAAAGCCTCGCACCCGGGCAACATTTACTTATAAAAAGAAAGTCGAAAGATGCAAGAATGATTTTAGCCTTTAAAGGTGTCGACATTATATGATAGAAAAACAACTTATTGTGGTAAGAAATGAGGTTCGAGAGGCTATGAAGCACGGCACATTTAGAAGAAACGTGATAATATTGTTACCATAATCGTTATTTCAGATGCTTAATGTAAGTTTAACTTCGATACCAAGACTGAAGATGTTAATGTTCAAAGAAATAAAAAAAAACAAGTTATAGTGATTTCTCTTTCATTTTGTTGTACTTGTGTCGTAGCGAACCTGAGTTACGTGAACTTTTTTAAACTTGATTTTTAAGGTTTTTGGGGGCAAAACCAAGGGGAGGGGTAGAAGGCGGGGGAGTGGCTCTCGCCGTACATTAATTTTTGTCAAATCACGCAGTAGCGTGCCCCAATGTGCTTTGTACCTTAAATACATATCTGTGATTTTATTTCCAGTTACTTAAATGCTTTTATTTACATTAATTCAAATTAACATCAAATACAAGTAAATAGATCAATATACGAATTTTATACTAGTAGTATAGTTTACTACTATACTTATTACGAAGAGCCAAACTGTTTTGAGAAATAATTTGAAGAACTTTTCTCGAAAAAGCGCAATCTGTTTTGAGCTATCTTAAAATGAAACGCTGTAAACTCCGTTAAGAGAAAAATTTGCTTAAAAAAAACCTTTTAAAATACCTTAACCTTTTTAAAATAAGACCTCATGGCGTTCGGACGCGGCTTCAAGCTCTCCGCAAATTTATGTGTGTTTCTCTGTATTTACATCACTTTGGAGTTCTTCAGGTTCTCAGATGTATACGAGAACACTTTGCTTAACGATAGAGAGACGTATTTTGTTTCCCAGATGAATTGCAGGGCTGAAGTTGCTGGTGCTTCATTTCATCGAAACGAACCGACCCGGAGGCAAGAGTCTAATGGACGACTGAAGAGTGTTATGCTTTGTAAGCTTTTTCATCGTGCCTGTTTTGCTTTGACTCTTATTGCTCTTGCTGGTGACATTGAGATTAATCCCGGCTACCAGACATTTGCTGATATCAAGTCCACTAGAGGTCTCAAGATTGCTCACTTGAATATACGAAGTCTCGCAAACAAAACCGACTCTCTGCGTCTTGAGGGAATTAACAACAAAACTTTTGACGTGCGAACTCTGTCCGAGACTTGGCTGGACTCCTCAACAAGTGATGCTGAAATAAAACTCCCTGGATTTGTGTGCATAAGGTTAGATCGCACTGGCAATAAAGAGGGATATGGCGGAGTTGCTATGTATGTAAGAGAAGATTTGGCGTTTCGTTTGCGGAATGATATCAATACTGGTGGACAGGAATGTTTATGGATTGAGTTAATTCGAGATAAATGTAAGCCAACGTTATTATGTTGCGCTTATAGAGTACCAGATGCCGATCTCCGCACTTTTATTTCGTCTCTGCGAGATAGTATGCCTGCTGTTGATCTTGAAAAATCGGATGTGGTCATTTTAGGAGATCTAAACGCAAACATGATGCCTAATTCAAAATTGCCCAAGAAAGACAAACAACTACTTCTCAACTTCTCGCGCGCTTTTGACTTCACACAGCTGATAAAAGAGCCTACTCGAATATCTGACACCTCACGGACCTTGATTGACCTGATTTTTGTCAATAATGAACATCGCATTGTTAAATCTGGTGTTGTTCCGTTTCCATTGAGCGACCATTACCTGGTGTTTTGCATTCTAAAGACTGGTGTGCACACAAAAGCACATCCAAGAATGTTTGAGTATCGCTCTTACAAGAATTTCGATGCGAATTCATTTAACGAAGATCTTAGGAATGTTCCTTGGCACGTCGTTGACAATGAAAACAATATCGATGACGCTTTATTAACTTGGAACAAACTGTTTTCAGAAGTTGCAGACGATCATGCACCTGTCAAACGACGACGTGTGAAGGGAACACCTCTTCCTTGGATGAATAGCAAAATTAGCGAATCAATGAGAGATCGAGACTGGTATCATCGTAAAGCACGTAAATCGAACTCAGAAAAGCACTGGAACACTTACAGGAAACTGAGGAACAAAGTAAACCGCTTAGTAAAATCTGCTAAGTCGAAATATTACTGTGACATGATCGAGGAAGCCAGAGGAGATCACGGCAAAATGTGGAAAGCTGTAAACGAAGCATGCAATCGTAATTCATCCTCAGAAAAGGTTCAGTGCATCATTTCCGATGGCATTCAGCACACCACTTCCAAATCCATTGCTGTTGCTTTGAATAGCTTCTTTGCATCCATAGGCAAGCGCCTAGCTGACAAAATAACGACTACCTGGTCGAATTGCAACTTGGTTTTAGAACAACCGTTGTCTCAGTTCCAGTTAACTGAACTAGAGGAATCGTTTGTGCTTCAGCAGCTTACCTCTTTGAAGACAAATAAAGCAATTGGTTTGGACAAAATTAGTGCTAGACTACTCAAGAGCTCTGCTAATACAATCACTCCCTCCATCACTAAGCTGTTGAATCGATCGATTCTTACTGGTAAATTTCCTAAATTGTGGAAATGCTCAAAAATTACAGCCTTGTTTAAATCAGGCGACCGGTCAAATGCATCGAACTATCGACCTATCTCTATTTTACCGACACTCAGTAAAATTCTCGAGAAAGCCGTGCATTCCCAGTTGTACCAGTACTTGGTTATTAACAACCTTCTCACAAGGAAACAGTTTGGATTCAGGAAGGGGCTCTCTACTGAATCTGCTTTGACATCATTTGCTGATGAAGTCTTATTGAACATGGAACAAGGTAAACTGTGTGGGGCCGTGTTTTTGGATTTAACCAAGGCTTTCGACACCGTGGACCATCGGATTTTGTTACGCAAGCTTTCCAAAATTGGTTTATGTGAGAACTCGCTTCAGTGGTTCCGCTCTTACATTACTGACAGGAAACAGCGTACATGTTGTGGGAATGAGTTGTCTGATGAATTGCCAGTTACCCATGGGGTCCCTCAGGGAAGTATTCTGGGTCCTCTGCTATTTGTCATCTACATTAACGATTTGTCAAGCGTTCTAGATGCCTGTCAAGCATCACTTTATGCAGATGACACGGTGATCTACTGCTATGGGTCTTCCTCTCAGGAGCTGACTGAAAAGCTCAACCAAGACCTCCTGGCTGTGGCGAAATGGCTGAATGAACATAAGTTAACACTGAATCTGGACAAAACCAAATGCATGCTTATAGGCAGTAACAAGAAGTTACAGAGGAAAATAGCTCTAACTGTTTCAATCTTTGATCATTGTATAAACAATGTTACTTGTTTTAAATATCTTGGAATCTTAATATCGTCTGATTTTTCGTGGACAAATCATGTCGAATACATGGCAGGGAAAGTTAATCAAAGGCTTGGCCTACTTAGACGCATTAAGCATTTGTTACCGTTTAAGGCGCGCATCCTTTTTTATAAAAGCCTTGTTATGCCCTTATTCGAGTATGCTGATTTAGTTTGGGGAGACAAACATAATGTAACTTTAATGTCTAGTTTGCAAGTGCTTCAAAATAAGGCGGCTAAAATAATATTAGATCGACCACTGTATTCCTCTGCGTCTGATGCGTTAACTACACTGAAGTGGTTAACACTAGAAAAAAGGCGCTTCCAGCGCCGATGCGTACATGTATATAAATGTCTTAATGGTCTCACGCATCACGAATTAACATTAGTCACTCAGCAAGAACAGCATAGTTACAACACAAGAAATAAAGCAAACCTCAAAATTCCATCCGTTAAAAGAAACTGGGGTAAACAAAGAACTGGCTATCATGCTGTAAGTGATTTTAACTCGCTGGACAAAACTATACGAGCCTCTGATAATGTAAATATTTTGAAGCGTCAGATTTTTAATTTATTGATTTAAGTTTTGTATTACACATAAGATACATTAGTTTTTAGTAGCATCTTTTAGCATTTTTATTCATTGTAAATTTTTAATTTTTAATTTTCGAGGTCCTTTTTGTAAACCACTTTTTAGTGAAAAAGTTTCCTCATTAAAGATTGTCATTATTATTATTACGGGAACGATGTTCATTGAAAACAACGGTTAGTGAAAGCTTAACAAGCAGATGTATTCTTCGTCAAACTGTCGAGTGAGATTGTCTCTGACGTGATAATATATGTAATTGACCAAAGATGTATCGGACAAAAAGTTCTCCATGACAGAATTCTTCGAAATTGAAAAGCAAAATCTTGCTTGACTAATTTCCCACTGTCCCCCCCCCCCCCTTCGGTGAACTAACCATACGGAAAATAATATATAGACCTATTCAATAAATAGCGGAATTGTATATTCTTCAGTAGCGAGATCAAGTCAGATTCTTTAGCATTGTTCATTGCTTTTTGGTGAGATCTTTTTAGCTGCTAGTGTTTCATAGTACGGCATACACTCTTCTACCACAGCAGCCACCTCAGGGGGAAGCTCTTCTAAATCGAATGCAGTGAATGCGTGAGGCTTGTTCTTCTTGGCTCTTGGTTTAAACCCAGTGCTTTTCAAAGCGTCTTCGTGCCACCCTGCCCAGACGTCCCATTCAGGTACAGGACCCGGTTCCCACGATGTCATGGTCTCTTCATACTCCAAACCAACTGCTTCACAATAACTCTGTAAAATTCCGTTGGGATAATCCAAGAGATCGTCAGCGTCTACGACGACGGGATTGCCGTGAATATTTCTGTCGACAAATTCATACAACTCGAGCATTTGACGAAAGCCCGCCTCTGCGGGGTCAAAGTAATCCCATCCTGTGAGTTTCGGGTTAGTGGAGGCTCTGTACAAGGAATAGACAGCTTTAAGAGGGTGACGAATGAGGAATGAATGTTGAAAGTTCTTGAAACCTTCTTCTGCAAAAATGTCCATTTTATTTTCCACGCAGTAGGCCATTTCCTTGGAGAAGACGAAATCTCTGCCATCGTACTCCTTTTGCAGCATTTTGCTGATCGATCGGTAGGTCGCTTGTTGTTTTGTTTCTTGAGCGGCATATCTGGCACTTTGCTTTTCTGGACCGAAGTAGAACGCTTGTGAGTACGGCTCGTGAAAGATTTTTGAGTTCTTTAGATTCATAATGGATCTCTCAAACGCTGTTGAGACGCACCGTGGGGCTGTCCAGAGGAGGATGCGATTTTTTGACATCTTGTAATCCGTCCGCCTTTCTAAAGACCGTATTATGTTGTATCTAAAAGTTTTCCTTATTTTAAATCAGACTAATTGTTCGTTGACTTCGTGTTGTGCCCTTACTGGCCGCAGAGTGAAGTCAGTTCAAATGATAGTGTGGAATGATCTTTAGCGCGGTTTTATATCCTGACCTGCTGCTCGTATTATATCGAAGGCGTGAACTGTAGTCCCACGCATTGCCGTCAGTTCAATATTAGGTAAAAAAAATAACAACAGGTGCAACCCTGTGTAACAATCTCTCCTTTGAAAAGGCAATCGAATACTAAAACAAAAGAAAGAAAATACGCGGAACAATTCTAGCGGCTGAATCAAAGTGTAATGCTAAGAATCGATTCACATACGCTTTCAGCTCATTATTTGAGCGGCAAAAATCAATGTGTTCACTTAAATGATTAATGAGAAATCCAAAATTATTTTTGCCATTTAGAAGAAATACTTGTTTTGTGAATTGTGGCGAGTAAAATTAGTTCTAGTGGGTGTTATCGAGTCTTGCGGTACCCGGCCATCTGTTTACCCTATTTCTTTCTTTATGTAGTTTTTCAATTGTATTTCCTATTTCATAGTTGTTATTTCTTAAATCGACAGCACTATAACCTTTTAAGAGCTTTTAAGTTTTGTTGTGCTATATCACAGTTTATCACAAACTATATTGTATATAGGTAATTCGGCCTCTGGCTGTCATTTATTTCTACAAAGTATCCATTCATATGTCTATTTGACAAGGCCAGTTTTTCGAAAGTTCCGGTGATCATCAGTCCTGGAAACATGATTCTGGCTGGCCATGTCTGAGATTCTAGTTTGAGGTATCGATATTTAATACTCACACGACCATTCCTCAAATTAAGAATAAAAGCTTCGGACCCCTTAAGTGCATGACCCTGGCAACGATCAACGATTTTAATTCAGAATTTCACTAAATGTAACTTTGTCGGAAATCACCCACGTGAAAAGCATTATTCTACAAGCAAATGTTGACGAAGAGCATCCTTTTGAACGCAGTTTTGAGATAATCCAACCGTGTGAAATCATCGGGTGAGTGAGTGCCACTCACGTAATGGAGTATTAAGTGATGATAACGGGATCGAATAAACAATACGAATCTTTATCAAGTTTTTCACAGAAATGGTTTACGTAATAAGTGTCAGTGATAACATCTGAATCAGTATGCGGTGGCAGTTATCGGTTACCTTGAAATAAATTAATGCAGAATTTGGGAAAACCCTAGTTATCTGTCCTTTACAAAATCAGAGTTCACAGTACAGGGAATGCTAATAAATTGAACTGTTCTACTAACAGCTTTCTTCTGACACATCACTTGAGCTCTCTACAACGAGAATATCGATATCAAAATTATCAACAAAACCAGTCAGTAATCTACAGTTATGACGCCACAATGCTGGTATCTCCTGTACGCACCTGTCCGCCGCGATAGCTATAGTCTGTTGGCATATCTCACTTGGTGAAAATGTTCCAAAGAGTACTCACAGTTGTTTTACAGGAGAAACATCAAAAACGGAAGCATGTTTTTGCATTTATCCAGTATTCTGTCACAATCTTTCCGCCTTTCGTATCGTTTGAAAGGTATTGCGACAGTTGGTAGAAAAGATTCACTGGGCAGTGTAACTTATAGTGAGCCTCGGCTTTGTATACATGACGGTCGATTCCACTAAAAAAATCACAGCGAACCTGAGTTACGTGAATTTTTTTAAGCTTGATTTTTGAGATTTGTTGGGGCAAAACCAAGGGGAGAGATAGGAGGCGGGGGAGTGGCTCTCACCGTACATTAATTTTTGTCAAATCCCACAGTAGCGTGCCCCAATGTGCTTTGTACCTTAAATACATATCTTTGATTTTATTTCCAATTACATATCAAACTCATGGGGTACAAATAGTCTCAACATGAATATAGTGACCACGCCCATTTCAACGCCCCACTCAAATCGAGTGTAATTTTCGAATATTTTACCATCGTGCGGATTCTCTACGGAAAAAAGCACTCAATGCACCTCTGAAATATTAAACTATAATATTGCAGCTTTCTATTTCGCTAATTTCTAACTTGAAGGTAAAGTTTTTGCCTCGTCATTTTTACCTTTTCTCCAAGCGGTTGCGTGAAATTAACAAGGCGTTTTTGATCAAAACACAACCGAGCGAAGGGTCTCGGGCGATATCTCTTTTGCGCAGGCGCAAATTAAAAATGTACCGCCAGAATCAAAAAGAGGAACAAATTTCCTTTGTTTTGATATGTAAAGTGTCGAACAAAAAGCAGATTTACCCTCGTCAAATGACGTTTCAAAACAGCTTTATCTTCCTCCTTTTGATTTTTTCCTGTTTTGTAAGCGTGAAAGTAGTAGGAGATGGATCGGGAAACTCCGAAAGCGCTTCGGGAATTAATCTGCCATCGTTTACTTACGAGATAAAAAAGTAAGATTTGTGAAGTTCGTCGTAGTATGAAGTCTAGATAAATGCCTTTTTTAAGCTTGTTTGCTGGATATTTCGTAAACTTCCCCGATTAATTTTTCGTTTCAGCTTACTAATCTATACTATTTCAAAGCAGTGTAAAGACGAAGACGGAGAAAACCATGATTCTGTCCTTTCAACAATCGTAAACAAAGTGTTTGAACAATCAGGTATACGAGCTGTAATAATCAATAGCCGCATATCAGAAGTCTTCAGAAAGAAAATATTCTGTCTTCAGAAAGCTGTCAAGAAAGCTAGTAATCGTGGCGGAAGGCAATTAAATGCACTTCTTAGCAATTTGGAAACGGGCCCTTGGTATCGATTTAAGGTGTATTACAACGAGGTTGATGTGCATCAGCTTAAAGATGAGAATAGCCAGTTAAGGGGAGAAAAAAGAAAATTAGAAGAATCGTTGGTACAGGAGAAGGCAAAGCGATTGCGAGTGGATGAAAAAGCCCGAGAAGCTCTCGAGAAAGTTGAGAAGAAAGGGGCCTTCTACAAGAAAAAATTTATTAAATTGGCCAAAAAAGTGATTAAAAATGAGAAAAAAGTTAGAGGCCCAGCTAAGAAGAAGTTGAATGACTATTCTAAACTGAAGGAGGAGTGCCAAACTACACTCTCTTTTCTTGGGCCGTACAATTTTGTTGAAACCAAAATTGAAGTCCTCAACACTGAGACTAATCAATATGAAACTTTCAATCTTGTTGGAGAGGGAGAGCTGCCATTTATAGAGTCTGACCCAAAGGCCCTTAATAATGATGACATTGATAACATAAATATGTGGCTCTACCTCAAAGATAAATTCAATATTTCAAATGAGGCCTGGCATGAAATTGCCATTAAGGCTAATGGTCTCCCAATACATATTCCATCAAGAAGCAAATTAATGAGCTAAACAGTAAATGGAACTTGAAACAAACACCAGGAGATGTTGAAGGTGTTTAGTTAGGATTTGCAGAAAGCTTGCAAGAGCACATTGTTCGGCTTCAGAAGAATGGAGAAATCAATGATGGAGAAACTATTAAGATCAAGCTTAGTGGTGATGGTACAAATATTGGAAAGTGGCTTACAGTTGTCAACTTCACTTTTACTATTCTCAATGAAAAGGATGTGGCAATGGGTGAGAAGGGAAAATTATGTACTTGCTGTTATAAAAACTACAGAGACATATGATAATCTGAGAGACAACCTAGCAGACCTTCAAATGGAAATGTCAAACTTAAAGGAGATAAGTGCAAATAATTGCACCTATAAAATTGAATACTTTTTTGGAAGAGATTTGAAATTTTAGCACTGGTATGTGGTTTAGGCAGGGCAAATGAGGATTATGCTTGTGTGTGGTGCAAGTGTCCCAGGAAGCAACGGTGGGACACAAGCAAAACATGGTCAGTTAATGACCCCATATCTGGTGCTAGAACTGTTGCCGAAATAGCAAGGTTTTCCACTGGAAAGAAATTCAACTGTAAGGCACAACCAATATTTGATTTTATACCTATGGACCATGTCATCATAGTTACATTACATCTTTTTCTGAGGATTTCAGATGTTTTGATTGACTTGTTCATAAGAGAGCTGAGAAGAAGTGATGCTATTGAGAAAAAAAAACCTCTGATGGATTCCAAGAGATAAATATAAACACATGGCATGTTATGAAGAATTTATCAAAAATATTGGAATCACTTTGAATTTTAGAATCAACAAAGAGAACAAAAAGCTGGAATATAGAGATCTTACTAGACCAGAAAAGTTGAGACTCTTTCAGAATATAAACATTCCTATGCTTCTCCCTCATTGCAGTCAAAACAAAGACATACAAGTGATCTGGGCTAAATTTATGGACATGATTGGTGATTTAAAGCTAGATTTTACATCTGAAGAGGGTATTCTTGAACTGCAAAGAAATATCAAATCATGGTATGCGCACTTTCTCAAAGTTTACCAAGCAAAAGATGTCACTCCCTACATGCATGCACAATGTTGTCATGTTCCTGAGTTCCTGTCACTTTATCAGAACATAGCATATTACACACAGCAAGGCTTGGAAAAATACAATGATAGAGCTTCTAAAGATTTCTTCAGATTCACAAATCACAAAGGGATTGATGCCCTCAAACAGCTGTTTCTGAAGAAAAACAGGATTCAGTTCCTGGAGGCAGCAGGCTATGAAAGGGTTAAGAACACCTACAAATGCAATAACTGTTCAAACAAAGGCCACAACATCAAGACACGCACATCATGCAAAAATTGTCCAGCTTCAATTTGCTGTGCACATCTGGTGAAGGAAGGTGGCAAATGGATTCCCAGATGCCAGCTTCAATATTAACCAGAGTTAGTTTAGTTTTAGTTAGTTTTGTTAGTTTTATGTTATAAAATATGTCATTTAGTTCTTGAGGAAGGATTTCCTGACCCTGATCTTCCTTTAGTTTGGTCACAATGTTAGTCAGGATCAAACATTTAATACTTCTGGTACCCTTAAAATATCACCTTTAATTTTATTTGCCAAAATAGGCCATTTTACAGTTTATTCAGTAACCCGACCTATGAATTAACTAGCCTGTATTTACACAAGAAAAGCAAAGGGGTTTGTATCAAAACAAGGTCACCAGCAACCTTGCTTCCAGCCATAAGCCAGGTAACTCAGCCACAACTGTAAAATAATATTGGAACTTTTGATTGTGAATCTAAAGTATTTGGCAAAGATACTATATAGTGTTTAAACAATGGATTGTTATTTCATCTGTTGGCATGGTAGTTGTTCCTGTTACCATCACCTCTCACAAACTGAAATGTAATAAAGTTGCTGTTTTCAACTTCTGTTCTAGCATATTGTTCCCCGATGAGCTTGTATTCAATGATTGGACTTCTTTGTCCCAGCCGATACTTAATAGTTCCTGGAATTACATAGGCAAAATCTCCAGCTAGATTTAAAATTCTTTCATCCCACTTAAGCCCCAGATATGAATCAAGCACCCTATTTGACTCCAATTGGTAAACCATCTTCCCTCTGAAGAACGCCAGGCAAAACACTCCCAAGACCTTCGGTAGTGAGATAACGGCGTAATATGTGACTAACAGTCTAAAGACTGTAAGGTTTTACGCCACTATGTGCGTCGGTGTATATATATGTAAGATTTTAAGCCGTTAACTAACGGCGTAAAATATTACAGTATATAATTTACCGACTGGAAGAAATTACGCCGTTAGTTACTGGCGTAAAATCTTTACGCCAGTAACTAACGGCGTAATTTCTTCCAGTCGGTGATATATATAATGTAAATTTTACGCCAGTAATATAATTTAATTATATATTAGTTTATTAGAATTAATCTACCGACTGGGTTAGTGGCGTAAAATCTTACGGTATATAGACTGTGTTAGTCGCATATTACGCCGTTATATATATTCCCCAAGACCTTCCATGAAAACATCTTGGTCAACATTAAGGTCTATGTTCATATCAGGGTCCTCTCGCCGTCCAGACAAAAGCTTTTTCTTTATTTCACAAGCAAGTGATGGAATGAACAGCTTTTCGCTGCGACAAACGGAAAATACCTAGATCCTCCATCGGCCCCGAAAGTCTCCATTCATCAAAGCATGTGCTATAGCCAACGTAATGAATTTTCAACCTCTTGTTGATTTTTTCAACCTCCCTGGTCTCAATATCATACAGTTTTTTATCTTTCTTCCGTGGATTCGCCTTTCTAACGGGGGTGTATGTTAAATATTCATTGCAAAATCGCTTTGTTTTCTTTATTTCCCTCTTTGGCCTGTCTGCCATTTTCAAGATTCGCAATGAAGAGCATGCGCATTACGTGGGGTTAGTGGTCGCGTATACCTGGAAACGAGAAAAACAAATGTTCGTCGCGCTGGGGAAAGAGTTTGATATGTTAAATGCTTTTATTTACATTAATTCAAATTAACATCAAATACAAGTAAATAGATCAATATACGGGAACGATGTTCATTGAAAACAACGGTTAGTGAAAGCTTAACAAGCAGATGTATTCTTCGTCAAACTGTCGAGTAAGATTGTCTCCGACGTGATAATATATGTAATTGACCAAAGATGTATTGGACAAAAAGTTTTCCATCATAGAATTCTTCGACATTGAAAAGCAAAATCTTGCTTGATTTATTTTCCACTGCCCCCCCCTCTTCGGTGAACTAACCATATGGAAAATAATATATAGACCTATTTGATAAATAGCAGAATTGTATATTACTTATATTCTTCAGTAGGGAGATTAAGTCAGATTCTTTAGCATTGTTCATTGTTTTTTGGTGAGATCTTTTTAGCTGCTAGTGTTTCATAGTACGGCATACACTCTTCTACCACAACAGCCACCTCAGGGGGAAGCTCTTCTAAATCGAACGCAGTGAATGCGTGAGGCATATTCTTCTTGGCTCTTGGTTTAAACCGAGTGCTTTTCAAAAAGTCTTCGTGCCACCCCGCCCAGAGGTCCCATTCAGACACAGGACCCGGTTCCCACGATGTCATGGTCTCTTCATACTTCAAACCAACTGCTTCACAATAACTCTGTAAAATTCCGTTGGGATAATCCAAGAGATCGTCAGCGTCTACGACGACGGGATTGCCGTGAATATTTCTGTCAACAAATTCATATAACTCGAGCATTTGACGAAAGCCAGCCTCTGCAGGGTCAAAGTAATCCCATCCTGTGAGTTTCGGGTTAGTGGAGGCTCTGTACAAGGAATAGACAGCTTTAAGAGGGTGACGAATGAGGAATGAATGTTGAAAGTTCTTGAAACCTTCTTCTGCAAAAATGTCCATTTTATTTTCCACGCAGTAGGCCATTTCCTTGGAGAAGACGAAATCTCTGTCATCGTACTCCTTTTGCAGCATTTTGCTGATCGATCGGTAGGTCGCTTGTTGTTTTGTTTCTTGAGCGGCATATCTGGCACTTTGCTTTTCTGGACCGAAGTAGAACGCTTGTGAGTACGGCTCGTGAAAGGTTTTTGATTTCTTTAGATTCATAATCGATCTCTCAAACGCTGTTGAGACGCACCGTGGGGCTGTCCAGAGGAGGATGCGATTTTTTGACATCTTGTAATCCGTCCGCCTTTCTAAAGACCGTATTATTTTGTATCTAAAAGTTTTCCTTATTTTAAATCAGACTAATTGTTCGTTGACTACGTGCTGTGTCCTTACTTGCCGCAGAGTGAAGTCAGTTCAAATGATAGCGTGGAATGATTTTTAGCGCGGTTTTGTCTTGTTTTTTAGTTGTGTTTTCTCTTAAATCGACAGCATTAACCTTTTAAGAGCTTTTAAGTTGTGTTGTGCTGTATCACAGTTTATCGCAACTATTTATAACATAGCTAGTAAATTTGTCTTATCAAATTCAATTGTGCGAGCGTGTTTCATATTCCTTTATAAAATAATTCAAATAGTACGCGCGCTCTGATAAGCTGGAAACCACGACGCGAAGCGGAGTGGTTTCCTACGCTTATCTCGTGTTCTCCTAACCTCCCGCGTGTTTACATCAGGCTATGTAAACACGGAAACCATTTTACATTTCTTCAATTGTGCACGCTCATGACGTCCGCAAACAAATCCTTCGAGAAAAAGATTTTCCATCGGGTTGAAAATGTTATAAAACAATTGGGTCATACGTCAGCTGTGCGTTCATTGAGATATGAAGCACTTGGGAAGTTTGGAGAGCACTCGAGAAGCTAGAGTTGCTTTCGGTTACGCCTCGAGCAACTCTTACGCATCTTTCGTGCTCTCCAAACTTCCTGCTTCATATCTCGATGAACGCACGCTGACATATGAACCAATTGTTAAATTGTATATAGGTAATTCAGCCTCTGGCTGTCATTTATTTCTACAAAGTATCCATTTATATGTCTATTTGACAAGGCCAGTTTTTCGAAAGTTCCGGTGATTATCAGTTCTGGAAACATAATTCTGGCTGGCCACGTCTGAGATTCTTGTTCGAGGTATCGATATTATTAAGGAATAGTCGTGTGAGTTCCAAAGACTACTCACAGTTGTTTTACAGGAGAAACGTTAAAAACGGAAGCATGTTTTTTCATTTATCCAGTATTCTGTCACAATCTTTTCCGCTTTTCGTGTCGTTTGGATAGGTATTGCGACAGTTAGTAGAAAAGATTCGTTAAATGCATTCCATGAATTACTAGGCAGTGTAACTTATGGTGAGCCATGACGGTCGATTCCACTAAAAAATCACTTCGTGGCTTTCTTAAACTTTTTCCTACTTCAACGTCAGTGTTACCAAACCAACTAACTGATGAAATCGAGAACAAAAAATTCCTCGTCAAATGTTCATAATGTCTTGAAGGATTTTACGGTAAAGGAACAGAAGTCGCACAATCATAGTGTCCTTGGGAATCAAAGACTCCCCTAGTTGAAAGATGAATCGTGTCCAGGTGATATTCACCAAAGCTGAAGTCCTCAAATGACTGAAAAAGAGGAATATTAAGAATATCAGAACTACATCAAAAAAGCGGAAGGTCAAAACAATTAAAAGACATCAAAGAGTTTCGTATTTCGGTGGCTTCCACTTTCCATAACGGCAGCTGGGTGTTATGAGCGTCAAGGAGAGACTGGTAACAAATCAGCGAGACAACTCTTGATCAATAAGCAATAACCTAAAAGACAGCAGTTTGATCAAGGCGGAGAGGGACTATGGAACTAAATAGTCATACATGTATCTTTTTTGTTAAACATAACTATCGAAAATTAGAGAGCAATTGATGCCCTACTCTAATGACTTTTCTTGCGTCAAATGATATTCTCTTTTTAAATCTTGGTGCCGCATCGCCTCTGCCGCTTTTGGTCGAAGTTTCTGCTCCATAGGCATCATCACGAAGTTTTGAATTCATTACAGTGGCATGTAACTTGACACGGTCGTATTCGCGTTTCATCAAACCGGCAGACACGAACGTATCGACCAACGCGTTAGCCAACAGCTGGAGCCTTGTTAAGTAGAGCAAAAGAGAGAAAAGGAAAAAAAACGTTAGCTGGAAAACTCCAATGGCGAGAGCCCAAAAAATCTTTTCATTTTCAGCGGTTCATTTTTGAGCTCTTCTATTTTGAGAAATTTCTTACTACGGTGGACATTAAGAAGTTGATTTTGGGTCAAAGATACCTAAATAAAACTCATTGAATCTTAAGACAACTGTAATTTTTTTGGTTAATAAGATATTCAACAAATACCAAGGCAAAATTGAGATTGATATTGGTGTTAGCAAAGGACCAGAGCACAAAGTTAACTTTCAAAGCTGAAAATAATTAATGATCCACCTTTTTCACGTTTACCACTGGTTGACAGCACATACATAAGTTAATCGGAATCTCAAAGAACGGCAAGATTGTACACCAATAGTATGGAAAATTAGGAAAAGTTTTTATAAAAATCCTATCAAAGTAGAGTCTGGGGATTAGTTTTCATGAGATTAAATATTGTGTAAGTAAGGTTTGCTGATCCTTTTATTTACCTGTCAGAGTTGTCTTTTACAAGCACTTTTGCATACAAGACATTTACTTCAGAAGGATCATCATTCATACACTCCACACCTTTGAGTTCAACCACTACCGGCTTGTTGTGAAGCCACTTGCTACAGACAACAACAAATAGTTTATACTACATTAGATTCAAAAGTATCTCCAGCTTAAAACTTTAATTTTAAATCTTCATGTGCACATTGTTAAAATTCATCAAGAATACAATTGATTAAGGTACTAAGACTGATCTTAACATTACAACAATACTGCTGATTTAAATGAATTTTTCCCAACAACTTTCATTTGCAGTTCATTTTTTTTTTTAACAAGTTGGTTTGTACCTACACTTAGGATGACAGCCGACAATAGACAACAAGGAGCCACCAATCAGAACATTTGAAGACTTTTTTGTTTCATTCAAGAGATGGACCACACTTTCTATCAGTTTACAAGTGTAATAACCCTTGCAGAATGATGAGAGAACATGAGAAATGTTTGATAATTACTTAACAAGGTCTTGGTAGCACTGTGTCAAGATGTCTGTTGCATTTTTCTACAAATAAAGTAAAATATATTGTAATATAACTAGAAGTATAGGAATTAAATCATATTTTCAGAAGGAACATTAAAGTATGGTTTAAATCCTGGATCCAATTTTGAAGTAGTGTTAGTAATACTAAGAAAATTGTAGAGGAAATGTACTAATAGAATATTCAGTTATCTGAATAAAATATGATTCCAACATGAAGCGAAGATAACTTTCATGGAGAGAGGGAATTTGGCCCTAACAGCTTAAACAAGAACAAAAATTTAAAAGACAAATGTACTAGCTATGGTCCATTGGTTTTATCCATCTTAATCATCGCATTTTACTAACCAAGAGAGGTTATCAAAATGTTAAATTCAAAGGTTAAAAATCCTTACCACTTCTTTGACACTCAGTAAGGTCAGCATGCCAACAGTTAAATGAATCTTAGTTGGCAGCTGAAAGATGTTGGCATCAATCCCTCTACACTGCAAAGTACAACATCATTCATAATTATTTTCTGGCATTAGTAAACATCCCTTTGTGACAGTTGTTGATCATCAAAGGATTTGTTTCTTTGTAGAGTCAGTTGGATTTTCAAAAATATCTTCCACCAGAATCAAAGACAACTGAATAATTTACAGTTTCATCAACACTACCACCAATTATTTAGTGAGCTAGAAGATGATTACCTCAAAACAATCTTTGAGCACTTTAACTTTAAATTCATCCATTTTCCGTTCCAAGTCACTGTTGTACAAAGGAAAACACAAAAAATGGGTGAAAGGAATCTTCTGTCTGGAAGATTCAGCAATCACCTCTATCCTGCTTCTTGCTCCCACCACACCACTCCTGTTGGGACCAGTTATCACTACAAAGAGACAAAAGAAAAAAAACAGAATTAAATAAGAACAAAAATCTAATCATAAAACAGCAGTTATAAACTCATCAGTTGTTAATGACAACAGATCTTCCCCATTATTCACTTGACCCTTTAGCTCTTACAAGTAATCAATGTGCAACTTCTCTGGATAATATCAATACATTATGCAGCAAACAGGTAATGAGAATACTCAAACTTATCAGGTAGAAGTTATCTTCTTGATCTATCACCAAACTCTCGTAACTAATTTACAAGGATAAAGGAGTAAGTTTCTAAAGAAACTGTGGTGCTGCGTCGGTGGGAGAGTATAGCAGATAATTTAGTGTTAACAACTGGGTTGAAAACGTAAATTAGCCACCGTAAAGGGTAAAAAAGCTGACGTTTCGAGCGTTAGCCCTTCGTCAGAGCGAAACGTCAGCTTTTTTACCCTTTACGGTGGCTAATTTACGTTTTCAACCCAGTTGTTAACACTAAATTACCTGCTAATTTACAAGGAAACGTGTAGCAGCTAAAGGGGAAAATTACCAATCTGATCATGGGAGTTTAGGGGTTAACCTTGGTTGGGGGAAGTCAAGGATAACCGCAAAGTCATGATACAGAAAATTTCCCACTTCTTGTCTATTGAAGAGTTTCATTTCTTATACTAGAAGAATCAAATTGTGATGCAATGGCTACGTACTGACAGCATTGTTTATAAGGTCTATTTGGAGCTCACCAATATCTCCCTCCTCTCCCTGTCTTGGAACCATTATTTGTGTGTTAGTTTCTTTTTCGATTTTCTTCTTTGTTTCAGCCCTCCTTCCAAGGATAAATTTAAATAAAGAGCTTGGTATTTCCACAGATAACCTGTATCCCTGCTCTGTCCTCTCAACAGATTCACTCACATCGCAAGCTTCGTCATCTTCCCAATCCACCCGTTCTGAAAGACCTTAAGAATCGTAAGAGCAAGAGATCAAGACAATGAAAATCAAGTGAAAAATCATGGAAGAACAAGCTTAATAATGAAGCTTCCAATAACATTTTATTTAACTGGTTCAATTTTCGTACTTGCATGTTGCTTTGGAACACGGTCCGAATGATGTTCGATTTTCTGCTCAAATGGCATTTTTCGGTAGCATCGTCCTCCAATATATATGAGCGTTGGTTTCATCACATCCATTTCTCTCAGGTAAGCAGAAGATCAACGTCGTCCACAGTTTATCAATGCACGAATAAGTACGTACATGTTCAAGCTGAGGTAGCACTTTTTAATCGCCATTTTAAATTTGTACCTGAGAGGACTGGCACGAGTTAGTGCCTCTCTACGCATAATTCCCAGAGTTCCAAGCAAAACTTTATTATCGTTACCTCGGCAACATATGGAAAAGGACATGGAGAGGCTCTATAGAGGAATGAGATTCAAAACAACGACGTTATGAAGAGTACCACGGCCTAAATTCTCTTCAAACGTTCTTTTTGGCCATTGAAAATGTTTCAAGTAGAATTTATAATTTTGAAATAACAGACTCTGATAAAAAATGCCTGTTGAACGTGTGCCAGTTGTCCACAAATTTGGGATCATCTCACACACTCAGCGTCTAGCTTTGGAGGATAGACTTGCTAAGAAATCACTTGCCACTGAACCACCACGCACTTTCTCTAGGACAAGGTGAAGATATTACTTAATATGTATTTGTAATTTCTATGCATATCGAAATTATGCTTGGGCAGCCTGAGGTGTTATGGTATTTTCCATACATGAGACCGACGAATACTTGTACTTAACTTAATATAGTAACTAAACGAATTATATATATATATTTTTTATTAACAGAAGGTTCCCTTATGAAGTGACAGAAGATTTTATTGCCAAGGTAAGTGACTTTTCCTGCTCGTTTGAAGAACCTGATAAAAATTTAATTGAAAGACAATTATTGATAACCTTTGTTACGGGCATCAGAGATTAAACTTGAACTCTCAATACTTCACTGACATAGGAGGTTACGGTACTCCATAGATAGTGAGATACATAGCAAGTCTGCTGCTTGATAACTGAAAGTGTTACTTAAAGGTAGCATGTCCTATTATTTTTCAGTTCAATGACAGTAATGAAGAAGATAGGAAAGAACTTGAAGGATTTGCCCTCAAAATGATATCACGAGCCAAAGTAGGTATCAAGATAAAAAGGAGACAAATGAGTTCAAAATGGAATACTTTTTGAAAACTAGTAATAATCATGGATTAGTAAAGTGCATTCAATGTAGCTTAGGAGTGGATACTTTTGTCATGGCATAACAAAATCCACAGTATAATTAAACCTACAAACATGGAATGGTGGCATACTCAATCACAGTTCTGATTTGTAGAAACTCATTTTGTTCAGTCGATGGTTGTAATTTATCTGCACATCTTCCCATGGCATGAAGTTGAAGGAAAGTGGTCAGCTAGTCCAAAATAGCACCCAAGCCTTAAAATTGCACAGCATCAAGAGAGAAGCAACACAAATAGTTTGTCTTACTAACACTGCACATAATTTTACCAAGCAGAGATTTTACATATTTCTCTTAAAAGAAAAATGTCAGACTGAGTGTATGGGAGAATTAGCACTGTACATCAGCTGTAAGAGAGGGTGCTCAATGTTATTTCAATCATAGTCTTTTGGTAGCATTAATTAAAATTGTTGAGTTATTGAGGTGTGATACAATAGCTTTAAATTAGAAAGGACCTAATTTTCTTGATAGACATGGGTCATTGATGTACCTTTGACTGCTCTGTGTAAATGATAGATAAATAAACCACTGTTTCTTGTTGCACTTGTAGAGAAGAGCTGGTATCATGGCTGGGGGGAAAGGAGACCATGTTGATTTAGCTAAATCATGGACAGAATTGGGACTATTAGCACAATGTTCAAACCAACAAGTACAAGAAGGTAAGATAGGATATGCTTCAACAGCTGTTCACGCATTTATATGCAGCACTGATTCATATGTTGTTCACTTCTGATTACAGAATCTCTAGAATTGCTGATCACTTCTCTCGGTCATGCTCCTCCAGCTGCAGATCAGCTTCCTAGGTTTGTAACAGTTGTAGTGATTGTAAGGTTCAAGTATTGATATTTGCCTTTCAAAAGCTATGATTATGAATTCTTTATGTCTCTGGAAAACATCACAAACATATACACTGTAGGATACAATTGAACCAGGTCTGGCAAATCCCCATAGAATCTAATAAATAATCAGTAATATATTCCAGTATTTCATCCATTCCCAGTTAGTATTAATAATGAAATAGAAATGTTGCTTTCTCACAAGTGAACAAATCACAGCATTTTGTGCCACAAGTTTTAACCCTTTTTTAAGATTCCAATAAATTGAAAGTTATGATATTCATTAAGACAATCACTGTTTTTGATTAATTCACAGCTTGGGCACTAAATTTAATTTCAAGTATTCCAGTGTTGTGAATCAAACAAAAACCTGTGGTGTCACTCAAAAACAATGTGCATGTTTATTTGCTTTTCTCTTTTCAGCTTGTTTTATCTTGCAAAAAGTTGTCTTCATTGGTTGAGAAAGTGTGGAATAACTCAGTCATGCTTGAGGACAGCTGAGTTAAAACTCATCAGGGTGTGTATTTATGGTAGATATTTTGCTCTCTTGGCTGGCCCCTTCAAGCAGTTGGGTGACTGTGCATTAACTTGAATTCCTCTTGTTTCAGATGGGTCATCTGGCTTTTTTGAGACTGTATTATCACAACATGACACAAGAACTCAAGGTACTGTTTAAGACTTTTATCATCAAGACAGTTGAATCAGATCTGGAAAAATCTCTTCTAGGACGGTTTGGATATTTGCATAGTTTGAATATTATTACTTTTATTTATTTTTCATTTTTTTTTTTAGTCTTGTATGTGAATTAATACTAATACCAGAGCTCCATTATATCATAACTTTAATTTAAATAGTTAGGTTTAAAAATTAATTCATGACTTGTGTGTTCCTCAATAGGAATATCAGGATGAAAAGCACTCCTTACTCCAATATCTCTCAGGTGATGAATTGCTTAAAGCCAAGTTTTAAGTAGAACTCTGTCTCCAGTCAGACCAGATCAGCATATACAAACTCTTCATTAACCACTTTTATTTTCCTTCACCCTTTCACTCCCAAGCCCTCATTAGTACTTCTTACTGTGTGCTGTACAATTCTTTTAATAATTATATTTGTTCAATAATCCTCCAACTGATATATTAATATCTTTATTTTCATGACTTGCCTGCTTAATATTACATTGATATTGTAAGGAGGAACTCTGTCCTGCTCACTTAAAGGGTTAAATGAACCACTGTGACTTTACAGGGTTTCCAGAGGAACACGAGGAGGCTTACAAATCATTTCCAGGTGTTTTGCTTGCAGTCAGATACATAAAAGAAGTGGTGAGCAGTAGTTTCAGTAACAGTTAAGGGGGGACACACAAACATTGTACACTCTTGAAAATCATTGAATGTGCGCCAGCTGGACTACTGAGTAAGAAAAGTAACAAAACATAGTGAAGACAAACATGGTGAATTAATTTGTGTAATTTAGCATTTGCTGTTCACATAGGGTTAAATTTTTCAATTAAGATTATTTCTGCCAGAAGAAGTGACATTGGTACCAAAATCTATCACTGGTTAATCAGCATAGAGAGTGCATATATACACTTAGACAAGTGCACACACCTTCAGCAGTATTTTTATAATTTTTGAAGTTATATTGAGCTCAAAATTGCTCTGAACATTGGAAACTTTCAGGCATCCATGGTCTTGTCACCCTCATTACATAAGTTGATGAAATCCTGCACAAAACTGTTTAAAATTTGAATATCAGAAGATTTTAAGAGGGAATGTCCACTATGATGAAAGAAAAAATAAAAAAAATAAGCGAAACAGTTATCTGGGCCTTTATTTGTTTTCTTTTTGACATTGATATTTCTCTTGCCTTTTTCAGGGCCATCTTATTTGCACTGGTTGTGAGGATCCTAATCAAAAGGAATCTTTAGCTGTGGAGACTACAGCAGACACAGGAGCAACAACCAAAACAAAGACCACAAACCAGGGTGAACAAGGGGCAACAGCAGTACCTGTAGGGAATGCCACTGAGGGAGGGAGAATGGGGCTGCCCTTGTTACTGGAGGAAGAGGAAGAAGAACAGGGTAGTGGAGATATGGTATGAGTCCAAAGTCCTAACTTCTTGGATATTTCATATACTTGTAATGATGTTTTGATGGGTGTGTTAAATTGATTATACTGTGTGTGTGTTTTGTTTTGTTTTGTTTTTTTTCTTTTGCAGGAGTTCCATGAGGCTGTGTCTATCAGCCCCCCTCACAGCCCAGCAGCAGCTAGTACAATTCATGACTTGTCACCAACCCTCTGGCATGCTCTGGATATATGGAGGAGCATCATGCATAGAGGTACTGGGTTGAGACAGGCTTTAGAGGGACTGAGCATGTGTGGAACAGGCCTGAATACAGAGTTATGGTATGTTAGGTGACCTCATACAATTAGATTAGGCATAACTCCTGATTTAAAAATATTTGTCAAAATAGTTAAGAACACAGTAGTGTTTATTATCTTTGATGATTTCTTTCTTATCTTGAGAGATATAAATGCAGTTCTTGTCATGGATTGCCTTATTTTTGATTTTGTTACATTGTGCCTATTTTTCTGTGTTATAAATGTTGCCCTATAGAGGGTTAATTTGTTTTGAATTTTCCTGGTTTGGCAACCAAACCAGGACGAAAAGGTTTTTCTACTTGATAACATAAATTTTGCAGTGTATGAGGCAGTTAACCATAATCCTATCATTTCTCTGTGTACACATTTATGTTGTACTCGCCTCTTACTAAGCTCTCTCTTGTATCATTGTAGGATGGACGTCTGCTGCGCTTTTCAAGTACTCACGGAAGTGTCTAAACGTGATATTACTGTTCTGCGCACTTTTCAAGCCTTAGCCGCTGGTATGTTTACCAAACCGGCAGAGATATCAGACGCGCATGCGCGTCACATTCACGTTTGCAACAACTGTTTGTCGACATTAACTGGACACCAGTCCTTATCAGGCCCAGATCTACATGACGATGGTTTCAAGTTAAATCATGAAAAAACTCGATCAACTTCAGGCTTCTTATCTGTTAGAAAGACTCCAAGTTTTGTGAAAGGATTGCGTGACTTTGCTAACCTTGGCCTCGAAAATGACAAAGCCAGGCAGCCAGAGGATGAAGCAGAGAGCATTAAGTCACGCGATACTTTAAGTGACACATCTGAGGCAAGTTTCGCTGATGTAAGTAGTGAGGAAAGTGAAAACCATGAAAGATCTGGATTTGTTCGTGGCAGTTCGACGAGCAACTTGCCAAAAACCTACAAGAAAACAAGGAGAACAATTGCCGGTAAAGATGAAAGCAACTCTGAATCTGAGGAAGAGATTGAAAAACCACTAAAATCACAAATAAAGAAATCAAACCAAACAAAAATTCTGGAAAAGAAAACTGATGGATCCACACGAGCACATGGTGGCATAGCGGTGCGATTTAATGTCAAGCAAACAGAGTTTTCATATCCTGGGGGTGGAGTCCCTGCGGCACGAATGGAGAGATCAGTTACTAAGGATAGTCTATTTAGTGTCCCTGAGACACAGGGTAGCTCTGTTACTCTTCAGTTAGAAGACGAAGGTGAGCGAACTAAACGGCCTACATTAGATTAGTAAGAAAGTCAGGTTTCGTGGCGATGTTTGGAAAGGAAATATACACCCCCATTGTGGCACGTATAGTTTACATTAAACCTCTGGCATGTTTCTGAGATGTTTCAGTTTTTTTTAATTGCTTCTTACAAATAGCTGTTGATCATTGTTCACAGATGACACTAGTAGCGTCAAGACAGGCACGTCACAATTCTCAAATCCACCTGGCTTGACGGGGTGGCGCTGGGAACTGGCATATCTCTACACAGACTGTATGACGTCAGTTTGTCTGAATGGTCAGAGCTCCACCATCCAGAAAACTGCCCTGCTTGGGAGTGAGGCTAACCGGAAAGTTACCTTATATGGTAAAAGAAACGACATGGTCCGTGAAGGCTTGGGACTCCTAGATCTGCTTAAATTGAATTTTTCTGCGAATCAAGGTTAGAACTTACTCTTACTCGTTCATACTTTTCGTTTCTCCGTATTCCGCGTTTATTTTTGCTTTTTTCCTCAGCAATGCAAAGCTCTAATTAATTGTCTCTTCACAGGTCCCCAGGCTACTCATAAAGATTGGAGTTGGAGAGTCAGGTTTGCAGCCGTGCAGGGCCTGGTGCGTATTTGCCGTCAGTGTAGTGATGATGCAACAAAAGACGGAATACGAGGAGTGGCCTGGAATCAACTTATGAAGCATCATTCCCAAGAGAGAGATGTACGTGTCTTGGAGGCCTGGAAATTAGCTCAGGTGAGTTGAATAAGTGTTGAATGGAGAGGAATAAATCTGTTTGGTAATCACTGGAAATGTTTTACGGGTTACATTTTGACTTAAGACATGTTCTTTAAAGCGTTTTCTCTGAATGAAATTGAAATAAGAATGAGTATTCTGAACGTTTTCACTGCAGCCTGACATGACAATTGGGTGTTGGATTAAATTTACCCAACACGATTTCAACAGAACCAATCACATGGAGGTCTATTCGCTGAACTGTAAAACACTTTGAACACCCGATGTCTTCCAGTTAAATTCTGTAGAAATTTGTTTCTTTTTTTCAATGTGGGAAGGAGAGGGGAGGGAAGGGAAGGGAAGTTGAGACTGAGAATGCCATCTGAATTCTGAGTTTGTCAGTTTAATGCTTACGTTCCATTGGTTTCGTTGTAGATTGAATCATGTCTTGATAACAAGATCCCCTCACTCGATGTCATCAACTCTTCGTTTCCTGTCTGGGCTGCGGGCGGCTTGTCGGCCGTTTTACTTCCTTCGCTTCCTCCAGTCGTACCACCCAGCTCTCGCTCCAGGTCCCGAGTACGCACAACTCAGTCAAGACAAGCAGCGCCTGTAGTCAAGAGAGGTCCCAAGCGTCCTTCGTTAAGGTATAGTGCTTTTTTAACATGTCCGATGAATTTTTGTCTTGGATATTTTTTTTTACATGTACAGTTAAAGTTACGACTCGGTACACGTTTTACCTCGTATATTGCGTATGTGGTAATCTCGAGGACTTTCTGCTTAATTCTTACTTATTCGTGTTTGAATTAAACCATTATTCTCAATTTTGCCGACTGATAGTCGTCGCTGTATCTTTTACTTGATTCTCCTGGTTCTGTGAATTTGTTATTGCCTCCCAATAAACTGCTCAGCCGTGAACTTATTTAATCGTATGTTTTTCCAGGCAAGAGATTCTTTTGGCTACAGCAGCACGTGAGCCTCAACCCGACTATGACAGCCGCATGAACCACCACTTAATGCTGGTCATAGAGGACCAGTGGAGGAAACAGCTTCATGAAGAACAGAAGGAAGAGGAAGAACAAAGGAAGATCGATGAAGCAGCCAAAGTTGAAGTCATAGTGACGAAGGACAGAAGACGGACTATCCAGGGGAGGGATTCGGGTGATAATAAAGGGAAGGAGATGGGACGGAGAAGACTTGAGGAGAGGTCTAGTCAGCAGGTTATTGAAGATGACATGAAAGACGTGTAAGCATAGAACGGAAGGTGACTTTGGATGGGTAACTACTGGAACAGACAAAATAATAGACTTCAAAATGAAAGTGAAACAGAGAATAGATAAACTAAGATGAAAGTCATACGAATAAAACCTGAGAATGTCTGAGGAGCCGAAGAGAACCCTGTGTAGATATGACATGAAGTATAGCGCGTGGCTTTTTGACCCATATCGATCAAATTGCAAGCTCTTAATTATATATCTAATATTTTTGTCTTAGACTATTGTGCTGTTTTGAAGCATCTGTTTGTTAAGAGTACCACGTTTTCGTTGCCAGATAGACCAAATAAAGTCAGTCACCTGACAGATAAATACTCCTTAAAAACAGTGTTATAATTCATTGAAGTCACAAGTAGGCGGAAGGAAGGCTCCATCAGACATTCCCGCCGTTTTTATCAAGCAAGTATTTTTCCTCCGAAGCCAGATTTATCGGTGATTTCTCAATGACAGTCGGAAAGAAACCATAGGGAAATTCAAAGAGTGTGCTGATGTGGTTGATGCCTTGATTCTACCCTAACGACCCTATCACCTGGTTTGCGTTATCTCACGAAGATAATACCTGCGCGTGCATCTATCTCACTCATCCTTTCCTTTATCTACTACTTTAATCGTGGTATGAAGTTATAAACCAAATTTTTTTTCCATAAAAGACTGTTTACTTTAGTGGAAAATTAATGAAGTTCTGGGATTAGGAAATCAATCTTTTTGGTAAAAATTATTTCTCTGAAGAAGCAATTAACACTCAAATGAGGGGGTGAAAGGGGTTTAAGCGTGATGCAGAATTAGTGTTTTTAATTTTCGTGACCAGTGAGAATACGAAGTTAAATCCCCGTAAACTGTAATTTTTTTTCTTTTTGTGATACGTGAACCGTAAAGTTCTTTATCCAATTATTCGTGATATGTTATTTCTAATTTCTGATGTGCGTGTATCGTGCGCAGGACCCTCCCCCCCCCCCCCCCATTATCCCATCTTAAATAACAGTGACATTCGATTGAGGCGTCGAAGTTTAATTGATTGAGATCAAACGGGTTAGTCAAAATTTTCATTGGGTAATCAACGATAAGAGAACTGGAACCTCCATTTAAGATGATGTTCTTAATTGTCGTGTAGGAGTTAAGTAAATAAACTTTTGTCTCTTTGAATAATTTTAAGTTATTAAAAGATGCGTTCTTTTATCTAAGTTCTTCTCATATTGTTTCAACGCTGGCGTGAAATCCTTTTGTAAACAGAAGTGCTAAGTGTAAATCCATTATAAATAGTGCACTTTATTGTGTCTCAGTACATCTGCCATTTCATTGGATTGTACGGTCGATTTGTTTTCAATAGTCTCTCATAGAGACGCCTTTGTGTTTCATTTTCATTTAGAGTTGTCAAATTTAGTCGCTGTCATGCAAGTAATAGATCAGCGAGACACTAACAACTAAACAGCAAGTTGTGCTCTGAAACCTCCGCTTTTAAGAAAGAAGTTGTGGTGCTGTGAGGAAATGTTTATTACGGTCCGTTATGGTGGTAAGTTGTCCGAGTCATGTATCTAATATGAGTTTTCCTTTAGTACCGATTATTTTGCTTTGAACACAATAGCCCACGAAATAAAACCGATTTACATCTCTTGCAGACGGCGAAGAATCTATCTTTAATCCAAACTGTCGGACAAACATTCTATTAGAGGATATCAAACGACGCTGCAACTGCACAAAAGATGGTAAGATCCCTAAGAATTTTCATCAAGTAGCTTGTGAATGCCTAAATTACCGCGCTAACCCGATATTAAGTTGATTGCTTTCTTTTAGCCACAGTAGATTTGAGTGATGAATCGGGAAATCTCAAGTATTTAGCTAATCACCCCATGAGTTATGCTACAGAGATACTAAAAGAACGAGAATCACTGGTGTTGATAAGAGTAGAAAGTAAGTTACTACATCTCGCTTTGTTTACTTTTCACCAAGAGTTTTTATAGCTCAACTTGTTTTCGTTATCTGTAATTTCTATCTAACTTATGCTTTGTTGATAAATACTCAGTCTATTTGTTGAGTCAATAATTACTTTCCTTCATTCGTTATTTTCCTTCTCGGATGCTATCATTTTTCCTGGTTGCTTTATCATTAACTTTTACGAGCAACTGCCAGAAGCACTTCGAGAAATTTCTCTAAATTGAATAAACTTTATGAATAAGTAATGTGTTCACTGACTGAGGACCACAACAGTGAACCCAAACAATAGACCTGTGCTATTCTTAAGTCAGTCGACATTTCTCCATATCATCGTTTTAAGCATTAAAAAGTTATAAACTTTCTTGTGCAGCTGTCCATGCTGTGACCGTTTTGTGAACGAAATTTTGTGATGAGTCAATGCCAAATTGACAAGTTGATCGGTGGCAGCTTGCAATTAACAGTGATACGAAAAAACAACAGGGATTCTTAGAGGAACTCAATTACGACTGACGTGGTTAGCTGTGCTACCTCACCCTCACTCTCTCAGAACTTAGAAGTGATCGTGAAATGATCCTTAAGTATTTTTCATCTATCAATTTTTTTTTAGAAAAAAGTGAAGCTGAAGGTGATAGTTATACGCCGATGCTGAATGACATGATTATTGTAACTCCACAATTTTTAGGTACGTAAGAACGATATTTAATTAATACTTACCTGGTTCAAATCTAAATTTCACGCAAATGAGTCGACCTCGAACCGACCTTGAGCCAAAATCTCTGTTAGCATCCAATGATCGAGATTCGAGTGGTGCCTGCATGAAACTTTATTTGGGTTTGTGGAATAAAAACAAGAACGGTAAAGGAGGATCGAACACGAAAGGGAAATAAGAGAACTAACACAAGTTTAATTAACTTTCTCCTTTACAGAACGTCTTTCGAGATGCGAGAGTGACAGTCTTAACGCCAAGAATTCTCAGGCCAAACCAGTTCGAATTAACAGTCCCTTAACTAAAAGACAAACCGGACTTCAAGGAAAAACCAAAACTTCATTAACATCAACATCAGGCAGGAGTAAAATAACATCCAGAGAAAAAACCTCGGCACAGAAGCGAAGCAGTAAAGACATGAGATAGGGACGTAGAAAATGAAATAGCTACTGATATAAAAATTTAATGAAAACTCAGGACAACTATCAAAACGTAAAGGCAATCAAGTTTTATTAACAGTACTTGCAAGACAATTATTCTAGCTAAAAAAGATGCACATTCGCATTGATCGTCACACGAGAGGCGTTTCTTCACGAGGGGGAAAGGACTGGTGCAACAATTTTCTCTTGAAGTTAACGACTTCGGCCTTGAAATTCGCCCTCTGTTCGCATGGGCCAGCACTAATATTTTTTTTGCCAAACCCCTGACACGTTCTTAATTTGAGTAAACCAGATAAAATTAAAAACTAGATTACTGAATGAATAAATTACTCTGGTCTTCTTGTAAAAATCCCTTCATTTTATTTTTGTGACATAAAATTGCTATACGAGAAAAATGGCGCTTCAAATTCCCATACAGGAACTGTCTGTCAACTTTTTGAAAAAACCATCTCGAGTCCAAAGAGTTATGCGAATAGGGGAAATTTTATCGAGCCTCAGAAAAAACGGCATAGCTTGTGGCTGGTTAGCCTGTGGCTGGTTAGCTTGTGGCTGATTAGCCTGTGCTAAGTTTCCGTAACAGTACTCTTTCAATTAGAATAAATAAATAATTGTTAAATATTGCGATAATTCTTATGTGATTTTCCTCCCGAACATCAAGTGATTACGTTGACAAAAAGACAATCCAATAACATAGATTAAAAAGTAAATATGAGACTGGGAAACAAAACCTGGCGTATTTATCAACAGTATTCACTGTTACGTCATCTCTAAAGTTATTCACAAAATCATCGTCTTCAGATGACATTTGTTTGCGGCGACCTTGAGAGGTCTGGTGACTATCACCATCTATATTGTTTTCATGCAACGAATGGTCGTAGGTGCTGTTCATGTCTCCAATTCTGTTCCTAGAAAGTTTACGAAGATCGGATTCCTCCTGAAAAATTAAAGTTATTCCGAATTTTATTGAAAAGTTGACTAAAACAGGCTGCGAAGGGAACGGGAAAGAGTCTCGTTGCTTCTGCTTGAATTAAGAACTGTTACCTCAAAGTGTTTTTTGATAACTTATCGCATGAATTTCCTTGTGCAGTTTGAGAAAATAAGCAATCGTAAATTTTTTACCTCACTTGTTGTTAAACTGCTACTCGGGGATAATGTCTACTATCTCGTTTCCAACAAGCTCGAATGGAATAACAATTTTAATGAAAACGACCCAAATAGCCCTAGAGTTTTACCGATGGTATATCGCGTGGTATACCAGGGTTCCTTGGCCAATCAACACTGTCGGAATGCATTATGTAATGATTCATCTACCTTGTCTGTGCTACCGTATCTTGTCCCTGATAACGGAATATCTTCAGGGTCTTCCTTCAGGCCTTTAACCTTACGTAGAATGTTCGTTCCCTTTCGTGACAGTTTCTGGGCTTGAGACTTGACAAAAGTGGAACTCGGGTATTCGACCAAAGCAGCGAACACGTAGAGAAAGGAGACACACAGAAACCAGTCAATTGCTTTTACGTAGCTCACTTTCGGCATCGACGACTGAATTCCGAAAATCAATGTCGTCAGGGCGAGGACGGTCGTGATTCCGAGCCCGACCCGAGCTGGTGGAGAGTTTCGTGGGATCCAAAAGGAGACCCAACTCAAAATGGTGATTAGAATTGTTGGAATATAAATCGAAACGACGTAGTAGAATTTTTTTCGTCTAATGTAGAAAGTTAGCTGCAGCATGGAAAAATTTCCTGTAACAAATCGATAAGTTACTTCAGACAAGGATTTATAAAACTCCTTGTGATACTTGATGTACAAAGAAACTATGCATTTATATGATGCACCTGACCCCTCCCCTTCTTATTTTGTTTTGCGGTTGTTTTATTGTTTTGTTTTATAGCTATTTGAGATAAAGCATTCTAAAATGTTGTATCACCAGGGTCATGGATAGAGCAACCTAGGTTACTACCTACTATTGACTGGGAACTAGCCGCATTTAGTCACCTAAAATCTCGTGCGAGTGGAACTCGCTAACAATCACACCGCATATCTGATATCGGATTGTTAAAATTTAAAATCACCGTTTTTCGACGGAGACTCAATCTAACCCCACCCGGTAAACTGTTTTATCTGGACCCAGGCTAATGAAGTTGTAGGCTCCGAAAAGTTACTTCTTTATACCTGTAACATAGGAAGCTGTTATTTCACGGACTGAATATCCATCGAGTGCGAACTGTGACATGATCAGTTCGTCTCCTATTGCCACGGCGGTTTTCAGATCGTCACTCCCGTCCTTTACGTCCCACTTGAAGAATAGGTCATCTGTGGTCATACCATCTGCCAAACAATTCCATGAGGTTTCAGAGAAATAACAGTTATGTGAAAATGAATATCAGAAATATATCTACTTCTTATTCTTGAAGTTAGAGGGAAATTCAACTAAAACTCCGTAAGCTTTTCCAGACGCAGGCAGTCAATAACTCTTCCAGGCGGGATAGTAGTTTGGTTAGTGGGTGCATGAACACTTAAGAAACTGTGTGACAATAACAATGTAACTGAAACATTCCACAATTTGTCATAATTTTGAATGTGATCCTAAGAATACAGTCATTAGTCCAAGAAACATACAGCTTTCGAAGAGAAGACTACAGTTTTGCTTATCCATGGGGTAATTCCGGAGATCCATCTTGCAAGCCGCAATTACAGTCATTCTAAACAGGGAAATAAGCGAAATATCAGGAGAAGAAATATCAATTACGCACGAAAGGATAAAGCTAAAAGTTTGTGAGGATGGCATCCGTGCGCAAGGAATTCAAAGATCTATTCACCAGCCAAGTAAAAACAGTTTCGTGTTGGCTCAATAATCTAATTTGTTTACTGAGATTCTTGCAAAACTCTTGCGCCTTAGAACAGCTTAAGAGAAGCTTTACTTTCCCAACCTATCGCAATCTGGCTTGCACGGCAAGTTGCAGAGGCGGCCGACTGAATGTCCCTGGGGACTTCCTATGTATGTTTGCGTTCATTTGTACACTTAAGATTAACAACGGTCTTCCATCTCCCAGAAGTCCATCGACCATAGTACGAAGAAGCATGTTAGCGTGCGAGTAGGACTTCATTATCAGCGATTCGGGAAGAGTCTTTAATCGCCCACGGGAAATTAGAAGGCATTTGTCTATAAGATGTATAGCACTAGCAGCCACTCAGGACAAACCTCTCCCCGGCTCGCCTCAAATCTTCTCGCGGAGGGTGAAACGCGCTTCCTGCATAATAATAAGGAACACGTATGAAATTGCAGTTTTGAGCCAATATTACTTGATTATTACCGTTGACTGTAGATGATTTTTCCATCTGGAAAAACCATGAGTAGAAATTCTTGTTTTGGTGCAGAGCTGGACTTTTCATTGTTCACGTAGGTGTCTGGTATCCAAATCTGTTGCATGATGTCTCCATTCAGGCTCAGATTTCTTTTAACATAATCTTTCTCAAACTGAAGTCGAGAGTCTTGCCACACTTGTCTCATAAAGAATGTGCTTTCAAATTGCTGGGGTGAAAACAATAAAAATGAAACAAAGATGGCGACACTTGTGTTAAACTGTTCCATATTATGGAACCAACATAATGACCAGGTCCCAATTGGCTTGTTAGCTCAGTTGGTAGAGCACTGCATCGCAGAGGTCATGGGTTCAAATCCCGTACAGATCTGAATTTTTTTCAGGCCTTATTTTCACAACTTTCAAACATTGTTCATTACTGCGAAGGTCGCTCTCATATTCACGTCTTTATCCGCAGTTCACATACATGATTTTCGTATATTCACAGTCATTTATTCCTATAACTGTAATCTAAATCGTTCTGCTGAGCACCAAGTGAAGGTGCTCCCAGATATTCATGCAATACTACATTCCATACCTTGCAAAATACTTCTAACAAATCTATACCGCGAGGGCTGAACGGAATACAAGAAGTACCAACTCATTCTAACAGAAATCTTAACCGTTCTAAAACATCTAGTAAAGTTTATTGATTTCATACAATCGTATGGGAAATTCTATACAGCCTAACCCACAGTGTATGAATGACATGAGTTCTGAAGCATCAAGAAATGTCCAATTGGAAAAAGTGAGTTAAAACCAAGAGCAGCGTGTATTTTACGTGAACTCTTAGAGGCGCGCCTCGCTTCCTACAGTTCATTAGGCACTAAGGCAGTTTCCGCCGACATCGATTTACTCGAACGATGGATTCTGCTGTAGAAAAGGGCTATGTTCATAACCTAAGCACATACTGTATTTTTGATATGAATGCAAATATTAAAATTGCGTAGATTGATTTATCAATTTATCGGGGAAGAGTTCGTCAATCAATTAAAAACATCTTTTAGGCGAGATTAATTAAACACTACGAAACCCCATGGTCTCTTAAAATAAATTATTTTGTTATCCAACTACGAGCACTCAGTGTGGTACAATTAACACGCGAACCGAATACAAATATCCTCCGATATTGGAGAGTTGGTTATTTTGTACTGTAAAAAAACCTGTTTAACCGGTCAGCTCCGGGCGCCATGCTTCTCTATCTGCTTCGCTTTTCCCAATTTTTAATAAATGCCCTTGAGATAAAGCAGTTGGATAATAAATAACTTATTAGAAGTTTTGGTGTGTAGTATTGCTGAGTATTTTTGACAGGCCTGCAGGGCGAGTCAAAATACAAACAAAAAGTCAGCACTTAATCCTTCCTTAGCTTCAACATCCCCCTCACCATTTCTCTTTCATCCAATCCTCCCAGCGATGTAACAAACACTGTCACCAATACTTTCACGGGGCGGCCTGAGAAAAGCAGAAAAGTGTTACATGACCATCAGTCAGCATCAGGATTCCTCGGAAACATCAAACAGCACCATCTCTCGCTATAAAACAACTGTGATTGGTAATTTAGTGTTAACAACTGGGTTGAAAACGTAAATTGGCCACTGTAAAGAGTTTAAAGGCTGACGTTTCGAGCGTTAGCCTTTCGTCAAAGCGATTGAAGGAATTGTGGGTTATGCGTCGGTTTATATGCAGAAAATGGAGCTACGCTACTGGTTGGAATACGGTGACGAGAAAACAAGAATAAACTAATTGAATGAAAAGCTCTCGTTGATACCGTGGGGATTAAGGGTGCCGATTTGGAAGATAATTTTTTTATCTGGTGTTTTGCGGCTTTCCGAACTGCTTAGATGTAGGGAAAGGCCGCAAATTCCCACATGTTGTTTAGAATGATTAGGGAGATTAAATTGGATAGAGACTGGCTCGGATGCGTCTTTGTCATTTCTTTCTACGTCGCGAAGGTGTTCTCGGAATTGGTCACCTAGTAATCTTTCTGTTTCACCAATGTATAACTTTTTGCAACAAGTGTAAGTTATGTAGTAAATGACATTGGCGAAGGTACACGCAAAGTGATCAGTGATCTTAATGGCTCTCCTGGGTCCCGACATTTTCTCTACGTTATGAATGAAAGGACAAGTTTTGCATCGTAAGCGAGCGCATTTGAAAGTCAGTCCAGGTTGGTAATTGGTTTGAAATGAACTTGTGACCAAAAAGTTGCCTATGTTTTTGTCACGTTTGAATGAAATTACTGGAGGTTGCAAAAAAGATAGTACCATTCTCTGAATCGTTTTGGAGTAATTTAAAGCAGTTTTTAAGAATGATAGACTTAACTGCGTGGTTGTGAGGGTGAAATGTGAGAGTGAATGGAATGCGGTCAATGTTTTCCTTCTCAGCCGTTTGACTGTCGATTAACTATTTGGGCACGGTGGTGACCCGCTTGAACGACAGAAACAGGATAGCCACGTTTTTCGAAAAACTTACACACTGCCTCTGATGTTTTGGAAAATCAGAGTCGTCACTACATAAACGACGAAGTCTGAAAGACTGTGAAAAAGGTATGGAATTCTTGACGTGTGATCACGGATGCGAGGATGAATACAGCAAGTAACTATGTGAATCTATAGGTTTGTAGTAAACAGTAGTTCATAAACCGTTGCCTTCAATTGAAATTTTGATGTCTAGAAAAGCCAAAGAAATGTCGAAAATTTCCCAGGTATATTTGAGAGCCGGGTGAAAGGAATTGACGGCGGTTATGAATTGAGTGAGCTCCTCTCTGGTAGAGGAGGTAGCGCTGATACAGTCGTCAATGTAACAGCTGTAGAGTTCAGGTTTGGGGTCGTGGTATTGACTAAAAAATTGTGATTGGTGTCTCTAAGAACAGTGAATTGATCTTTATGATCATAATTGTAACCCCCCAGGCTGCGATTTATTATTATTTTTTTTTTATCTTTTTGAATTAAAACTAGTAATTTTAGAGTTTCTAACTGTGAGATGAACTAATCATACCTTCAAAGTCAGGTCTAAATCTCTTGTCGTAATGTTTCTCATCAAGGAGCCTGCGCAGTACAACCGATGCGTTCCTGCCACTCCAGTACGCAAGAGAGCTTAGTGAAAAAAAGTATTCAAACGACATTAAACCACAAACTGTAAAATTCAAACATTTCAGTGCTATCGGCCACAAATGCAAATTGAATATATATCAAGATTTCAGCGAAGCCGTTCCCTGGCAAATTCTTACCATTCCCTCGTCCCTCTCCCAAATCTTCATTCGGTAGAAATTTCCAGAAATTTATTTTTAGTTTTTTGCACTATACTAAATAGTATTCAAAATTCTCGTAAAATCCCTCTCTAGTGAGCAGGACCCGAAAATGGCAAAACACGGTTTTAGTTGTTATACAACGTACCTACTATAGAAAGATCAATATCTCATTTATTAATGTGATAGAGCGAAACATCATGCAACCGTAAATTAAGCTGACAACCACCTCGCTGTCTATTTACATTTTGTAGTAAACGGAGCTTTCTCTGTTCATTAAAAATACATAAATCGTACGATTCCTTTTGATAAGAAATTTTCCACTGACGCTGTTCTCTCACTATTGATGGTAAACACTGTTTTTTTCCCCCTCGCTGAAGGGAGAGCCATTAAAAGAGGGATGGATGAGGTAACCTTGATCAAACACTCAGTGTACTTCAAGTTTCTCTCGTTCAATACTTCAGACTTATATTTACAAAATTTTATTTTCATCTATCTGCGACAAAATCGTTCAATCGGCTGATTGAAATGTTGCTGTCGATGTTAGCCGCCTGATTTTAGAGTAATTACCGTCTGAATCACTTTTTTATCGCTTACGCGTTTTAGCAGTATAATTTACGATAATCATCACCATTATTTCGCCTTTGATAGTAGTTGAAATTAAGAAAAAGTTTTAGTTCTAAACTAACCTTACTGGTGAATCTTACCTGGCACAGGAAGTGAAAAGAATCGCTGCTAAGACCGAGAAAGACATTCGAAGCAGCATTTGCATACTCCACACGGTAAGCTAAGTACTAACGGTCGAAACACATCGCTTTCTTTACACACCCACACTAAAAAGAAACCTGAAAAAAATGAAAAGAGTAGAAGAAGGAGAAGAAAGAACGAAATACATTTGGTGGCTACGAAAAAAACCAGCTACACGAAATGATCATATTATTGACCCTGACCTGCCCGAGTAGGCACAACCCAACAGCCATGAAAGCGCTTTCGAAAATCTCTTCAATCCTGATTGAAATCTGCTTTGGACGGATTTCAAGAGATTTGTTTGTAAAATGTCTTTCAGTCATACACAGCTGTTCTTTGCTTTGTTATGTTTGATGGCCTGTCCTCAGATCCCGCCTATATTCTCTATAATACAGCAGTAAAGTGCCTGTTTCCCATTATCATCTGCTTTTAGACGTGAAAAAAAATATGTAATTTGCTCGAATAATGATTAAGTAGCAGTTTTATACTCAGCCGCATTACAAATTTCATAGGAATAAACGATCGTAAAATCCACTTAGCTTCAGAACTAAAATTATTCAAGCTTTTATAACAGACTAGAAAGCGTCATTTTTTTTGCATTGCAAATTAGAATTTTTCTTTGATGACAGAAGCGGTGGACGGTTTGTTTGTAGCACAAATTGCCAAAAACAATTGGAAAAATATGCGCCAAATTTCAAATATAAAAATTAATAAGCTTACGTCGCTCTCAAGCTCTCTTTAGTTGACGAAAAACTTTAAGTTCTTTCTTATGGCAATCTACTAAAGGTCAAAATCGTTAAACGAAGATGAAATTTAAAGGCTGCCAGAAACAGCGTGAAACTTTGTTGATACAAGATATCCAGCCACGTCAAATAGACACCCTAAGCGAGATCTTTTTTTTTTACAAAAGAAAATATCGGATCTGAACTTCTCCTAACCAAACTACTTTAGGGCGTCGAAAAAGTAGTCACAACAAAGAGTGTTTGGGGAACGTTCTCCAAGTGACGAAAGTAAAATCCGTTTAGGTTCTTCAGAGACACGAGTGGGAAGCGTTTACATTGGAGTCAATTGAAGTACATTGAAGTTTTCTTTCCGCACACCAACAACAATGCACAACATCTGACGATCTTCTGAGATCCTTTAAGGAACGATCATGATACATGATAAAATTTGTAGGCCAAGGAATTGCAGTATGTTTATATATATTCTACTGGCACTGAAACAAATAATTAAAAAGGATCGAGTACTGTTAGAACTGTCTGCTCAAATATTAAAATTGCCAATTTTTATTCAGTCATCAACCTCCTAGGAAGAAGTTCTAATTTTACGAAACATTCTTTCAAGAATCGAACTCCTTATTTTGTTTAGTGTGGCCACCAACATTAATTAGATGGTGTCAATCTCTTTTTCAAAACATTCTAAATTGAATTTTTAAACAAATTTCGATCAATATTTCAAACAGAATGATAAAAAGTTCTTGGTGATCGCTTGTACATATGAAACAAAAAACGACAGCTGATCAAGTCAAAGGTACAATATTGAGGGCTCTATTGTATCCCACGGAGTGCAGACTAGGGTTTGAAGCAAACCAGTTTATCTTATCCGTAGTCCTTGCAATAAATTTCATTGTCCGTGTATCAAGGTGGTGAGGGTTTAGTCCTCTGTAAAAGGACACACTTTTTCGTAGCTTCGTATTAATATACACCAATCATGAGCGAGTCAAATGAAAAATTTCGAAACAATGAATTATTTGAAACCAAATTGCTTTTGGAGAACAATTTCAGCATAAGCACGACGACGACGAAAAAACTTGGATTGAACCGTTTGTAGAAAAAGACAGAACCCAGGTTTTCTTTACCTTCACGATGTGACGAGTAATCAAATAGTGAAGAGGCAAACAAATTCTTCCATCTTACCTCAGTGACACGAGCCAAAGCTGTCACTCCCCAACTGAACGAGCGGCATTCGTTCTCTTTTGTACTTTTATTGCATGCATAATAATTGATTATATTTAATTGATATATGAAGGATAAATTTAAATAACGCTGGCATACGATCAATGGTAGTGATATTACTGGTATTATTGCACTCTCTCATCTGGGCTTGTTGCTACATCTTTGGGGTAAAAATGAGAAACATGTCGCTCTCGATGTCCGTTTCATTACAATTTCCCTTCAGAGCAGTTTTACTATGCATCGTTTGTTCGTAGAAAATATCAATGAAAACTGAGGAATAAATTGATGTCACATTAAGTATTAAAAGCCTTATTTGTGCGTTAATCCATCGGTCGTTTATAAAATATTTGCATTTTTACTTTCATCTATCATTAAAAGGGCAGTTGTTATCTTTGCTAGCCCCATGTACAGCCTGAATTTGTTAAATGATATCGAGATAAACGATTTTGCATCAGCGTCATTAAAATATATATTCCTGAATCAACCTTAATTTTAGCACTAAGTTCTTTAATTATTAGCAGAAAATTCCAAATTGGCACGAAAACAGGATGTGTTTGCTGTTTGTGTCTCAACGTACATACGCTCAAACTGAGATCTTTCTTTCTTCAAGACGCACCTCCTACCGACCATGCTCTTTGATCGTAAAGTGCATCTATATTTTTAGCTTTTTTTAGTGAAACTAAAACAGATTTAGCAAGTTGCATGCCCTGAAAACTAGTTTAGAACCGGGCTAAAAAACGCAACTTTCAACTGAGGAAAAAAATATTGTTTTAACTCTGTGCTGATAAATAAATGTAATTCACGAAGGTTTTAAAATTAATTCACAAATGCAGCGAAAAACTATAACAATGATCTATTGGACGTAAAAGGTTAAAGTTAATTCACTCGCGAGATGAAAAAATTTGGCTGAGTCTGGAAAACAAGAAATTCACCAACTAAAGATCTTTTTCCTTCCTTGTTTGCTTTTTCTTGCCTTGCTTTATGATTTTTTTTAAACGAGGTCAGGTGAAAAGCATGATTCTTTTCAAAACGCGGCTCTTTTTAAAGACCGCAGTCTACGAAAATTAATCAGCTTCATGCAAAGTTTATCAACCTTGAATAGAATATGGGTGCCATTTATTCATGAGCGGCAGATAGTTATGTTTAACAGACCTGCCGGTCAGTATCTGCTAACCTTCCAAACAGGTATAACATTAGAATTACAGCTAAAATGTAAACATATCCTGCAGGGACTATCCGAATCGAAACTTCAAAAATTTAAATGCATGTTAAAAAACTTAACGAGATCAGAAAATTATCTCTTAATTTAACTGTCGGAATTGAAGTTTTCCTTTGACATTAATTTTCATTCTACACTGGTGAAGGTGAAAGACTAACTGTCCTTCCCGCCTGCCTCTCCTCAGGGTCGACACGTTTCACTATTGAAGTAGTACTTTGTCAAATAGCACATGGGAAGGATACTAGTTCCTTTTAACCAGATGGAAGTTTCTAAAGATTTCTTTTTAATTTTAAGAAAGAATAAGAACTCCCAAGCAAACACTCGGTAACGAATTAAAAGTGAGGCAACTTACCACTGAAATTAACCATTAACATCCTTGGCGAGAAACAAATAAAAGAAAATTGAGTTGAGTCAAGTAATTACAGAACACTTGTAATAATCGATGTTTCCGTGATTTTCTCTTACCTCACTCATCAACGAGTAATTCTTATCTTGACATTTATTGTTGCACGGCAGCATAATTATTAAACTAATTAAAGTTGTCGTCATTTGACTTTTCCTGATTTTGTCATTAAGAAGATCGTAAAAAGTAAACAAGCTGATTTCAACTCCCGACTTTTTTTAATAACAATTCACAGTCATTGTGTTGAAAATTACACCGTCAAAGTAATTATCAGAATATAAAATATGTTTGTCTTCGATAGTTAGTCAGGTGAAGTTTTCATTCAGAATCATCCAATATCTGTAGGATCCAAGAGATTTTCATTCACCTTCTTTCATTTCGTTCAAAGAAAGCTACTGGCTGATTTATCTATTTTCAATCAACTTCAAATATATCGCACCCATGTTACTAAAGAGAGTGATTTCAAGTCGGTAAAAGGGGTGCAATTTCCCTTCAATCTGAAAGGTTTCGGTCAGTTTCTAACCGGAAAACTTCATATTCTCAGTTTGTCATCGGTGGCTCACTGAAATGCACTCACGCACGCTTATGACCTCTGGCACACTTAAAGTCGCCACGCCATTGGTAGCTTACTATGCGAATCTTTCGGCATATCTTTATTTTGAATATTGATTTAAAGAATACCTACGTGGACATAAAATATTAGCGTTAAAAATAAATCAAACCCAATCTGAAAAACTAGTTAAAAATTTACCACTGATCCAGTTTTCACATTTTCCACTTAGAACATAGCCCTAAGCGATCGAAGATTTTGAATGGAAAGCCAAGTTTTCAAGAACTTCCATTTTCTTTGAATAAAAAACAAATTGAGTTTTAAATGCTTCCAACAACTTATAACAATCGCTTAACCTCGCCCATAAAAGAGGTCCTTCTGTAGTTGCACTAACTTCCTTCAAGATAAGAAATATTTTTAGGGGATGTCATCTCACTCAACTGGGCCTAGATTTTTCAGTAAACCAAGTTTCGCGTCGTGGTCGTCTTAGAGCTGCGATCGACAAGAGACACAGGAAACCGCCCAGTGGTCTGGGTTCCAATCTTCTCATGCGCACTACGAAGATTTCTTGCACGTGGAAACATGGCGGACTCTGGTTAGTGCCAATGCAATTTTCTAAATTCAGGCATTCTCGCCTCTGAAAATAGCTTCTTTTTTTAACATCTTACCATTTTTTCTCTCTGCTAACCTTCCGTAGAAGTTACGCCTCGCAAGAAGCAGAAAAAGGATAAGCATAGGGCTCGGGAAGAAGATTCGGGTAAGCTTGGAAATAGTGTTTTGTAATGCGCGCGTGCAAAACAGTTGCCTGTGTGGATGCTTTATTATCTTTTCCTCTTACAGAGGAAGCGTGTTTTCATTCATTGTAACGGACGATCATCTTGTATTGGTCATAAGGTTCTGCAAAGAAAGAGAAAAAAGTGAAGAGCGAGGCGGCTGATGTGGGCTCGTCAAATCATTTTGGGGTGAGTTGATCGCCAAGGACTCACACAGTTTGCGAGAAAATGTTCTGTTTTGACGGTAGTTTTTTCCCCATTGTTAACCTATTTACATTTAATCACTAGTTATGGTGTGAATATAAATTTCCATCTTTACCGACGAAGATCGTGCTTACTTACTCATTTAGATACACTGCTGTAGATCTCGTGTGGCCATTG